AACTTATGGAGTCTGTGCTAAGTCTGGCTAGTTTGTGCCAGCACTGAATTGCAGCTGGGTTGAAATGCAATACTCCCCCTTCAGAATCCAAGCCTGGGGTGTTTGGAGGCAGAGGTTGAGTGGAGAGGAAGAGAATGAGGCACTAAAACTGCTAAAGGTGGATTTATTGGAAAGCTAATGAAGCTTGGGCTTTAGGCCTCTCACTCACAAGCTCCTTCCAAAGCTCTAGGAGGACCCCTCACTATGTGATCCCAAATACAGTTACATACTTTTATACAATTTGCAAACTTAAAACATTTTTGAATTGCTTTCTTTAAAAAGCTCTAGGACCCACCCAACCATCAGATTCTAGAAGCTTCAGGTTTGACAACCCCTGATGGTGACTTAGCAACTGTTGAGGAAGGGGCCAGTTTCACTGCACCTTGCATGTTCTGGCACAGTGTGGAGAAATCAGTCAAGGAGGGTTTGCAGACTTCCAAACAGAACACAAAAGAGCTAAGAGCACCATGAGGCCAAAGAGGCCAGAGGTCTTATGAGATGTGAGAATGGAGGACAGCTTCTAACTAGTGCCTGTGGCCAGGCTCCCGATTTCAATAGCACATGTCATCAAGGTCTCTAAAACAATGAGATGAAACCAGCTGCATGTAAAGACCTCCCAGGACAGGAGCAGACCAGCAGCTGTATGCTGAGGTCACTGGAGACCCATGGGGAGCAGAAGAACCAGGATGCTCGCCCCCAATGCCATACTTAAACACCACATCTTTATCCAGATGCCACCTTGGAGAGGAAGATGGGATGGGAGCCCCAAGGGGAAGAGAGAAACAGCCCAGAGGGTAAGTGAATGTTGAACTGACTACCACAAAAAGATGACGCTAACTCGAGACCAGCTAACACTAAAGACATTTAAGTTTCCTCAGTGGAAATAGGAATTTCAAAACAACATAAAATACCTTAAAAAAAAAACTGAACTGTGTTTGAAATTGTGATCCTCCTGATTAAAAACAACATTATGAATGCAGAAAAAATTTTAAATTCCACCAACTAAACAGATTCTCTAAAGGACACTGTAGGAATTTTTAGCATGCCATGATTACAAAATAAAACCTGTTTACAATGAAACCATAACACCATTTGCAAAGAAAGTGACCATAACACTTAAATTTAACCTAAGTGTGCTGAGGCAGGGATAGCTAAATATTCACCAAAATTTTGTTTTCCTGGGCTCACAGCCAGACCACATTTCCGTCTCTTTTGCAGCTGGAGTGGCCACATAACCAAGTTCTAGCCAATGGAATTATAACCATTTAGGCAGGGCCCATTAGACTTCCATACTCACTACTTCATGTTGTTTTCCCCACTTCCAGCTCAAGTGGATGGAGATGACCAAGTTGGCAGAGGCTCTGTCAGCCTGGCTCTCTGAATGACCCTATGGAGAACAGGTGTCCTCACCAATCAAGAACACCTACTATGGACTTTCATGGAAGTGACAAATCAACTTTTATTTATTTTTCTGGATAGGTCCATGGACAGGGCATGTTGAGGTCCATCTATGGACATTACCCACATCTATCTATACCCTTATCTGTCACTCCAGTGCTATTTCAATTTGGCAATTGATGGGCACTTAGTATTTGTACACAGAAGTCCTAAATTCTAACAAGATACAGAGCCAGCTTATCAACTAGTCAGGAAAGCAGGCAGGTTGGCAACTACCGAGAATACTAGGAAACTGTAACTGAAGGACAAGCAAAGAAATATTAAGAGGACAATTAAAAGTGCAATGAATATTTATCTGTGAAGGCGCCACAGAGTGGGTAGCAATTGAACTGGGCCTTGAAGGAGGAGGAAAGTTGAAGAGAAAGAGGAAGGTAGAAAAGTTCAATCCAGACTTACCATGAGTTTGCAAACATTTTATCCATGGGGCTGTGATGCTAAAGACAGAAAAAAATATTGTTTTGTTCACCCCAGGGAAAAGAATCAAGGCCTGTAAGGAGAAGCTACAAGGAAAGAAGATTCTATTCAAAGGGAGGAAGAACTATTAATCAGAGCTGACCATGAACTGCAGGGGCTACACAGAAAAAAAAGGTAGTTTTTCCTTTTAGGGATGGCCAGCCTCCTGGCACAGAGATTGCAGAGAATGTGATTTAAGCAAGGGATGGGAAGCTGTTCCATTCAACTGCCTTGCAGCTCTGCGATGCTATGTATCTTCGATGTCTCTGCCAAGCAGGCTTTGTAAAACATTGCCAGGAAAAAGAAGAATTATTTTAGCCCTGTTACAGCATTTCTTACACAACAGTCCTTGCCAAACTCCCTTTCAAGGCCATGTTGGCTGGGTTCACGCAATGTGTTAAATCATAAGCCAGTAGAGAACATCTCTTCACATCCAGGCCCATGAGAACCCCTTCAATATCATTTTATCATCAAAAAAGCTTAACAGGCTAATATTAAATAGGATTGCTGCTGGTGAACACCAATGACAGGAAGCATCTACTTTGCATGTTTAGGCCATGGGGCATGTTGCATCCATTGCATGTCCTAGTTAATAGCAAGTTGCCAGTTTCATACCAAATATGGGCATGCGGTTTTCAAAGGATTAGATTACAAAAAGATATGTTACAATAAAGCTGTTTTGAGAATAGTTTCATCCTTCTTGGATGACTTAGTATGCTGCAAGGCATTGTAGAATTACAATTATAAAAACCAATTTTCACAGTGTAGTTTTGTAAAACAAACTAATTTTCCATTTTTAAATGTGTGTGCTGTAGATAAAAGAAGTCTACTAGATGCACTAAAAAGAGAAATGCTCTCCTAACACTGCTGATAAGTTAGTCACTTTCCCTTTCCTCTTAAGTTTATACTTTCATTTTCACAAACACTCACTGAGTCTTTATGCTAGGCACTGTGTTAATCATCAGGGGTAGAAACTGAATGAAAAAGAGAAAAAAAAAACCAGATGTCTTAAACTGGAAAACTTTCTGAGATTCATAATGTTGTTTTTCTTAAGGGTAATTCCCAATGATTATTTTAAAAAAGTAAGTTCAGCTACATTCTTGCCCAATAAACAAGGTTATTTTGCTTTTAATGTCTGGAGAGTAAACATATCAAAGCTTAGCTTTAAAAATTTTGCCCAGCCAGGCACGATGGTTCACGCCTGTAATCCCAGCACTTTGGGAGGCTGAGGCAGGTGGATCACCTGAGCTCAGGAGTTTGAGACCAGCCTGACCAACATGGTGAAACCCCATCTCTACTAAAAATATAAAAATTAGCCAGCCATGGTAACGTGCTCCTGTAGTCTCAGCTACTGGGGAGGCTGAAGCAGGAGAATCACTTGAACCCAGGAAGCAGAGGTTGCAGTGAGCTGAGACCGCACCACTGCACTATAGCCTGGGTGACAGAGAGAGACTCTGTCTAAAAAAAAAAGAAAAAAAGGTGGCCCAGATCATTATTGTCCCATCTGCTGTAATAATACTCCAGGTACTCAATTTATTGCTTAAATAAAAGTTTTCCCAAGCTCAGAAATATATATTAACCAAAAAACTCTTCATATTATAGAATGAATCCTAATTACATAACTATAATCTCAATAGTGAAACAAAATTCATAAAATCATATTCTGAGGTCACTGTACTATTTGACTGGATATGACAATAAACTAATCACACAAATGTTATGTTTTATACACAATTGTTCAACCACAAATAATGAGCAGTGCTATTCAGAATCACAGGCTCCCCCATCTTTTCAAAATTCAGGTCACATCCCTCTCATCATACAACATCCTAAGTAAATCACATCTCAAGCGGTGACAAGACCTGTTCGCCATCGATATATAATCTCAAAATTCTGCCCACTGCCTTTCTACCCACCTACCTACTTAAAACCTGGGTCCTAAAATCCATGTTTCACAAAGCTTGGGAACTGTATTCCCTTTGGATAAAACGAACAACTCCCCGAAGCTTTTGTTTTGCTTGGTGTTTACCCAACTGCACTTACTATTTCCAGCATGCATTTACTGGCTGTGTCTGGACTGCATGTCCCAGGTTGCTGTGCCTTTCTAGGTACTAAGTCTACTCCCAAAAATGGGAAGTAGAGCTAACCCTTCAAACGGAACAGTCACCCGGGCCTCAGCGTTCACACATGTGACTCCTAAGAGCATTTTGATATTTCTGTGCTGCCCAGGGAACATTCTGAGATTTCAGTCCTCAGTCAAAATGAGAAATCACCATTTTCCAAAGGGGAAACAACATAACCAAACTCCCAAATAACATTTCCAAGCATCGGTGACCCAAGTCCCAGGCTCTAGTCTGTGTTTGTGAGGGACAGATCAGATCAAGCCTAAATCAAGCATGCAGATACATAAGCACCCACCGAATCAATTCTGTGCTTTCTAACCAGCTGTGTGTCCTGCATAGCCATGTCACCTCTCTGGGCCTCAATTTCTTCATCAAACCAAGCAAGTACAAAGGCACCTTCCAGCTCTAAAAGTACTACGGGTCTACACAATAACAACACAGTTAGCAAAAACTCTGCTATCCCTGAAAGATCTGTGCAGACCCTGCAGAAGTAAAACCTCGATTAAAGACCATGAAGTGAGGGGGAACAATTAAAAAGATCTCTAAGGTGCCCTTCCACATTTTGATTCTCAGTTGGAGAGTGAGGCATGACCAGGCAATTGGTCATAAAACATTAGTAGGTCTCATAGCTCTCATAATCCTGTGCTTCCAATGGCCAGTTCTGCTCTAGCAAAAAAATTCTGCGGATTTTTGCCAAGCAGTGCCTTGGAATGCAGAATGACTTTATCTTTTCATGCAACAGTAGAATGACTTTATCTTCTGTGTTCAAAAGCTCCTTCCCTTTGATTGCGAACTCATCCTCCTCAGAAAATTCGATTTGATTGCAAACTCATCCTCCTCAGAAAATTCCAGCTCTAGGCCCCTAGTTTCTCCAAGCCACCAAAAACACTCCAGCTAGTGAGAACAGGTTAGAAAAGCCACACTCACCCTTAGCCACTGCTTCTCTGTGAGGGCGTCACTGTAGTCCACGTCACGGCGCTGGCGAGACCCCCTCCCAAATATTTTCTCCTCCTCTTCTTCACAGGTGAGCCTTTCTACTTCGGCGTCATCCTTAATGATCCAGGAGGGCAGCTCATCTTCCTCCATTAAGCGGGGCTTGCGTTTCGGGTTCCGGGCATCTTCCCTCCGCCGGTCCATGTCCATCCGCTGGAGACATTAATAAGAGGGTCACCGAAAGTCAGGGCTTCTGTATGGTACAGACTTTACAGTACATACAACTTCCCCAAGTCATTCCCTATGGCTGCAGGGTCCCTTTCAACCTCTCTCATCCTGGTTGACTTGTTCTAGCTCATCCCTAAATATCTAGGGAGAGATTCCACTAAGGAAAATCCCTTCCCTTCCTCTGTACCCATCTTTTGAAACTTATTCACACATTTAAAAAGTACTCTTTAAGAATTTCCTTTTCTTAGTCTGTGTGTGTACAAAGCTTCCCCTTTCAAGTAATAGTGGAAAAACTCAAATTGGGAATGCATTTTAAAAATATGACCTCTTGGCTATACACCTCATTGCTTCCCTGGAAGAAACTTATTCTTTGAGTATGGAAAAGAAAGATCTTTAAGAAAGTTTCCTTTTATTCAGTAGGGGTTGTGCTTTGAATTGAACAATCAGGAATAAAAAAAACGGTGACCCAAGGTATCAGTACAGATAGCTAACCACAGCTGGACATGTGGAAGAGACATAAATGGTTTCACTAGTCCGTTGGCCATGAATATACTAAATTTTCAATACCTTGTGGGCACTGCTCATGGGAGGAATGCTCCTGAATTCTTTACATTTTAAACTTTGTGCTCTTACAAAAGTATTATACCACAGAGAGACAGAGCTCAGAGGTAACCGCGTTCCAACTACTCTAGTTGTAAGCGAAATGGCTTCCTTTCAGAGCCTTCAAAATGCCTACTTCCCCACCTTCTCTCTTTTTAATAATCCAGTTCACTTGTAAATAAACTTAGGGCCACACACTTGGCTTTAATCTATAACTAAACAATACGATGGATTTTTAAAAAATAATCTGCCACTACATTTCCATCAACATTAGTTCTGTATAAACACTAGCTAGATGTGTCATTTCCACAATGAAATGGACCATCAATCATTGCTATTTACCTTTTCCCTCTTCCTTTGGTTCTACCGTACTGAAATCGGGATTCAATATAATGTTTTCTTAAAAGCTAAAACTGATAAAATGTAAATAAATATCTATGCATACCCAAATATGACCTCTAGAACCTATTTTATTTTTATTTATTTATTTATTTGAGACAGAGTCTCGCTCTGTCACCCAGGCTGGAGTGCAGTGGCGCGATCTCGGCTCACTGCAAACTCCGCCTCCTGGGTTTACGCCATTCTCCTGCCTCAGCCTCCCGAGTAGCTGGGACTACAGGCACCTGCCACCTCGCCCGACTACTTTTTTTTTTTTTTTTTTTTGTATTTTTTCGTAGAGATGGGGTTTCACCATGTTAGCCAGGATGGTCTCCATCTCTTGACCTCGTGATCCGCCCGTCTCGGCCTCCCAAAGTGCTGGGATTACAGGCTTGAGTCACAGCACCCAGCCTTAGAACCTGTTTTAAAATTAGCGGTCAAAGCCCTTTAAACTATGCTTCTTCCACATTTTTGGAAGTCATTACATTTCCAGAATCTGGTAGGCTTGGGAGACGGGTGAAGTCCCATTGGTTGATAAATGTGGGCACCCTGCTCTGTCATGTGCTATAATTAGCTCACGATGCTTAATCCTGTCTTCTAATGCTTTGGTATCAGAAATGGGATCCACCAAACCTTCCTAATTGGCACACAGAGGTTGCCTTGTTTACAGCAGTATCTAGAGAGGGGCTTCATGAGGCAACCTCCTAATAGTTATTAGATAGCTAGTAAGAAAAAAACTTTTTTGTTAATGTCCTATACTGAGATGACAAAATATTGCCATTTCAGTCTTTGGTTTTACTGCTACTACTATCTATGCCCAAAAATAGCCTTTGAGGTATGTTTAATCAATATATTTCTATAGGCATTATTATTACTAATATATTTGTCCACAATTGAGAAAATAAATCTTTTCTGACAGAAAAGGAAATTATGCACTTGTTTCTTTTTTCTTTTAGGAAAGGTAGATTCGATTAAATAAGATAAGCTTAAAGTCTTAATAACTGCATCTCTCCCTAGAGATTTCTACCCACAAAATACCAATATAGAATCTTAAGTCAACATTAAGGCAAAAGTCAAACTTACTATGTAGTTACTTTGTGAATAATTGGGCTTGAGATCTGATTATTAACCTTATATTTACAAGTACAATTAGTTTTAAAAGTGCTTTTTCCCTTTGTAGAGAACATAGCATCTACAAGCTTAATGTTTGTATGTTAGCAAAATGTTTCAGATACATATCTTGAGCTGCCAAAGATCTTTTTGGTAAAATTCCTAAGTAATTGGTATAAAAGATAACTTTTTCTGAAGTCACATTTTGAGAAGGAGAAAGCAAGACATGCTTTTTAAAAAAGGTTTTATTTTAAAGAAACTGTCTGCTTATCAAGCGTAAACCACAGCATCTATGATAAATCAAATAAGTTTGCATTAATTTTACAGAGAACTCATTCTTTTCTAATAAAGGATAAAGAGTTTAAATATTTAAAATCCATAGATTTATCCTAGCTCACATTCCATTCTTGTTTCTCACCAAACTTTTTAATCTGTAGCTGATACAGATTCAAATTTTATTTCCTGCCCCCAGGTAGAGATGCTAAGGAATAGTGAATTGGCCAAAGGCGGCCAGTGGATTAGAAGAAACTAAACCAAACCTAAAATCTATCTAATCCTCAAAATAGAAGCCAGCCTTTAAGAAACAAGCAGAAAATTCACAAAATCAAAGTGCCTACAAAAAGTGTTCCCTAGCCAGCCTCACCTGTGTTACAAGCCTGTTCTTTGAGTGGTAAAACAGTCCCAAGTTAAAAGAAGGCTGTGCCTTCCGAGACATTCAGATTGTTTCTGAGGTCTTCAATTTCTACAAATAGCCCAAAGTAAGGCAGAAAAGTACACTTACCCCCTTACTTCAGGGATGCTGATGGAATTCTCCATTTCTGGGCCTAATCTAATTTGTATAATGGCAAGCAGCTTGTCCTCTCCAGTGTCTTGAGAGTATCTGAGGCGTTAGCAGTGCTGAATTATTGCTTAAGAGTGATCACCTGAGGGCCTCTTGCTTGGGTGTTCCCCAGTAACCTGCCTTTAATTAGTTCTTCAAGGAGAGAAAGGATGTCTATTTCTGATGTGTATCCTTAACCTCCCTAAATACAGAATATTGTCATCTTTGATTATGGTGACCAGTGTGAGTTAAGAAATTTAGATTTTATGAATGCCCTACATTGACCATGCTGTTAAGTCTTTCTCTTACTGCCATTCCTCTCTGAAATGGCTTTAGTTGGGAAGGGTGGTTCATTTCGGGGATGGACGGAGAAAGGGAAGTGCATATTCCAGTTTAGGAGTTATTCCCACAGCTACCTGCCTTTTTCTGAGAAAGAATTACGTATTTTTTTTTATTGTGGATCATTATATACAATCAATGTTCCCAGAAAAAAAGCCGCACACACAAAACCCCAAAATAACATAAGCCTCTCCAAACAGCTGGAGTTCCGTTCTGTCTCGGCTAAAAAGGTGGAGATTGCAAACCCTGTGGATCATATTTGGCCCACAGTTGTGTTTTGTTTGGCATGCAGTGTTATATAATGACTTAAAAAGTTGAATTTCGTTGCAATGTTTTAAAATCTAGAAATCACATATAAAAGACTATACTTCCAGCTCCCCTTGAAAATTTGTCATTTCTGACAACACAGGTCTCACATTTCTACCTTGCAGCTCTGTGCTCCCATAGACAAAGCATCTCCAGTGCACCTGCCTCTGCCCACTTGCTTTACACATGCAAATTACTCATGTAAGATCTGATGGCACTCAAATTTGGGGCCTCTAACTTTAGGGTTCTGCAGCATTCATCCACCAAAGTTATGGTTTCTATTTACTCCCTCTGTAATCAGTCTTTGATGAAGATAAAAATGACTGAAGATACTGGAGGGAAATCCAACTGGTTTTGATCCTTAAATGAAGGCTACACCTTTATGCACACCTTGAAGGTTCCCATTCATTTAAGCAGGCTCTCGTCAACAATTTGAAGAGGCACACCTGTGCTGTTTTAGCTGTTGTTGTCCACCTATCTCCCTAAGGAGCATGTTTGCTTTGATCCTATAAGGACATGGTAAGTTCCAATGCCTATAGGAGCCAGGTAGGCTTCCTGAATGACATTGGCCTGGGATTAGAAACGAACTGGGAGCAGGAGGGGGTTTGTGGTAAGCTGTAGACCACAAGGCCTGTCCAGAGAGTGCAGCTGCTACTCAGCCCTGGCCAACTGTTTCCACACAAAGATGTGGGCCTGGTACTGCCCGATCTCATTTTTCAAGAGAAGCCAGAAATCAGGATTCTTTTTTATGTTGGCAATGAATGGGAAATTTTAAAAAACGCTGCATGGGCCAAACAAAATATGTCTGCGGGCTAACTCCAGCCAGTTTGCAGCCTCTGAACTGAAGGAAAGGCATAGGCTTTACGAATGAAGTTCTGCCAGGCACGCAGGCTCCAGACATTCTACTTAACAGAAAAAAGGGCAGAGGAATAAAGCATTTGTTTTCATGATTTTCTGTAACATTACCATAAAAAGGTCAAATTCTTCTTCTCGTCGAGCAATCATTTGGTTCAGAGTCTCATCGTCCGGTACTTCATCTTCTTCCTGGGGTTAAAAACAGAGTGATTTAACAGGTTTTAGGAGAGAGCCTGGACAGCTGGGGCAAGGTACAAACAAGTAAGTGATCTGTCCTCCAGACCAGAGGGGTCCCATTTCTCAAGCCAGAAAGAAAAGGGAAGGGGTTGCTGGATTTAGTACTTGCCATTATTATTTTACGAGCTATTAAAACCATCTTCCCAGAGCAAAATCTGTTCAGGCTGGAAATGTGGTGCACTATAAGAAATATGAGTTCTCCTGGGTGTGTATCTTGATTCTGTTACTTTTAAAACAAGTTACTTCATGTCTCCCCGCTTCAGTGACCTCATTGGTCATATGGGTATGACATCTACTTCACAGGGGGATGTAAGATTTTAATAAGGAAATCCATATGAAAAAGTACCTGACATTAATTCTTTTAACTCCATTTACCTTATGCCAAATATAAATGCTTATTTTCAAATACTTACAAAAAATGTAAGTATGGGAAACCTTGTTACTAGGCACTAAGACGATAAAAACCACATATATGTGCCAAATATATAGCCTTTGAAGTGTGTTTAATATATTTCTTTGGGCATTATTATTGTTGATGATTGGAGCTATGGATGGGATAACTAAAAAGGTATCAGTAGCAAAAAAAAAAAAAAACCCTCGAAGTTATACTTAATTAAAATAATTTAAATGAAGCAGAGAAAACAATTACATATGGGCTAAAACTTTCATTTTATATTATGTCAAACAAAGATACATTATCTCTCTGCTAATTCCTCAGAAAACAACAGTTCTCAGGATTTTCAGCAATGTTATGGCATGACTTCCACACTTTCAAAAAATGATTCTAAAAGTTGGGCATATGCTATAGGACTTATCTTCCCAAATTATTTTTATAATATGCTGAGTGGGCTTGTTAAAAATCAAACGGGGAATTTCAGTGTATCAGCTGAGGGAAGAAAGGGGAAAACACAGAACTTCAAACATCCAATTTCACAAACTGTATGTTCAAAAAGAAGCAACTTGTTTTAGAGAAAGAGTATGAGTGTACTAGCAGCTCAAATGAGATGACTATGTCGGCTCCCAAGATAACGCCTTTCGCACTGCAGGAACTTAATAAGTGTTAGAAATGAATGCAATCCACTAAAGTAAAAAATCTACAATTCAAGATAATCATTATTTCTGAAAAACTTATTCTAGTTCACCTCCAGATTGATTACAGTCAATTTGTCTAAATATTACATTTCATCTGACAAGGACACAGACTAGCTGGGAGTGGGTTCAGACTTCACAGTACAAAATATCTGGTAATGTCTCTTCTGGTGAACAGATGTCCTGCTTTGCCTACTTTCTTCCTAGAACCACACATTACCCTCTCATCACCTGTACAATGAGGGGCTTAGATGACCGCATGCCCAAGATGAAAAGATTCTCTTGTAAAGTGGCAAGAAGCCTGCCCGTTTATGACCTTCATGGAAAACCAAATGGCTGGAAGTACACAATGCATCTTCCTGGGTTCTTTGTGCCCCAGCACTTCATGGTCACGTCAACCACGGTGATGCCAGCCTACGTTGTCCTGATCTTTCAGGACCAGAGCCTTTGACGGCAGTCTCTCGGTGTTTTCAAACATCTTTACATCAGGACACGGGCCCCCCTGAAAATGGTAACATTTGTCTGACACACTGGTAGCCAAGAAGGGACAGGGAGCCTCAGCAAGGCTGCTCACAGCTAGCCTTGCTGGCAGGACAACTGGGAGGGGAGTGCACTTCAGGCCCCACCTGGCAGCCCTCGGGCCCAGGAGAGATCAGCATCTCCCTGCAGCTTAGGAAGGCTGGAAAACTCCAGGCTTCCTTGATTCTCAACCAGATCAGGTACTATTTTCACAAGGCCTACACAAAACAAATAAGCAAAAATGTAGTGGAGATGACAGGCTGAGTGTCAGCTCTGCTCACATCTGCTTTGTCACAGTATAGATCATTCACCATATTGTTCTGTTGGAAATGTCCAAGTGTATAAACAACAACAACAAAAAATCACCTGACAATCTGACTCCATATCTGTATCAAATATTCAATTTCTAGAATCAGAAATTATAAATTGAGATAAAAATTTTTCAAATGTGTGTGGATCGTGAGTGCATGTGCATATGTATTTTTCATCATTTTCATGAAACTCAGTGGATAGCTAATCAAAAATATAAGACCGACAAATTAGGAGGCATAATACAAAAGTGCTCTTCAATTTGCAAATGGGTTCATTTCAGGATTCCTTTAAATATCAAGCTCTACTTCACATTTAGATTCATTTCAGAATATATATATATATATGCAGTCAGTCTCTGGCTTAACAATGGTTGGACTTAGGATTTTTCAACTTTATGATGGTGCAGAAGGGATGCACATTCAGTACTCCACTAGACTTAAGATGGGGCCATGTCCTGATATTTTCAAATTATGATGGGTTTGTCGGGATATAACACTATTGTAAGTTGAGGAGTATTTGTTTATAAGACTTTTAAAAGACTCAGGTTCATAATTTACAGAAGACTGAAAAAATACATATCTTGTTTAAGGCAAAAATCAAATTATATCTAATATATGCAATTAAAACAGTATTCCACATGAATATGTAAGGTAAACTTACTCTTCAATTTATAAGTATGGGCACACACAAAAAATATGTTCATCCCCAGTCAGTTTTATGATAAGGACTGCTGCTGATATTCTGTAGTTTGCTACACTATATGCATATGTTTAAAAATCTATTTCAAATCCATTTTGGAATGAATATTATAAAATTACTAACGCTGGCAATCTAAAAATAATACAAATGACAACCCAACATTCCCCTAATAAAAACCTAATCAATGCATTCTTCATACAACCCTGACAAATAAAGACTGTTTAACCAGTATTTTTCCCAACCTTCAGATAGCTCTTAAAGAAAAATTTGAAGTATAGGTTAAGGTCATGCTTTCCAAGAGCAAGTATAGCTAAATGGGCAGAAGATGGCTGTGAAGGTTTGTCCTACAAACACGTTGAAGCTCTGCGATCCCTGATCAAAAGGCGAAAGAGACGGAGGGCTCTGGAGGATGGGAGAAAGAGGCCCCCTTCCATTTATGTCTTGTCTCGTCCGGCTGATTTTGTCCCTAAAGTATCCTCTCTGCAGTTCTGCATCTGTCCTACAGAAGGCAGCACTGATGGTACAATAAAGCAGCTGGGTTTCCCACCCTGGAAAAAAGGAGGGAGCACCCACAGGCCAAGCCTTGAGGTTCCTCCAGCAATAGCTCTTAAGACACTCACTTTGGATAACTTTCAGAGGCTTTCTGTGGTTGGGATCTAAAACAGCAGTTTATTTATTCATTTTCATTAACACTAGCCCAGGAAGTTCTTTAAACAAAGGGATTATTCTTAGTCCTTCAGAGACAAAAGGCCACTGTTTGATTTCATAAACTTGGGGCTTTCTGTAATACCTCATTTTCCTCTTCATGCTCCAAGATGGCCTGCAAGAATGCCCTCCGCTCGTGGCTTGAAGACTTTTGGTCAAACATGCCTGCCTGGATTACTTTCTGATCCACGTTCAGCTTGTATTTTGCAGCCGCGAGGATCTTTTCCTCCACGCTGTTCACGGTACAGAGCCTCAGCACCCGGACCTCGTTCTGCTGCCCGATGCGGTGAGCTCGGTCTTGGGCCTGCAGATCCTGTTTCGGGGGAACAATACGCTATGAGGACTGAGATGCCTGGCATAGGAATCCCAAACCAGACCCCACCCCAGAGGGAAATATGGAAGGGTTATGTATTTCACCTTCACTAAAGCAAGATTTTGCTTACATTTTAAAAATACGCAAGCTACGTTTGGAAAAATTCAATGTCACTCCTAGTTGAAGAAACCTGGGTTTAAATTAACCAAGCCAACTGAAATAAATCTCGGGTTTTGAAATCCAGGTTATCATATTGTTTTTATCTGTCTCTAGGTTCCCCATCAGATTTAGTCCCTATCTAAAACAAAAAACAAGACACCAGTGTCCAATGTCAGAATTATGACTTACATATCACCTACAACTAACCTTAAGTTGTAAGAAACGCCTTTTCTTTGGTGTGATGTGTTGAAGATTATTTTAAAAATATCAGAGTTGTTGTACATTCAGGTATTATACATACATACATCTTACTACACACACACACATACACACACAGTGATTGCTCAGGTAGTCAATTTCCTAGAACCTAACCTTATCAAAGACTCAGTCTTCAATTTGGGAAATGAAAAGGATTGCTAGTTGGGTAGTCAACTGGTGAACTTTTGGGGACAGAAATTTGTCACTACCTATTAGAAGTGTTAAAACTGTCTACGTCTCTGACTCAGAAGTATCACTTCTGGAAATGTATCCTAAACAAATAATCATAGATATGCACAAAGATTTAGAAATAAGGATGTACCTTCTCAGAATAATTTATCTCTAATGTTTTTTTTTTTAAAAAAAGAATTAAATATTCAACAATAATGAATTGGTTAAATAAATTATAGGATCCTACTATATGTACGTATCAACAAAGTATCATAAAAATTATATTGTAGGAGATTTAATGACACAAAGCTATAATAAGTGAAAACAAGTTAAAAAGAACCGTGTGCATTCTGATCTTACATGTGCAAATTTATCTATATCAAGAAAAAGGTAGGAGGACAAACACCAACATGCCAACAACATAAATCTCCAGGTGATAAGATTATGGGTGTTATTTCATTTTCTTCACTTTGCTTACATTTTGTTTTTTTCTGCTTTAAATGTTACTCATATATTAATAATAAGAAAAAAGCTTTAATGAAATCTTTAAATAAAAACCTTCATGAGTCCATGAAGCAGAGTTACCTAATTTTACAGCTACATAATAAAAACTTCTTGGCATATGGCTTTTATTCATTGTGGTCCAGGTGATGTTATCTGGGCTGATGCTAATTAGTTGTTTACACATGTCTCCCATTAGACTGTATAGATTTTTAGGGCAAAGGTCTGTTTTCTGTATCCCACAGCCCTGGCACCATAGTTTGTACAGAGCTGATGCTCAACAGCTGTAAACCCGTCTTCTTGACTAGACAAGTCTCCTGGTCACCTATTGTAGCACAAGAAGGCAGCAGGCAAAAGGTTGGAGATTCGTTTTTGCTGCAGGGACCTTTAAAATTAAGTAGCCAATTAGGCAAAAGCTTTTCCTCGGCAGATATCTGAATAAGTTAATATCAATATCATAGTGCTAAGCCATGAAAACAGCTGGGACCCATCTATATTAGATTATTTTCTAAAGAGAAGAATGTGAGATGGATCATTCAAATCCAAAGGGGACAAAAAACTCTAAAACACCCTAAAGTTCCTTTTTAAGCTTTTAGTTCAACCGTCCCTCTCAACCTATCTTCACCAGAACTGCTAACAGCAGTCAAGATGACAAGCTCTGGGTCATCAGGCTTTTCACTATCTCCTGGAACAGAGGCCAAAAAATAGTCTCTAAAGTGGGCGCACTAGTAAACATTCTAGGCTGTCTGGCCCAGAAGCAAAAATTGAACAACTGTTCTTACCAGAAGGCTGATATTCTTTTTTCCCACCATTTTCTAATTTATACTTTAAAAAGTGAAGACCATTCTTCACCTGCAGGGGTGCAAAAACAAGTGGCAGGTCAGACTGAGCCCGTGAGGAGTAGATGGCTGACCCTTGTCCAAGAAGATGCTGACAAAACCACAAAAATACTAATTGCAGGGGGCAGCAGAATATGAATAGAGTAGATGAGGAAGCAGAGCACATAGACAACATACGAACAAAGTAAGACATTACAGAATCCTTGGGAATTTGCTGCAATTAGTTTTGTTTGGTGGTGGTGGCAGTGATGTGTGTTTGTGTGTTTCAGATCACCCATCTAATTGGAAGGTCACGAAAGCTAATATTTCTAGGTGGAGAAGTGTAATGCAATGTGAGCTTGTGAGTCTCTAAGCTGACGTGTGGGGGAAAATATTGTGACAAAGAAGCGCTGTAATTATTGGATGGATTACTCAATATTTCTGAAATCTCAATTAGGTGGTCTGAAACTTCATCACACTGACTTAGGTCTGATAATACTCGAAGCTAAGAGCCTGATCTGAGAAGAGGGTCTGCAAGCTAAATGTGATTGACCATTCCGTAATAGCAACAGAGTTGCAGCTCCACGGGTAAAAAACACAAGCACCAACCCATGTTTCTAATCAACAGTTTGGAAATGAGAGTCTTGGCAACCTGTAGTGATTTTTTCATTAATTCCACAATCCTGAGTTCTATTTTTGCTTCTAGGTAGGGTCCTCAATTAGCAACATTAAGGCCTCTATCTGTCAACCTATGTCAAATTAATCCCCTATTTTCACCAATGTGCCTTAATTTTGATTCAATATGATAATGCATACTTACAGAAAATTTTCTTCAATGCATGCCGAAATTAACCTGATAAAAACACCTCCACAGTTTTCATTTTGGGGGCTATGCAATCTATATGCAAGGGTGCAAGGTAGAAAGAGCTCAAACCCAGGATTCAAACTGAAACCTAAACAGACATGGGTGTGAATGATCCTGATGGGGCGCTCATGAGCAAGCTAACATTGACTGGTTTCCTTATGTATAAGATATTCTGAGGATTACTTGAGGTGAGGTATGCAAAGTGCCTAACAATATTTAGTAGAGTTCTGTACCTTTTAAATGAAAACTCAGATGGATCTTTATCACTCTAAAATCACTGATTCCTGAAAAAGAAAAATTTGACCAAACTAATGGTCATGTTCAGCGACAGATGAAAAATCTGGTCAGCTCAGTTTATTCAATCAGGTGGAAGCAAATCTACCTGTGGCAGCTAGAAATACTTGCGGAGGCCCAGTGTGAGGGACCTGTGGTAAATTCAACCAGAGAAAATCTGGGATCCTGTGTTTTGCTACCGAAGCTTTAGTTCACGTGTAGTTAAGAGGGAACTATTTCGTGTTACTGTAATTTACTTTGATTCTAGAACTCAAAGTTTTTAACAGAGCTAGAGAGAAAGAAAGAAAAAAAAATGAGAGTTGGGGTGGGGTAGAACATCATAAAGATGTTCCAGAGTTATTTTCCAGGTTAAATTAGCATTTCCTGGAACAGTGGCTTTTAGAATTTATACTGTGCCAGTGAAGGTAAACATCTAAGAGTCAGTGGAAATGCTTACCTCTGAAGACAGAAGACAAGCAAACTCTCCATTCACCTATAGATGGTCCTCAATACTTAGGTACCAGCGAGAAGGATAATCTAAACATCCAATCACATTGAGCACACCAGGAGGAGAGGAGTCAAAGAGTCACATCACATCTTCCTTCCTCCCTCTTAGATACCCAGCCTAGCTCAGTGCCTGCTGCATAACAGACACTCAATAAATGTTTACGGAAGAAATACTGAATCCAAAATGCCAAAAAGGAAAACTGCAGATCTCTCACATCAATATAAATTCTACCTGACCGTTGGAATGAAACACTTTTATATATTTATAAAAATATGTAACCATATTTCCTGAAGACTTAGAACTAATATATTCTGTGCTGGTGGTTCCCAATCCTTTTCAAGATAAGAACATCTTAATAGTCGCCTTAATTTATTCACCTACAGAGAATGGTAAGTACACGCAGTGGCCCAGTGGTGGTGGTTTGGACCCACAGTTGAGTCTTTAAATCAGTGGTCCTCATCTGTATGAGAATCTATTTCAGAATCTCCTGGGAGCGCTCAAAGGAAGCAGCTAGCTCCACTGAATAAGAAAACTAGGGTGGGGTGGGAGGGAACAGAAAGCAGGCATGTATATTTTTTAAAAGCTTCCTTAGAATCCTAATGTACCCCTGAACTCTATTTCCTGCCAAAACTGACGCTATATGGCATTGCCACTCAATCTTCGCAACCCAGTGAGATAGTGTGACTGTTGAGAAAGCCAGGGCTCAGTGAGGAGCCTAGGAAAAGCTGATGTAGAATTCATACTCCTATGTGAGAGTTGCCATTTTCTTTCTGCATTTTTTTGAGACACGGTCTTGCTTTGTCGCCCAGGCTGGAGGGCAGTGGTCCGATTACAGCTCACTACAGCCTCTGCCTCCCAGGATCAAGCAATCCTCCCACCTCAGCCTCCTGAGGAACTTGGGACTACAGGTATAAGTGCCACTGTGCCCAGCTAATTTTTGTATTTTTTTGTAGAGACAGGGTTTCACCATGTTGCCCAGGCTGGTCTGAAATTCCTGGACTGAAGCAATCCTCCTGCCTCGACCTCCCAAAGTCCTGGGATTACAGGCGTGAGCCACCACACCTGGTCTTCATTTTTACTGTTTTGAATTCAACATTTGCTCCAGTATGAATCAAAACTTGACCAATATCATCCTACCCAATATCCTACAGGCAGATGCCTCACCTCCCAGAGTAATTTAGAAAACCAGTGCCATAAGAGACCCACTCAATTGGAAAAAAAAAAATCAAAGTACTGCTTTAATAGGATAGCCCTGAACTTACCTGGCTAAAAGAGCTTTACAACAATAAATGCTCATTAGAATATGTTTTGATGATGACTTTAAACAAAACACAAAATAAAAGGTTAACTACCATAATACTAACTGGCCTTGGGGAAGTTACTTACCCTGCCTAGGATTCAGTTTCCTTGACTGCAAAGATTCAAATCATATTAACTGTCTGACAGGGTTGTTGTGAAACTGAATGAAAAAATGCCCAAGAGGCTGACACAGATTCAGGGGCTCATAAATGATGGTTGCTATTGTTCTTATTGCTATGATTTTACAACATTTTTGATTTATCCTTCATTAAATATACTTTGTTCAATGGCAATCCCAAGAGATGGGATTAAAACTAAGCAGAAACTAAGTTTTTCTACCTCAAACTTCAGCTCTTCAAAGGCATATGTGGGACCTCGTATCTATGCTCTAAGGGAGATGAGAAAACAGCCAGAATTGGCTCCAAGAAAGCAGCGGCCCACTCGTCTAGATATTTGCTCTGTCCTGTAAATGTGAATAATGAAACTGATCATCTTTTAGCTGCTCTCCAGAGGGAGGCCTGGACACCTGAGTGGGACATACAGACCTGATGAGGATTCCAGTCGCTGTCAAAGATGACCACTGTATCAGCTGCCTGAAGATTTAAGCCCAGGCCACCAGCTCTGGTGCTCAGCAAGAAAATGAAATACTGGGATCCAGGTTCATTGAATTTCTTCAGCAAAGCAGCACGATCTTCAGACTTGGTGGTGCCTAAGGGGATCAGAAAAATTAATTTGCCAATTAACTCTTGTCTGAAAATGGCACAGAACGAGACAAAAAAGCTTGCTTCCTTCGAGAAATATACCCAGACTCCTCCTAACACTGATGAGGTAATTTCCAGGGCTTTGTACTTCTGGGAAAAAACTTTGAACATTTTGCAATTACAAAAAAAAGAGCTTAAACATTTCTGACGAGGCATCTTTGTAACTTTACACATTTTACAAAATCCTTACTTTCACCTAAAACAATGAAAACATTTTTTGGATTTATTTCTGTGATTTATAACAAATAATTTTAAGAACATACACACTTCTTCTCTCTCCCTCTCGCTCTCTCACACACACACGTGCACTTAAAACTGTAATAATGGCTTAGAGAAACTTTGCCAATAGGCATTAAAGCAAGGACTTTTTTATGCCAAGAAAATAGAAAAAAAAGGAAAGTTCTTTTCTACTGCTTTACCATTTCGATTGAAGTATGGTCCGTTTGGTAAAAACATAAATTATGAATGAATTTTTTTTTTTTGCAAATGGAATAATTTTATCCTTTTTAGCAAGACTTAAAGCCACAATAATCCCCCCCCCAACAAAAAACAAGAAATCTCTTAGTCTGTTTCTCACGTTAACATCCCGCTCTGTTGAGTTCAAAGCATGCTAAATCAAAACCAACTAAACAGAGCAGCATGTTAAACACCTGGGTGTGGTTTGCCCCATGGGGTCTGAGGAGGCTCCAAAAGAGTGAATAAGCAGAGAGGACCAAACCTTAGAGTCTGGTGCTCACTTTTGGGGCATTCTTGCATTTCGGATGAGCCACTCAATTACATATTATGTATGTGTAATGTATTTACCCAGCCATTTCATGAAGTGCATTGTGGAAGGGGAGAGAAAGAAAAAAAAACACCAGTATTCCATCTGAACATATTTCACCAGAAACACTTAGATGTTGAATTTTGAAAAAAGGCTTTAGGTTGTTTGGAAATATGTATGCATGTTACATGATAGTCCCTGACTGGCTGCTATTCAAATATTATTCTTACATGCTGTTCTTTTTTTAAGGATGAAAACATACGAGCAATTTATTTCAGAGGATTAAAACATTTAAGTGACTACAGCTAATGAATCAAGTTACTATGAGGGCCAAGTTCTCAAAATTGGGGACAATCTGTTTTTCACATTTAATAAAACTAACAAATGCCCTCCTGAGGAGGGAGAAGACAAATCACTTCCCTGCATACAGCAAACAAGGATTAGGAATGAGGGGTTTGGGGGCTTTCCTCATTTAATGGAGTCACATTCTTTAGACCCAATTTACTTTCTACGTTAGGTTTCCAGTTTAGTGAACTGGTGAGGTCCGACACAATCAGTTGTCTGAGTTTAGATTTTGGAGGAGGAGCACTAAACATGCTTTGATGAGTGAGCTTTCAAGTGTGGGGCTCTTTTTTCTTTTATTTTCAGAATTGGCTTTCTGAGATCATGGTGAACTATCTGTTCACGATGCTAATGGAAGATATGTTCTGCCACGAAACCTCTATCATCTTTCCAGCTGCAAGAATTTTTTTAAAAATTACTCACATGGATTAATGGTTCACATATTTCTCCTCTGCCTTAAATTGAATGAAAAGCCACAGAAACCAAAAATTCCTTCTAAAATGGGGAAAGAAGAGATCATGGCATCTTTGTTTCTGACAACTGGGTACAAAAACTATACATCTATACTCTCAGGACAGAAGTTCAACCGTTTTTGATTAACTGAAAATGAACCAGCTGATAATCACATGGATTAATGGAACCAAACAGTTAATCTCATCAGGTCTGCCTGCCCTGCATGCTTTTGGTTTCTTGCTTTTTGTTATTTTTGTTTTCTCTTTTTCTGTGAAGCTGAAGGCTGCGGTAGCTGAAGGTCTTGATGCTGAATGCTCAAACTTGACCTTCACTGGCTGCTTTACAGATAACATGCATATGTCACCATGGCAATGGTTGTTACTTCAGTTGCTTTTCAGGAACTTTAGCCAGCTCTGTCCACTTCAAACTGGTTGACACCACTGACCCTTAAACTAGGCCTGAGCGCAAGTGCCCAAGAGATGGCCTTTTGATGTCGGAGAGCCAAGAACTCCACCATCATATCACGCTAACACTGTCATTTTCTGCATGTATGTCCTCGGAAACGCCATGAACCCTGGCTATGCTTGTGTAGAATTAACCTGTGACTTCATTTTTCCCCACTGCCAATCACCTTTCCCTGTGCCTTACACCACCCCACTTCCTTACCCCGTAAATATCCCTAAGCCTTATCTTCAGGGACGTAGAGTTGAGGGCTGTTCTTCCATCTTTTTGCTTGGTTCCCTTGTGAATAAATCTTTTCTCCTTTGCAAAACCTGTGTCACAGTGATCAATTTACTGCACGTGGGCAGAACAGACGTGGATCTCGCCAGTAACATAAGATATAAATACAACCAATGCCTACTGGGATGAAATAACCTTACATGCAAAATAAAGCACTGAAAAACAAAAGGAATATCCAAATAAAATTATTTGGTCGAAGGAGTTTTCAGACCCTATACCAGATACCTCAAGCAAATAGGCCAACCATGTATCTCGTGTGTATTTAAACTGTATAGGCCAGGCACGGTGGCTCATGCCTGTAATCCCAGCACTGGGAAGCCAAGGTGGGTGGATTACCTGAGGTCAGGAGTTCAAGACCAGCCTGGCCAATATGATAAAACCCCGTCCCTACTAAAAATACAAAAATTAGCTGGGCATGGTGGCACATATCTGTAATCCCAGCTACTCGGGAGGGTGGGGCACAAGAATCGCTTGAACCCAGGAAGTGGAGGTTGTAGTGAGCTGAGATGCACTCCAGCCTGGGTGACAGAGTGAGACTTCGTCTCAACAAAATAGAATAGAATAGAATAGAATAGAATAGAATAGAATAAAATAAAATAAAATAAAATAAAATAAAATAAAATAAAATAAACTGTATAAATAGCTGGGAACTTGACAAATTACAAAAAACAATAAAAAAGATTAAGTCATTTTTCATACAAAACAATGGCATTTCTCATCACAAGGTTTGGAATTTGCTAGAAAACCACTTCCGTCAAAGATTTCCAAGTCAAGATCTTTGCTGATCATGAGCAATCTTTAATATTGTTCAGGGAGATTCAAACGACCATGTAAGAGTCTATCTAAAGGCAGACACTCTTTGCAAGTGGCACAAGATTTAACGTGCTCAAAACTAACATCAGTTTCATGGTCTTTCAGACTTTGATACATAACCAATTATAAGAATACAATTAATAGGGCAAGTGTGTTGAAAATTACAGAATTTACCAGAAGGAACACACTGTCAGACTTTCATGATGACTAATTTTAACTTAGTTTCAGTGACTTTTAGAAAGTATTGTCTTCTGGGATAAAACAAGTGAGAGCACCACTTGCTCTCACTCAAAAATCATTTCCAGTAAAAACAAAAACTATAATGGAGTATTAGCTAAATTTATTCATGCAACCATAATCTTTGCAGAAAATTTCTGCTTAGCTCTTGTCAAGTGATTTTTTTTCCCCTAAAGTCAAAATCTGAGACATCAAATTCAGCAGTGAAAATCTGAAGTCATTTTAATAATTGGGTGGTGGGATGGGGGACAGAAGGGGGTTCAGCTGGAAGTGTATGTACTAACTTATCTGTGTGTATACTGATTGTTTGTCCATTAGTTCTGTCCACCCTTAAAAGGAATGGCTGCTCTTTCTTACGGAAATATGCCTTTTCAATTCCATCTGTAACATGTTAGGCAATTTGCTTGTCTGTCTCCTTCCACCTAATGCTAAGGACTCTGAGAGCAGGAACAGTGAATAGTTCATCCATCCTGTATCTCTAGTGCATGGTGGTTTGCAATTACTCAACTGAAAATTTTAAATAAGTTCAAAATCATTCTTAAAATGTTGTAGCTAGAGAAGCAGCCTGTATTTTCAGAGATGGGGTACACCTCTCTGGATCTGCTAAAACTGAGCTAATCTGGAATCAAAGAGATCCAAGTTAGAACCTGGTCTCACCATATACCTTTGTTTTCTCATCTATTAAATGGGCATCATAATGGCACACTGGTTGACAGGGATAATAGTAGCTTATTTATTGAGAAAATCAAATTAATAACGCACATGAAATGCTTGGCCCAGAGTCCCACACAGAGTAGGTGTTCCATACATGTTAACTGTTGTGACTATTATTATTAATAACAAAAGGACAGCAGCCAACAAATGATTAAAGAGAACCTCTCAGGCTGACAAGAAAACACGAAAGCAATTTGTTTCCAGGAATTCACTCTTACCAGTCTGATAGATGCAAATATTCCAAAGGAGCAGTCCTCAGAGACCTGAGATTGGAAATGAAATGCCACAAAGTAGCAAGTGATAGTTATACAGGACACCTGTGTGGGGCTGTCAGTTCAGGGGAAAAGAGAGCCCCACAGCCCCTCACTTGAGCAGTAGGTAAAGGACAGTTTATCTCTTGAAGGAAGAGTGCTGAATTTTCCCCTCTTTCCAGAGGCAGGGATCCAGTCAAAGAAGAAGAGACAATAAAGGAAATTTGCCAACAGAGAAAAACTGTGCCTAATAGGAATGTATTTGTGAACTCAGAATTCACATTTACTTAACCATTCATTGGTTAAGTAATTTGGAGGGGAGAGGTAAAGGGGTTTAAATAATCAATGTTCACGCCTGTAATCCCAGCACTTTGGGAGGCCAAGGCAGGTGGATCACTTGAGGTCAGGAGTTCGAGACCAGCCTGGGCAACATGGTGAAACCCCATCTCTACTAACAATACACACAAAAAAATTAGCCGGGCATGGTGGCACATGCCTGTAATCCCAGCTACTCAGGAGGCTGAGGCAGGAGAATCACCTGAACCCAGGTGGCAGAGGTTGCAGTAAGCTGAGATCATGCTACTGGATTTCAGCCTGGGTGACAGAGTGAGACTCTGTCTCAATAAAAACAATAAAATAAAATAAAATAAAAATAATCAAGTTTGTCAAATGGTATAATTAATTTGAAAATTAATTAATAATACCCTAAGAGGCAGACCATAAAGAGAATTCATCTAAAACCTTAAGTCAGAGAACATACAGCAAGTCTAAGTTTGGTTTATATCCAATTACATTCAATTAAGGGCAAAAGGGAAACAAAATGTTGGATTGAAAATAAAGTCTTTTAATGAAACATAAACCTTAAATTTCCCATTTAACAGCAGTAATACTGCATTAGATAAATACCGGTATTAGTAGTATCCTCTTTTCTACCCAGGGATTAAATAGCATCCTGACTGTAAATTAACTTCTATTCCTACTTACCACTCTTTGAATGCCATATTTGTGCCCTGCCATTGTGTATAAATGCTGATACTTTCAACCTCTAATATATTATAGCTGATAGCCAAATCGTAAAATAATTTAGGGATTATCCCTAAAATCATATTTTCTTCCACTAATATTTTTTCTTACTAATTTTTAGGACATGGTATTTAAATTTCACTCTTAAAACCAGGCAAGTATTTTACATAGCTTGCAAAATCCAGGAAACAATGAAATCACGTCTCTTAATAACATAATATGTGGATATGTCTTATTTAGAAAGAGAGGAGCTTTAATGGTAAATATAATCTTAACTGAATGATTGTATTGTTACAAAGAAAAGTGACATAGCCTTTATCCCCTTAAAATATGCCTTTAACTGAAAAAGTTAAAGGTGTGTCAACGTATTCTATATGTTTGGCACATAGGTAACAATCAATTTTAAGAGCAAGGAAGATTTCAAAATTTTAGTTTAGTTTGATTTTATTTTATTTAGATACTCATAAGTGACTCTAAACTCATTTGTGTTGGTTTATATGTGGGCTATGCAGCTGCACAAATGAGGTCAGCTTATTTAAAGCTTAAGGATGCAAAAAATTGCTATCTAGAAAAACTGCACCCGATGCTGCTAGTCAATTCTTCAATTTTACCCCTTCTTTTTGGCTGAGAATGGATCTAAGTGCCCATTATCCCTTCATTTTCAGTAGTATGGCTTCTGAGCCTAATGCCTTATGCACTTACCATCAAGGCGTAGGTAAAGGAAGTTCCGAAAAGCAAAATAATCCTCCATGATGGTCATGAGAGATGTCATCTGGCAGAAAAGCAGCACTCGGTGATTAGTCGCTCTCAATTTTGGCAGAATACGATCAAGTAGCTCAAACTTTCCTGAGGCCCGATACAGTTCAGCCCTGAACCCAAAAAATGCAAAACAAGAAGACAGTATTACTTCTGTCTTCTTGAAAAATCCAGCATTGCTTTGTTTTTCATATAATCCTTTGTACACAGTAAACATTCAATAAGTGACTGTGAAATGAATGAATGAATGAATGAATATGAACTCCAAAGCAATGAGAATATTTAGCAGAAAAGGAAAATATATTCATATAAAACCCATCAAAAGTGCATTGCATATACTAGGTATGATTACAGGTTCTAGAAAGAAAAGGAACCACTTTCATGTTCTTAATACTTTCACAGTCTTTCTCTCAACTTATTCTTTCTCCTTGCCCTCTCTCTTTCTCTCTCTCTCACACACACACGCGCGTGTGCGTGAATATATGCCATGTTTCTGTAAATCCCTCCTTATTAATTATACACATTTTTAAATTGTTAATTCAGGGCACTTAAGATTCATCTAAATACTTATTGATCACCTACTATGTACCAAGCACAGTGCTAGCCATGTATATAATAATAAGCAAAATACAGTCTCATTTTACTAAATGGATAATTACAAATTGTAATAAATACGATAAAAATAACAAGTTCCAATGAGAAACCCCACAGCAACATGTGATGCCTTCTTTAGATCAGAGCAGTTTGGCAACCTTTGGCCCCAGTCTGCTGTCTGTTTTTATAAATAAAAACAGACACAGCCACACTCACGCCTCTCTGTTTTCTGGCTGCTTTCACGCTACAGAGGCTGTGCTGAGCAGGTGTGGCAGACACTTTATGGCCCACAAAGCTGAGAATATTTACAATCTGGCTCTTTACAGAAAAAGTTTGCCAACCACTGGTTTACAGTGTCGGAGGTGACCTCCCTGAAGAGATAACATTTTAGCTACAACCTGAAATAATGAGTAAAAAGGCATCCAGGTGAAGAATGGGGGCACTGGGGTGGAGAGGAGGAGATTCCAGGGCGAGGAAAGAGCATGCATAAAGGTCCTGAGGGATAAAGGAGACAGAAGGATTTGAGAAATTGAAAAACAAACAAACAAACAAAAAAACCGGTAAGCATGGCTTAAACAGAAGTGAGGACAGAATACTGGGAGATGAAGACAGAGAGGTGGAGGATGAGATTAGGAATAGACTCTGTAGGGCTCTATGAGCTACACTGAACATTTTCATTTTCAGTGCAATGAAAAGCCATCAATGGGTTTTAAGCAGGGGAGTGATGAGGTCTGGCATACCTTTCTATAAGATCACTATGGACATCGTGTAAGAATGGACTGGGGGAGGACAAGTCTTGGATTACTATAGAAGTACAAGTCAAAAACACGATGGGAGTATGAGATGGAGAAGACGCTGTGATATGAAGAAAGGCTAAAGTAGGGCCTTTTCCCTCTATAGTTCATCCTTATTTTTCTTTTATCAACAGGGCTGTGTTATACAATTAAAACTGAATTCTAGGCGATACTGTTTAGAAAACTTGCCAGTGCACATGTAAACTATAGTACTGGAATGTATCATCTGGTAGTTGATTTTATGACACAGGATATGTTATTTCTAACACATTTTTCAAACGTATGTCTTCCTGATGTCCATTCCCCACTCTGAGAACTGTTCTCCAAATACCCCATAGCCGTGTTTTCACCACGCAACCCTGGCCAAGCTGATGGGAGCAGGAGTAACCACAGAACACAGAGAAAAGAAAGGCAAGAAGAGGCAGGGAAAGCTTAGCAGCACTGCTTCTGGATAGGTTATAGTTCCTGGTTCTTAGCCCAGTGAAACTGTCTGCCCTTGGGATCCAAGAATGATGACTACATCCTAATAATAAATTTTTCAAATTTGCAACACACACATACACACACACACACACACACACACACACACACAGACTTTCTGTTAAGGCAGTGTTCATTTTTGTTGTTGCAAGTCAATATTCTCTTTAACATCCATTGCTAATGAAAAACATTTCTTACACAGACCATACTCTAACAAATGACTATAAAACTGTAAACATTTACAGCAGATGAGAAATTTCTTCTCATGTACATTAATATCAAATGTCAATGTGAAATTTAATAAGATAAATTCTCTTCAAGCCCAGGCTATACTTTTGGTTATAAATAACAAACCTTTGAAACTTCAACAACATTTTTTGAACACTAGGATACTATTAAGTCTATTAAATAAGATCTATGTCCTTTGAATAGCCACTTGCTTAAGGCAAGTAATAATTTATGCCAGTAAAGTAAAAGAGAATGCTGATATCGTTTTGGTTAACTTCTCCACTGAAGAGCACTTAGAGGGCTGGAAGTATGTATTTGCACAAGAGGAAACACTGTAGAGAGGAGGAATTTATGTAAGGCCAACAACATTTTTTTTAAAAGAAAAAAAAAATTTGAGATTTACCCATTGATGACCCCATTTGAATAGCCTAGGTGTTCAGCAAAGGATTCCTTTAAAAGAGAGAGAGAGAGAGAAATGATTTTAAAAAATGTAATTATTAACTTAATGATTACTCCTTTAGTGATGTTATCCTACCTATTTCTATAGTTAAAACAAAATAATTAAGGAATAAGCAAAAAAACTTACATATATAATGAACGAGAAATTCAGTATATTGCATGCAGACTTTTGTTCCACCAGAAATGTATCCTGTGAGTTTCTTCTAGTCTCTAGACTCTCAGGTAACAGAGTTAGTTTACCCATCACACAGTCACTGAGCACCCACTGGCCCATAGCTGAGCCAATAGTTGTTTCTGGAGATCCACCCTCTAGGGTGGATCTGAACTCAAGGAGTTCAGAGTCTAGACTATAAGAGCACAATACAAGCAAATCAGAATTACTATGTATATATAAATACATGTGATAGGGCTTGGCTGTGTCCCCACTGAAATCTCATCTTGAATTGTAGCTCCCATAATTCCCGTGTGTCGTGGGAGGGACCCTGGGGGAATCAACTGAATCATCAGGAAGGTTTCCCCCAAGCCGTTCTCGTGATTGTAAGTCTCACGAGATCTGGTGGCTTTATAAGGGGTTTCCCTTTTCATTTGGCTCTCACTCTCTCTTGCCTGCCACCATGTAAGATGTTCCTTTCGCCTTCTGCCATGATTGTGAGGCCTCCCCAACCATGTGAAATATGTGAGTTCATTAAACCTTTTTTCTTTCCAAATTGCCCAGTCTCAGGTATGCCTTTATCAGCAGCATGAAAACGGACTAATACAATATGCATTGTGGAAAAATTTAGCAATAAAAATAATGGTGATTACATATTCTAATTCTTAGTTTGGTGAAATCTTTTCTTTTTTTTTTGAGACAGAGTCTCACTCTGTTTACCAGGCTGGAGTGCAGTGGTACGGTCTCAGCTCATTGCAAACCTCCGCCTCCCAGGTTCAAGCAATTCTCCTGCCTCAGACTCCTGAGTAGTTGGGACTACAGCATGTGCCACTACACCTGGTTAATTTTCTGTATTTTTAGTACAGACAGGGTTTCACCACATTGGCCATGCTGGTCTTGAACTCCTTACCGCAAGTGACCTGACTGCCTTGGCCTCCCAAAGTGCTAGGCTTACTGGCATGAGCCACCATGCCTGGTCAGTTTGGTGAAATCCTAACATCTCTTCTATACTGTGCTTTCCTCTGTTACAAATAAAGTCCTAGATGTACAGCATCCCTCAGGTGTCTGGCTTCTGTTTTCAGAATACAGAGTGTAATCACATAACTTTAACTCCCTCCTTTCTGATTCACAGGAAGAAATACATGACTGTTCTCCATGCATTTCTCTATTCTGACTTTATGGGAATGGCAACCATCGGTGGGAATGGAGAGCAGGTTACACCTTCACATCAGCCACCGCTGTCTCCCTTTTCTGCCTTCCCTCCTCCCTGGATCCCTGCAGCGTTTCCTCCAATGGCACCAGATCTTTCCCTCTGGGCTCAACAGTACTCTCAAATATGCTCATCATCTATGGTAAGCTCCAGTCCTGTGGCAAAATTAACAGGATAGACTGTGGCCAATACCTTACCTCCATCCCCTAGAACCAAGCTCACAGTCTCCATTAGGCCCCATCCCTGTCTCCAAGCAGGCTTGTGAAAACCAAAGAGAGGGTGTCAATGGATGCTGTTGGAGATTAGGTAACAGCATCATGTTAAAAATACTGTTTTCATTTCTTGAGTTTGAAGGTCCCCAGGGAGGCAGTGAGACCCATTTTGAGGCTGAGCATCTGACAGGATTTAGTATGAACAAAGAGTGTGTGGCAAACGAAATACAACAAAGGCAAATTCACACACCACCTCTGTTCCATAGTTGTCACTAGATTTGCCATAACTGTGGATCTCGTTTCTAGGAATAGACTCCTGAGAGTTTTTCTGTTAAAAAAAAAAATTGCAAATCAAAGTCTGCCTTTCTACCAACTGCTACTTAAGATGTCAATATGTAGGTACCGAAGGGCATGCACCTTAAACTTCGCTTCCTTCATGATCCCACTCCTCCTCTATCCTTTCCCACCCTCCAGACTGAAGCTGGAGGACAGAAGGCATCATCTCCCTTCCTTCCCTACTTAGCCCAGCATGGCTGAAGGGATCATTTCTTTTATGATAACCAAAACGAAGTAAGATTGCTGCTTAATCTTCAAAATTCCTAAGTCCCCCAAGGCCCTCATAGATTACCATACATATCTTAAAATTGTTTTCAGAAAAAAATGGGACGGTGGGCAACAGGTTAGACTAACAAAACCCCAGGCAGTTTCATCATTAGACTTTTTTCCCAGCTCCTTTCAACCCAACCTACACCCACTACCAATTCATTGGTACCTTACATCTGATACAACACGACATCAGTTTACAAGATGCTTCGCATGTTATTGTTTAAAAGCTGGTCCTCCTGCCAGTCCTATAATCTATTATTACCCCTGTTTACAAATCAAGCACATTATAGCATGGAGAATCTGATGACTTACCCCAGTTCACAGTTACAAAGTGACCTGGTGGATATGAATTCATTATTGGCCATTGCATTCCCCTTCAATAATACATGTAAATAATTATGACTTACTAGTGAGACTTTTTTTTTTTTTTTTTTTTTTTGAGACCGACTTTCGCTCTTGTCACTCAGGCTGGAGTGCAATGGCATGATCTTGGCTCACTGCAACCTCCACCTCCCAGGTTCAAGCAATTCTGTTTCCTCAGCCTCCTGTGTAGCTGGGATTACAGGCGCCTGACATGATGCCCAGCTAATTTTTGTAGTTTTATAATTCTGTAGTTTTGTAATTTTGTAGTTTTAGACAGGGTTTTACCATGTTGGCCAGGCCGGTCTCGAACTCCTGACCTCAGGTGATCTGCCCGCCTCGGCCTACCAAAGTGCTGGGATTATAGGAGTGAGCCACCGCACCCAGCCCTGAGATTCTTTAAGTGTTGTTGCTGTTGTCGTTTTACTTCGATGTGTAGATACTTTCCCCTATGTCTATGGATATTCTCCTCTACGGCCATACACTCTCTCCTATGGCTGTGGGTACTCTCCCCAGTGTCTATGGATACTTTCTCCTATGGATGTGAAGGCAATAGCAGTGTCAGAAATCTTTCCAATTATCCAGCACAGCTAGAAAAGAATTCTGGCATGCGGATATGGTGTGCAATGAATACTCTGACCTGACAGGTACAACTGCCAAAAATAAGGGAGAAAAAAGAATATTCAAAAAGAAGAGTGCTCCAACTCAATTTTAATACTGTGATTAAGTTTTAACTCTCCAGAAGTTTCTATGTATTTTTTAAAATAAATTGATGCAGACACTGGAGCCCTGCAGTGATGTTCTCTATGTCTCCTGCCCATTTTGCAGGAGAAAGTAGGCACTACCCTGGCAAATAATTGCCACCAGGACCATTTGCCTCAGCAGCAGCAATGACAAATGGGGAATACAATTGTGGCTCCTTTTCATTCCTGCTCCAGTCAATTGCTCTGACTGGGGTGAAACACTGTCAATTTAGGAAACTTATTCACATGGAGTGAACATGGCAGAAAATGTCCTCTCCCTGCAAAATAGCTTTCTAGAGACCTGAGCATCAGGATGAATGCATGGATTTACATCATCACGACAGAAACAAGAAAGGAAAAATATAAATCAAAGTAACAGACTAAAGCCAGTGTCTTTTACAAAGAAAATATTTAAAGAAAATCTTTCTCTTTAGCAGTCATACATATGTTATTTTAATATTTTTCACAGCATTCTTCCGAGGAAGCTGAATGTATTTATCATTATCTTCAATTTCAGAGCTCCTACTATAACAAGGTAATTCACAGTACTTACCTAAACCCACACAAGTGAGCCACTGCTTACAACATTTTCTCTCCACTTTAAACTCTTGGTTATAAAATTCCAGATGCTCAAATGCTTGGTGCCAATGAGAACCCATAACCAGAATACTCATGTTTGTTAATTCTGCTTGTCGAGCTATCAGATCATGTCATCTCAACTTCCACCAACATGTTTTAAACCTATTTTGGTTTTTGTTTTGTTTGTTTGTTTTAACAACTAGCATTAGTATATTAGCACAATCAGGCTCTACACACACAATACAGACTTACCTCAATGTGCTGAAACATGTATGGGTGGTTGCAGATTTTTCTCAACTGCATGATAGTGTTCATAAGTGTCTTAGCACCTCCTTTCCCCTAAGAATCAGTGGAAAGAGAAAAATAAAACTAATTATTCACTGGTCAGACATTTCAGATCTTTTAAACTGGGCTTCTTATACAAAGGACCAAAGGTTTTCTCAGTCACCTACACACCTTGTGGTTCAAAGCTTCTTTAATTATATAGCCGTTCCTGAGTTAGATATAATGTCTTTCTTGTGATTAACTTATCCTACCAAAACAGTGAACCTTGAAGAATTATGTGTAGTCAATGGCTTTGTGACATGACTGTCTATTCCGTAGGACTCCAGAACACAGAAGCACAGAACAGATGCCCAGGGAGTGAAACTGGATTTTAAAACCTTCTGAAATGCCACCCCACATTTAGGCAGAATATATCTGCTGCAAAATTGACATAAGCAGAGCTAACTATTTTGGTAATGTGAACATATTCCTTCTTTCTTCCTGCCCCAATGCAGCTAAGAGGTGAAGAGATTATCTTTGGCAGCTCTAATAGCTCAAAGGAGGTCCAGTGATTTACTTTAACAAATCAGCATTAGCAGGGATGCTTCCTGTGAATATTCAATGTCACAGCCATGAGAAGACATATCACAGACCTTGAGTTGCATCATCTTCCGCAACATACCTTCTTATCTTTCTCAGAACCATCTGTGAGAAGGATCCCCTTAGCCTGCATATGGCGATACAGAATCTTCTGCAGAGCTGACATGTCACACTTGATCACATATTCCACCTGCGGAAAAGAGAACAGTAAGTAGGCAAGAGCAGGAAGGAGAAGGCGCCTGTTCTAAGAAGACTGCTGAATCAGTGTCACTCCTGGAAGCACAAAGGTGTCTCTCTCTTTCTTGGATTCATGGAGTGCGGGGTGAGATGGGGGTGTTAGAAGGGACCAGCGTCATCATTGTTAAAGGTACCATTATGATGGTGGGGGCTTCCAAAGGTTATATGTAATTGATGCTGGGGTCATGTTTTCTGAAATTTCTGGACTTGGTTCTAAATTTGAGAGAGAGAATGGCTTACAAACTGTTCAAATTCAAAAATGTTCAATATGGGGTATTTTTAGTATTTCCTTCACTTCCCAATTATACTTCCTTTCCTATGAACAGAACGGTTTTAGGAAAAGCAGTGACTGACAAATATCCTGTGATTTTCTTCGTGAAACATTTTTAAAGGGTCACATGTGGTATCTCTAATACTAGTCTAAAAGTGAGATTTATAACATCCCTAGGGTGACTACCATTAACTTCTACTCTTGAGAAATGGCAGGATGCAACCAAGTGAGAACAGGTGGAAGAGAGAAATTAATCCACAATTGGACACTACTTTATGGCCATCGAAAGGAGGACAAGGCCTCCTGTGCTTCCAGTTGAAATACCATCAAAATCCAATTTTACAAAGTTAAGGGGAATTCACATGCTCATGGTTTATCACACACCTGCATAGTTTATCATACTCCTAATACATAAAATCTGCCTTATTTCCTAGCATTGTTTTTCTTTATTTAAAAAAGAATCCCAAGAATACAAATGTGCAATTTTCATAATAAACATCAGATTAATGCCTAGAAATATGCAGAATGTGATTAAAAGTAAATCACCAAGCTAATGTTTAATAAACTGATTTAAAATGATCACATTATTTGCAGCTCTGAAGGCCAGGGAGAACAGGTCACAAAGAACTTGAATATTCATTCAATTGTTGCTTTAGAAGGAACCTGTCAGACCAAATGGAACCACAATTAATAGTTTTTGGCCACACATTTTGATGCATCAAAGGAGATTAGCGAAAAGCTCGCTCTTTTACAGAAAAGTGGAGAAGTGTAAGTAACCCTCCAAAAACATGCTTCAGTTTTTAATGACCTTCTTGGCCAGGTGAAAGAAAAATCTCCAAGATTAATAAATAAGTATGCATTTAACACAGGCTTTGTGTTTTAGAAAACTGATCATGTTACATATTTAAAGTACTTGTCTTTTTTTTTAATATAAAAAATTTCTATAATTTGGCCAGGTGTGGTGACTCATGCCTGCAGTCCCAGCACTTTGGGAGGCCGAGGTGGGCAGATCATGAGGTCAGGAGTTCCAGACCAGCCTGACCAACATGATGAAACCCCATCTCTACTAAAAATACAAAAATTAGCCAGGTGTGGTGGTGTGCACCTATAATCCCAGCTATTCAGGAGGCTGAGGCAGGAGAATTGCTGGAACCCAAGAGGCAGAGGTTGCAATGAGCCGAGATCATGCCACTGCACTGGAGTGACAGAGTGACACTCATTCAGGACATAGGCGTGGGCAAGGACTTCATGTCTAAAATACCAAAAGCAATGCCAACAAAAGCCAAAATTGACAAATGGGACCTAATCAAACTAAAGAGCTTCTGCACAGCAAAAGAAACTACCATCAGAGTGAACAGGCAACCTACAGGATGGGAGAAAATTTTTGCAATCTACTCATCTGACAAAGGGCTAATACCCAGAATCTACAAATAACTTAAACAAATTTACAAGAAAAAATCAAACAACACCATCAAAAAGTGGGTGAAGGATATGAACAGACACTTCTCAAAAGAAGACATTTATGCAGCCAACAGACACATGAAAAAATGCTCATCATCACTAGCCATCAGAGAAATGCAAATCAAAACCACAATGAGATACCATCTCACACCAGTTAGAATGGCGATCATAAAAAAGTCAGGAAACAACAAGTGCTGGAGAGGATGTGGAGAAACAGGAACGCTTTTACACTGTTGGTGGGACTGTAAACTAGTTCAACCATTGTGGTAGACAGTGTGGCAATTCCTCAAGGATCTAGAACTAGAAATACCATTTGACCCAGCCATCCCATTACTGGGTATATACCCAAAGGATTAGAAATCATGCTGCTATAAAGACACATGCACACGTATGTTTATTGCGGCACTATTCACAATAGCAAAGACTTGGAATCAACCCAAATGTCCATCAATGATAGACTGGATTAAGAAAATGTGGCACATATACACTGTGGAATACTATGTAGCCATAAAAAAGGATGAGTTCATGTCCTTTGTAGGGACATGGATGAAGCTGGAAACCATCATTATGAACAAACTGTCGCAAGGACAGAAAACCAAACACCACACGTTCTCACTCATAGGTGGGAATTGAACAATGAGAACACTTGGACACAGGGTGGGGAACATCACACACCAGGGCCTGTCATGGGGTAGGGGGAGGGGGGAGGGATAGCCTTAGGAGATATACCTAATGTAAATGACGAGTTACTGGGTGCAGCACACCAACATGGCACATGTATACATAAGTAACAAACCTGCACACTGTGCACATGTACCCTAGAACTTAATGTATAATAAAAAAAAATTCTAATTTTTTCAGCTTTACTGAGGTATAATTGTATCAAGGTATAATATTTTAAAAAGGTATAATATATAGAAACACAAATTACATATATTTAAGGTATGTCTGTGATATTTTGATATACACATACATTGTGAAGTGATTACCCCAGCCTTCTTCTTTTTCAAGAGCTGTTAACTCACAATGACATTTGATAATGGTAAAGAAAAATGTTGAACGACGTTAGACTTTAACAAGTATAATGGTAAAATGACATCAAGGACTAATATTACTAGGCTCTTTCCATAGAAAAGGCCCTGTGCAAAGTGCAAAGCGCTTTCTGTGCCTTCCCTCATTTAACACACAAAAGAGCTCTACTGAGATAGCTACATTTAGCCTTCTCATTTTATAGATTAGGAATCTGAGCACCACAGACGTTTAGCTACAGGCCCAAAGATATAGCTATTCAATGGCACAGTTAGGATTTGAAATAGAATCCACTCTTTTAAGCTCCATGTTAGGATGACGAAGGAGATTTTCAGGCTTCCTAGCTCTGCCTGAGGTTCACCTTCACCTGCACCTCCCTCCTGGCTTGATCAAACCTTCCTGAATGTAGAAGGCACGGCTGATGCTTATGCATTTGGGGAAGGCAGATCCAGAATTCAGGAAAGAACACTCAAGCACCTTCCTATCAGTCAGCCACTGCTAAGGGCTGGAGGTGAAGGAGTTTGGAAAGCAGGAGGCACGCATGGTGATGCCATGGAGACAGGGATGCAAGCATCCTCAAAGAGATCAAGTCCGCAGAGAGGCAAGCTGCTCTCCAGGACCTGATGGCTGCTCTTGGAAGGCAGAGTCTCTTTCCTCACACAATTAGGGGATTTAATACACATGATCAAAATCACATAAGCTTCACAACTGTATTTTATGTTTGCTCCCAGAGCCTTCTCAAACAACTCCATGCCACTTGGTTTGTTTTTGTACTTTTTCCCAGGCCTGGGATGTCCTTACTTAGTCTTAAGGCTCCTTTCTAACTCTACTCTACCCTGAGGACCCTTTTTAAGATCTTTCCCAATCACACTATCAGCCAAAGCCAATTTCCCTTTCATTTCTCTCAAAGAAGTTTGTCAGTAAGCTTTTTTGATAATGGAGAAGAAAAACAAGAAGACATGCTAAAGCTCATTTTCCCAATACACATCTACATATTTATTTATGAATTACTATATGCATGCACTAATATTAATGTCTCAAGATATGAGTTACTTTCAGGGCATGGGTCAATGTTAAAGGAAGTTGATTTATATCCCTATTTAAAGCTGCCAATTTGATGATATCTAATATTTTTCATCAACTCCAGCCCAAGTACCATGATGCGGCTGTTGAACACCAACACTAGGAATGGGAGAAGAGACAGGATGGCCTTTTTCCCGTTGTTCATCTATGCTTATGTGATTTCAACCTGCACTCCTTTGCAGAATCCTTTTAAACCCTTCTGGGGACCAGTGGTGGTAGTTTAGTTAAAATCAGATCATACTAAATCTCCTTATCTGGGCACAGGGAGACCCATAATGCCTTACCATCGGCAGAAACTAAATGAACCAGGCAACAAAGATGAATGGACTATCAGATGCTCCTGGTGGGGGAGACCCACTCTCACGCTTCCCCTGGGATAAGCTACACAGTGTACTCCCAGCACATGACTGGCTTTCAGACACACATACACACGTACCACAAAGGTACCAGTGTCAATTTGCATGTTAAATATCAGTAAAGATTTTTTTAAGAGAAAGATCAATATATATGATTGTTCTAACATCTTTCTCCACCCAGTGGATTACTAATAAGCATTCCCCAACACATACACCCATGTGTACATACTGCGTACCCCTGTCCTAAACCACCTGAATTCCTGAGTCATTCATTCTGATTGGTGGGATGATGTTGCTTTGCATTGCCACGCCATTATTCAGTGTGAGGAGCCCTCACCTCCACAGCCAAGTCTGTTGACTTCTCACATCATGCCTCCCATTTCTGGTATATTATGCCTCCCACCTGGCCTGAGTGCAGCACAATGTACAGAGCAGGCAATCAACAGGTATGTATCAAGAAAAGGGATGGGCTGAACAATTCTAAAGCCACCACACTGAATCACAGTGACGCAAGAAGTTTTTATAATAATCGTGCCAACTCCAACTCGGTTGAGTCTGAGTTCGCCCCCCAAAAAAATGTGATGGCATCTGTTTAGAGCATGCATGTGAAAGCTCCTCAAAATATACTGGTGCTATAGCAAATGAAACTTGTGACTTCTTCACGGGGGTGATTCTCCCAGTAAGTTAAGATTTGTGAGAGCCACTGGAGCTATTTTCGTTTAAATCATACGTAAAACTGAGGTGCTGACCTCATGTATTTGGTACTTATCTCCTAAGCATTCTTATGTTAGTAAATGGCCTAACTGGTCCCTAAAAGTAGGCAAGTCAGGTCACTATACTGGCCCAGCATTTCTTCTTATATATCCCTGTAGAAGTATTTGAACTTTGTTCATAGCTTCTGCCTGAATACTATTCTTCATTTATAATTCCCCTCCCTAAAGGATGTATTATTGGAATAATAAACCTAAACTACATGTGATATATCACTGCTTTGTGAACTGAGATTTTTAAACAATATGATTCAATTTATGAAAGTCTCAAGTTCTAAACTCTATGGCATGAGAGAGGAACAAAGTAATGATTATTTATGCTAAGCATTCCAAAATTTGATATAATGAATACACAAATTGCCAATGTAAGCAAAGCTTTGTTGGTGTTTTACACAAACTATATCAGAATCAGGACTGACTTCAGGTAGGTCAACCTCTAGTTAACCTCAGACATTAAATACATATTTTAGCATTTTTAGACATAAAGAAATACCCAGCCAATTGCAAGTATAGTTGGTTCTTGATAATATGAATTAACAAAAGAGTCAGCACAGATAACCTTAAATGGGAGCTAAATAGAAAAATCAATTTTTATTTAGCTTAAGTTGTTCTTATATAATCCCCTTTCTATTTGGCATTCTTTCCCGCGCATAAGAAATGGATTTTATGCCAACGGCTGGGCGGTGTTGGTGGTTTGGGGGTGGGTATATTCCCTTGCTCATTAAGTGTTTCATTAGACTAATATTAAAGCTAATTTTCCTATGTGGTTGACCTGCGTTTACAAAATTGTGGCCTTTATATACCTGCTTTAGTTTCACCTGAGAAAGCACATGAAAAGATGCTCAACAATATTAGACATTAGAGAATGCGAATTAAAGTTACAAGACACCACTATGCACCTATTGAATGGCTAGAAATCTTGAAAAACTGACAATACCAAGCACTAATGAGAATGTGGAGGAAGCAGAATGGTCATATATTTCTGGTGGGACTACCCAGTGGTTCAGACAGTCTAAGAAACAATGCAGAAGTTTCTTATAAATCTGTGTATACACTGACCATTCGATCAAGCAGTCATATACCTAAGGCGTTTACTCAAGTGAAATGAAAACCTATGTTCACACAACAACCTGCACATGAAGGTATATAGCAGCTCTATTCATAATTGTCAAAAACTAGAAATGACCCAAATGTCAAACAAACTGCACTGCATCCATATAATGGGATATTATTCAACAATAAAAACGAACCAACTATTGATACATGCAACAACATGGATGAATCTGAAACACATGTTGCCAAATAAAAAAAGAAACAGATGCAAAAGGTTATATATTGTCTTATTCTTTTTTTTTTTTTTTTTTTTTTTTTTGAGACGAGTTTGCTCTGTCACCAGGCTGGGTGAGTGGCGGATCTCAGTCACTCAACTCCGCCTCCGGGTTACGCCATCTCCTGCCTCAGCCTCCGATAGCTGGAACAGGCCCCCACCTCGCCCCTATTTTTTTTTTTAGAACTTCCCTGTTACCTCTCTCTCTCCTACCCGTGATCCCCATCTCCCTCCCATGCTGGATACTTGACCCCGCCCCCTGTCTTATTCTACTCATATGACATTTTGGAAAAGACAAAGCTATAGACAGGGATGGAGAACAGATTAGTGGCTGCACGAGGCTAAGAGCCGAGGGAGGGTTTGACTGAAAAGAAGTAGCACTGGGGAATACCAGGGAATTTTTTTTGAAGGGGTGGATGATTACATTATTTTGAATTTTTGTTGTGGGCATGGTTAACACAACTCTTCATTTGTCAAAACTCATAAAACTATACACCAAAAGAAGCAAATTTTACTACACGTAAATTAAAAAATCAAAGTAAAAGCCTCTTTCCTATATGGTTCTTTTTTCATAAAAACATTTGAGAATTACTCCTGTGAAAGTATTTAGCCTTTTCCTCCATCTGCCATAGTTCCTTTCTGGATTCTTTATTCAGGCTAAGTAAGACATACATGTTGTTTGTGGCTGTAAGCAGTGGTGGTAAAAGAAACTTCTTTACCCCCTAAGATGGCAATGAGATTTCCAACTTTCCCCAGGTTAAAAAAAAAAAAAAACCCTAACAAGGCTGAAAAAGTAGAAAATGAACATCAGCCCAGCCATATCAACAACAACCACATACACACACAAAGCACTTGAAAAGTTTACGGAGACAGATGCAGGGGGGCTACTGGAAGGATAGCAAAGACAAGAAAACAGTGAGAAAGAGCTTGAAGAATAGGAAAATGGAAGTCCTGTTAATAACAGAGACAGCAACATGAGTAGAAAATAAGGAATACGCCGAAGCAGCTGTCACTGGTTGGGTGCCTACCATGTGCCTGGCATAGTATTAGGAGCCCTACATCCCTTTAATCCTCAGAACTCCATAAGGTAGAGTCATTTATCTTCCAGATCACTGATAAGAACACTAAGACTCGTTTAGTTTAGATGACTTGCCCAAGTTCACATAGTAAGAGATGGAGAATGTGGTGAAACCCATGCCTACTCTGACAAGCAGAGCCCATGATTTCCACTCCACCAAGTTCCTCCAGGAAAAGATAACATGGCTGCCTTTAAAGATACAGATACCTCTAAAGGTAGCCATATATAATACCACACACTATTTTACGTATCTCAAATATAATACTCTGGGTGCTAAAGAGTACATGTATACTTCACGCAGGAGACATACTCTTGACAATTTGAGGGTAAACACAGTTTTAAAAATTTTTATCATCCTTCAAGTATACTCAGGAACTTCTCTTATAGAAAGAACCATAAAATAAATATTTTTGTAAAGCAAAGAATTCCTCTGATATAATTAATCACCTCATAATTCTTAAGCTGCAAAAATTTCAATTTTTCTCTAGTGGATTTTCTTAAAACATAACATACTTTCAACTTGCAATATATTTTTAAAAATCTATCTGTATTAGCCAGTCTTAGAAATGAATGAACAAGATTAAGAAGTTTTATGGAATGAATAAATGAAAGGCTTCAGTTAATTGCCTTTTATTTTATACCTCTTCTAAAGAAAAAAAAAAAGAAATCATGTGATAAATTAAAATAATTAACATTCCATCTCTATCACTTGCAGAATCACTGTAATTGTATGCTAGGAAGTAATTCAAGGCACCCACATGGCCACTATACCCATTTACCAATTTATGTACTCAGTAACTAAACTCCATCTTGAACAGAAAGGGTGCTACCCAGAGGCCAAGACCACAGGAAGTCCAAGGGAGTATCAACAGCATTCTACACCCAAGATGCATTCACCAGCAGAATAAAATACTTAAATACTTAGACTTTCACTGAGACATGCATGGTATAAAAATCATTTTTAATTTTTTTTCAGACTATCAATGCATAAAGGATTAGGGAGTAAAATTCTCTTTTAACAAAGTGATCAGCTTTGTACACCAATCTTGACAACTCCCACTTAAAAATGAACAGGAGGAACCGATCTGTCCAAAAATAGAGTCGTTACCCAGAAAAACCACAATCATGCAAAAAATAAAACATCTCAGAATTGGCTCTTCTAAAGAAAAAACTCCAATCAAAATACCTCATGCAACAAATAGTATACAATGCTAAACTATCTTTAAGAGAATGAAACTTAGAATTCAAATATGCATGGTTCCAAAATACGATCAGAAACATAGTAAACTAATACTCAAATCCAACCCCAAAACATAGAGCGAAGGGCTCAGAAGCTGTTCTAAAGCACCACAAACTAAGTTTCCAAAAGTTAGTCTGAAAAATACTGGCTTAACGTGGTCACAGGAACTTAATTTTTATGGCACGGAACAAAAATAATGTCCCCAAATAATTAGATGGTGTGTCTGTAATTTGCAGAAACTCTTGTTTTTTCACTTACTGTCAGAATGGTGACATCACAAACATCAAATACTAAATACATTTCTAGAAAACCTGCTAATGTTCCCCATCCCCTTCAATGATGACACAAGTCCCCAAAGTCAAATATTCCATTCACTTATAAGCAGAACAATTCTACAGTGCCTGCAACAGTGAACTCAATGAGGCCACTTAAAAAAAAAAAATCTAAAATTAAAATGTAAATGAGACTCAATGATTTTGATAATTTTATAAAATCCGCTCGAACGCTTTTGGAAAACAGGCTGCAAATGCTATAATTTCCCTTCTCTCTCTAGCCCTATCAAACAAAAAAGCACTTTAAGATATTTTCAAGATACTTATAACTACAATATGAGTCTGCTGTTTCAGAAACACAATCTCAGAGGCAGGTACTTCAAATATATTTGCTGGAGGAAAAAAAAACCCACAACTTTTGACTGTGCGACATACTTTTTCTGGAAGCTGGGATTCAACTTCTTTCTTCAGTCTCCTTAGTAAAAATGGTCTTAACACCTTATGTAGACGTCTGATGATCAATATAGTTTCTTCTTCATTTAAATCCACCTGTAAGAGAGGCTTATATGAATTTGATGTTTTAAAGAAAAGGATGTTTCATACAATAAAGCTTTATGTTACACTTATATGGTTCAATACATGATTAACATTTTACATGCATTAAAGCCAGGTTTAAGCCTATCATATCTACCTCTGAATTATCTTCCCACCTGCCTACCAAGCGGTAACAAAATGACCTCTAAATAGATCTTTGTCTTAATGCTGAGTTCTATGGAAAAGAGTCCAGAAGCCACCAGTTTTTATCAGTAGTGTCAACAGCCCCAAATTGTATGGAATATGACTGTCAATGAAGACGGACTGAAGATTGAGATAGAACGGGAGAAGAGGGGCAATAGTTAATATGTTCCCTATTTAAAGTGGCAGCCTTAAGTTAGGCCCTTCGTCTTGGTTGTCTCAGACACAGAAACATACTAAAGGAACAGGGGCTTGCACATATAAAGAAGAGGAACAAGAGTCGATCTAGTTTATGCTGGTGGACCTCTAAGTCCCTCTAACTTCACTCCTTTCCTTTTCTCAGCCCTATCTAGTTCAAATTTAGCCAAACTTACAAATTTCCCGGCTTTCTCTTTCACCTTCTCCTATTAACCTCTAGGGGGCAGAGTTGATTGACACTACTTTCTACAAATGGGCAAGCCAGTGAGTTAACCACTGAGGAGGGGCCCATGTGCCTCAAAATCAAAGGACCAAATAATTCAAACTGAAATTTTACTAAAGCATTTTTAGTGGCTTTTCATTCCTATGAATGAGGAACCACTATGAAAATGACATGTGCCCATTTCTTTTCTTGCAACGGCCCATTGTCTTCCTTTCATAAATGAGGTCTTAAGAGAAGACAGTGGAAGGAACAGTAAGAAACTGGAAAATAAATGGCTACTCCAGGAAGACAATTTACGTACACACAAAACTGAAACTCACATTAAAACCCAAAAAGAAAAAAAAAAAAAAGTGTGCAGAAAATTAGTGAAAACTAGTTCTGTTTTACACACAAACTCTTCATGTGGAAATATTTCAAAGGGAACTCCAAGTTTATAACAAGGAAAGATTTGTTTAAAGCTTGTATTTAGTTGTTAATTTGATCTGGTTAAATTAATTCAGCAAAACATCTCCATGTTCATCCTCCCTGTGGCCCACTGGTTCCACCAGTAGGGACCCTTTTCTGGTAGCCTGGTAAACATGCTGGCAAAAGACAAAGGGATTAGATGCCCCGTATACCACTAGATCCATTTTCCTAGGAGGGGAAAATAACCCCACCACGAGACCATGTCCACCCACCAATGGGTTTCATAAAATAAACAACATTGTAAACCACCCTGCGGGTGTTCTGTGGCAGTAATGTTCCCAGCTTTAGGGCCTTTCATTTCATGTCATTGTCATGCAGTAGAAAAAACAAAAGTCAGACCAGTACCCTTTCACCAGTCATGGCAAATGGAGCATTGAACCATTGTTCAAATGTGCTGCAGCTCTTAAAAATTGTGGGGAGGAGGAAGTTGAGGAGGGCCCAGAGTTCAGGGAGCTTATTCTGCAGCGGGGTCCCAGTCAAGAGGATCCTTCTGGGAGCCACATAGTGAGTGTTCAAGACCTGAGTCAGCTTGCAGTGGTGATTCTTCATTCGGTGGCCTTCATCCACTATCATGTATTTCCACCGAATCTATAACATAAGAGGAAGGATGGACATGTAGTAAGCAAGGGAAAATACAACTATTTCCAACAAGCAAGTAGTGGTGCGGGAAACCAAAGAACCCATCCTTGGTATATGATATGCCGTGATTACCTTTGAGACAAGAGAATCTCAACAATGTCTCATGCCTGATAGGCCACATAAGACATCCTGTAATAATAGAATGTTAAAGCAACAATGTTCCTTACAGACCTCGTAATTCCAAATCAACTTTTTACAAAGAAAGAAAGTTGGGTCCAGAATGACATGGTTGTTCCTACATGTGGATCCTGTATCTCCCCATCCAGTGCCCCTTCTAGTAATACTGTATCATGACAGCTATCCCAGATTTCATTGTCATGCTATTTCGGCTCATGACAGGTGCAGAATATAGGTACCCACCTGAAGCAGAGGTTAATGACTGATTTTTCCAAGATGGCCCTAGCAGGTTCTACAGCTGAGATATTCCTGGCTCCATACCTTCTTTTCTATTAGCCTGGCTGGTTACTACCTTTAGGGCTTGGCTGGGAAGTGTGTTTTGTTTTGTTTGGACTGGTTGCTAACATTTAAAAGTTGGACCATTTCACATTAAATTTGTACATACAGCTCTTCAAAAATTAGGTCTGACCCTCAATACACGCACATTCCTTACCTGCCAGATCTAGGACCCCTGTTTTATCTAAAATAAAAGTATATACTCACTGGCAGAAAGGGCAGTGCAAAAATATCATTCCTCTATTTATGCCAAAACTGCAGAATTAAATACAGCATAATTCCCCAACATGACTATTGCGTAAAACGTCCAGAATGCTTAAATGGCCCAGTCCTCTATCCTGTCTACACAGTCCCTTTCCTCTCTCATGCCTTGCCCTTCGGTCCTCTTAAGAGCACTGTTCAGTTTCTTAAAGTGAGAACAATGAGGAATGTTCCACTAAGCCTATCCATTCTCTACAAAACAGTGGCTATGGCCAAGAAAAACATCTGGTGCTCAGATGTCCCCAGATCCTGCTGCAAAGCTCCTAGAGACAGAAGGGAGATGAGGGAAGTATTCTATACAGTCCTTGCCTTCCTCATTAGAAGCATCAGACATGCCGGGGAAAAAGGAATAAAATTATCAGTCAGGCTGGGATGTATAGGTAAACAAACAAACAAACAAAAAACCTACCTCAATTTTTCTTGCTTCCTCCACCACCTCTAAGGAAAGTGCTTAAAGGATAATTAAAACTGTACAATCAACTGCCTCAAACTTACCAATAGCATGAAAAGAGGTAAGCAGACAAAAATATATTTAAATAAATATCCTAAATCTACTTTCTTGCCTAATTTAGCTTATGAAGTAATAAAGAATCAGAGGCCTTTGATTTTGCTATTGGGTCTACTACTAATTAGGTCTTCCACTTGGACAAAATTACTACCCCTTTCTATAGCTCCATTTCTCCAGTAACAAATAAAAGCAATGCATCTCATTACCAGGCATCTCCAATGAATCTTGAAATACATATGCAGATGACACAATATGAATTTTTTTAAAAGGATCTCAAATGTACAAATACATTCCCATAGTAATATTGAAAACACATCATTTTTGACACTGCCAAATTCATCTCTGAGTGTGAGGAGGTGGAACACAACATTGTTGCCAGTGCCATCTCAATTATTAAACCTCCCCTGGGAACACATTTCCTTTTTGTTATTTCCTATGATGCCATGAAGGGAACTCTCAGTTCCCAGAGCAAGAGTTTAATGCAGAGATAGAATAGACCCCAGAAATAGAGGTTCTATTCAATTTTGGACATAACTTAGTTTCAGATTATAGTGCTTTCAAAACATCATGGGGTAAAAAAAAAATTACTAAAGAGAAAAAAAAATGAGTTTTCATTATTTGTTCCATGAGAGAGAGTACTTCCATCTTTCTACATGAATGTACTAGAAGACAAGATGATAAAAATGGGGGTAAAAACTTCTACTTTGTGGCTGAGGAACAACTTAGGACACACAAATTAGGAGACACGTAAGTCACAGAAACACCTCTTTCTCAGTTTCAAATAAATAGTCACAGAAACAGCCTTGAGTAATCCAACAATGATAGTCTATTATTTCACCAGGAAAAACCTGAAACAAGACTACCACAAAAGCCAATGCTTGGATAAATGTTCATATGGCGGAGACCATATGCAGAGGTGTCTGGCTCATCTTTGGAGAAACAAAGGCACAAGAGGAATGAAGTTACACTGACAATATCTCAGGGCAACAAAAACAATTATTTCTCTCCCGAGAATGTTCAAAGCTGTTGGAGAGAAAAGAGTTGCAGAAGCAACCAGGTGAATTTTTCTAAGAGATGTAAACTCATCAACTCTGAGAGGACAGTCAAGAGCCATTCCAGGATCAACCATACACACACACACACACACACACACACACACACACACACACAAATAGCATGCATGAAATCAAATCCATGACCTAAATACATCAAACTCTGACAAAATTTTTAAAAAATAAAGAAAGGGACAAGCCATCTAAGGATCTAATTATACTATTGATTTGGGCAATACTTCACATTCCAGTGCGATGGTCCATAATTAGAGAGAAAATAATTTTTTAGAAACATACCTTTGCAAGAATGTGCTTGTCTTTTATAATATACTCATAAGTAGTCAAGAGGACATTGAATTTGCCACTCCGTAGCTGGGGGACAAGGGAGCGACGCATGGCAGGAGTACCCTGAATGGAAAGAAAACAGTATATGCATGATCCTATGGACATATATGTGTGTTATTTCTCACTATTCATAGCTTAATGATGCCCAGACATGTGACTGAAGAATGCACAGACACACATTCTCATAGACTGATCTATTATACACAAGGAAGTTTTGGCTAAATTACACGTCTTGACCCTTTTCAGATCTTTTTTAGAAAGGTTTTCCCACCAAAGACAGTGGGAGGGCAAAGAGAAATGACAGTGACTTTGTGGTAGTAGAGAACCCACTGCTCTGCTGAAAGGCTCCAGTTCTTTTGAGAAAGTACAGCAGGCAGCCCGGGCACCCGGGTAACTGCCTGACTTTGCAGGAACAGTCGGCACAGTAGCAGCCCACAGTGAGCCAGTCAGCAGCATGCAGAATGTGTGATATTTGTCATTTGTATTACTCTCATCAGAAACCTTGCAATATGATAATTAACAATTTTCTTCTGGATTTCACTATCTGAAAGTAATTATGGTTTATTACAGTCATCTTCTTGGGATGATTAACTCTCACGGTTTAGTACATGATGTACATGACAAAACTTTACAACCAAATACAGTTCACAGATGTGCATATGGAATGAAGAAAATACGGTCTATTTTTTGCTCTTCCACATTTATATATAAATACAGCATTCCAAACCTTGTAAGAAATTTTCACCACAGAAGGAGCCCATTTGTCAAATTCATATGTCCAGTTAGATAGAGTCCTATGGAACAACAAAAAAAAATACACAGAAAAAAGACATTTGTATAAAAATCAATGGTTAAAAAGATGTTCTTATTCATTTTCAGGCCTCACCTTGAAAGGGGCTACAGAATATAACATATCTCAACAACATATTTTAAAGGTGTGGAAATAAGAGATAAGTTCAAAATAAACTGTCACAAAACATGACAAGTTTGTGGTTCATAAAAAAAATCTTGTAAGAAAAAAAACAGAGAATATATAGAGAGCAAAAAACTAAACTGTAATATGATATTTAAAAAGAGCAATTGCCAGAATAATTTTAGGAGTCTTCATAAACAGTCATATAAGTTCAGAAAAAAGTTGAGTCAGGAAAAAGAAATTACAAAACCACATGAAAACATAAAATAAATCTGTCAAGAGGGAACGGGGAAGAAATATTGAATGACTTTTTTTTTAAAGTCCTGAAAGTGTCACTGTATATATGATTCAGAACATGCAAAATATAAATTAAATGCAAAAGATGCCTAAATATTATAGATACAGATAATTCATACAAAAAGGACTGCAAATAGTCTTCATTAGAAAAAATTCAAAGAAAACACAATAATATTAATAGAATCCTTCTTCTTACTGAAGGTCCAAGTTCCTATCAGCATTGAGATCTATAACAAGAGCTCGGTGAATAAAGCTGCAACCTAACACCCACAGGCAGACACACTGAACTCCCAGGGAGGGTGCGTGTGAATCATTATGCCCTCACTCAGTAGTGTCCACTTAGGACCTTCTAAGAAATACCCAGTGGGTGAGGCACTGGGAACATAATGGTGAACAGCAAAGGCCTGTCCTTACTAAGCAGCAAACTCACTGAAACATAACCTCAGTGCACATACTAAGGTTATTTTAATGCAAAATTCATAGTTGTGATTTTGATTTATATTCCGCTTTAAAAGGAAGATTTAAGAATATATAATCTTTTGGAAATGGAATAAGGAAAAAATCAAAGAAACCTCACACACCCACACACACACACACAAACTTTCCCCTTTGTGAGCCACTTAAGGAATAATGATGAGCAAGACTCACTATGCAGTGTTCAGGCTGTATAGACCTGTAATGCTAATGGCTGATAAAATCACTTGGTCCCCTGCTTAAAAGGCCAATCAAACAGGCTAGGATGGGGAGGGGTGGGAAATTAAAACCTAAATCCAGATTACATGCTCTTGGTAATCTGGATTTAGGTGACTACATGCTACAATTCTGTCTTAAGTAAAAGACAAGGATAAGCTACTAATCAACATACAGAACGATGACTGTGGAATAAATGACTTTACTTACGAAAGGGGAACAATGATGAGATAGGGGCCATTGAGTCTTTTGTGCTCCATCAGATAAGTGATGAGTGCAATGGTCTGTATGGTCTTTCCTAGCCCCATTTCATCAGCTAAGATTCCGTTCAAATTGTTATTATACAGGGAAACCATCCATTCCAGGCCCTGGAGCTGAAATGAAGAGTAATTGCTTCAATTATCCAAGATCTGCACAGGTAATTAATACTAATACAACTCAAGCGAGGCTGTGACTTCTTAACTCCTCAGTGCTATTTGTTGGGTCTCCCACAGTAGGAAAATGGGGGAAGCACCAATGCAAAAAGAATGTAAAATATGAGCCTGTAATCATTCCCGCTGCTTGGCAGGTGCTGAGTGTTAATCAGATTTAGAAATGATGGGCTGTAGCATACTGGTGAGTTTTAAAGCAGCTTTGCCGCTCATCCATACTTAGTATTTCACAGTATATGACATTCTAGAATTACTATAAATGAAAAAAGCCCAAACCAAAATCTAATCCAACCAGTCCAAGAATAAAAAGCCAATGTGAAGGTAGATTTGGCACACAGATCAGAGATTATTAGAAACAGCCTTTTTGGTAATAAAAAGGCTACCCCCAGGGTGAGGTCCCCTCAGTGAGAAGGCGGAGTGACCAGGAAGCCAGGAACACTCTGCTGGGACCACAGGAGGACATTTCTCTTCCTGGCAGGGAGAAAGCTCCCAGGCAGCACATGCAAACTTTGCAATGTGAGTACTCCCCAAAGGCTGCACATGAAGCTGGTGACTGGAAACACGCTCGACGTATTTCTGAAGTAAAAAAACACTGCACCAGAGATTCCCCACGTTAAGTACACAAGTAAGGTTGGGTGAAAATAAAAAGTTGTTAAACCTCCATCCCCCAATCAACAATTCCCTTCCACCATCATACCACAGATGCTGGATTTAAATGATAGGATCAATTATATATATATTTGCTAAAGTCAGTTCAGCTTGCTAATGATGTTATGCTTAGGGAAATGTTAATTTTTTATGTAAGAACAAAGCAAGTAATTAGTTTATTTAAAATATTTATTAAACGACTATTCTGTGCAAGGGGCCATGCAAGGAGCTGTAGCAGATAGATACGAAGGTCTGTAAGATGCATGCCTCCCTTCGGAAGCTCAAATCAAAGAGAAAACAATGAATGAGGCACATATGCACATATACCAAAAAGTGGTTGACAGTGCCAATGTATATGTATACATACAAAACTGTATTGACAAGAATTTTTCTTAGGGAGACACTACATTGGTTTGAAGCAATACTTCCATAAGGCACTTGAGATACTTTGTACCATGCAAGATTCCAAAGTCATCCTAAAGGTTTCTGCAGAAATACAGCAACACCAAGAGGTAAGTAGAGAAACAGGAAGAACCTCCAAGAGAATGGGCAAAAGATAGAGGGAAACAGTGGAAATTATTGTAAAACAAACAGTGGTAGATAGGAGAAGCTGTCTGCCTGTAATGTGTCCCTGAAACCACTAGACCTTTAGAAAAGTCAACTAAATACCAGAAACATTTTGGATACTCTGTAGGATGAATTTTTTTTTTTAAGTGAAAATTGATAAAGGGCTGAATTTTGCATTTGCGCTAATTCAATACAAAACAGAAGCAGAAACTAGCAACAGAGGAGACCAGAAATTCACAAAAATTGTGGGAAGTAATTTAGGTTTTCTCAGGCTGGAAACCAGCACAATTGGCCAGGGGGAGGATCACATGTTGAACCAAGCTTATGTGGCTCTCTAGGAGTAGCAGGAAAACCTCAGCCATGTCAAGGTTAAATAAGTATTAATGACACAAAAACCTGTCAAGAAGCAAGAAGGTAGAAAGCTTACTCATGGAGACAATGATCAGGGAAGGCTTTGAGCCACAACTTGAACTGGTTTGTGAGAAATGATCAGGGAAGGCTTTGAGCCACAACTTGAACTGGTTTGTGAGATCTCATCAGGCAGATATGGCTAGTCAAGATTCCAGGAAGAAGGCACTTTATGAGGTATAAACCCAGAGAGACACTGCAAGGCATGTTCAGGGAATGTATAGCAGCTCAGCAACACAAAGGCATAAAACTCACATATGGAAGTAGAAGCTGGCTTTGAAAAGAGAGTGATGAAGAGTGCTTAGAAGGGTGTTGGATGACAGAAGAAAATCCATGTGGCATTAAAAGTTATTTACAAATAATTCAAAAGATGGATCTCCCATATACAGATACACAAAAGTTTTATTAGAGCATGCTGTGAGTTAACATCTATGTCAGGTAGGCCAAATAAGATGAAACCTGCTTTGGATCGCATGACTATGACATGGTCTTTGGAGAACACATGACTTTACTACGGCCAGAGCAGTGGTCCTCAGAATGTGCTCCAGGGATTCTCAGGGGGCCCCCAAGACCTTGGCAGGAGATCTACAAGGTCAAAATGATTTGCATGACAATACTAAGGCATCACTTGTCATTTTTACTGTGTTGACATCTGCACTGATGATGTAAAAGCAATGGTAGGTAAAAACTGCTAGTGCTTTAGCACAAATCAAGGCAGTACTGTACTCGCAGTCATTGTATTCTGCACTCCTATGCAAGGGCAGCGGACACAGTGCCAAGTGTTAAGAGTGGAGAGGACCTGACGCCAACAAGTACACTTCCTAAAGTATATTCTAGAAGATGCTAGTCTTACAGGATGTTAATTGCTGATATAAAAATAGGGCTTGGTAGTCAAAGAAGTTTGGGAAATACAAAGTTAAACAATGTTAAATAAGTGATTTTACTGCAGGATGCTGATGTGCATTATGGTTACATGTTGATTTCCACAGAGTCCTAAGTGTGCTGATGGGCACGTGAATTAACAGGAGGTGTCACTGCCAGAGTGACCATATCTGGTTGTTGTCAAGGGACAGTCCAGGGTTATGCCTATTATCAATAATGTGACTATCGACTCATTCACAAGTATTCAATTTAGAAATAGTAATTTATATGTTAATCTTAGTTACAATATTTGGCCACAAACTTCTTTTTTTATTTTTTTTATTTTTTTTTTTTTGAGACAGAGTCTCACTGTCACCCAGGCTGGAGTGCAGTGGTGCTATCTTGGCTCACTGCAAGCTGCGCTCCCAGGCTCATGCCATTCTCCTGCCTCAGCTTCCTGAGGCTGAGTAGCTGGGACTACAGGCGCCCACCACCACGCCCGGCTAATTTTTTTTTGTTTTTAGGAGAGACGGGGTTTCACCGTGTTAGCCAGGGTGGTCTCCATCTCCTGACCTCATACTCCGCCTGCTTCAGCCTGCCAAAGTGCTGGGATTACAGATGTGAGCTACCACACCTGGTATCTTTTTTTTAATTTTTAAGGAGCAGTTCATAGAACAAATGTCTCATGGAATACACTTTGAGAAACATCACAAAGTGGTAGAAGGTAGAACACAGGAATTAGCCTCAATTACAGGTCAAATAAAACATTGGCCTAATTTTTAACCAAAGCACAGATGCTCACAATTTTATTGCATCTTTTTTTTTTTTTTTCTTTTTTTAGATGAGTTTCACTTTGTCACCGAGGCTGGAGTGCGGTGGCATGATCTTGGCTCACTGCAACCTCCGCCTCCCAGGCTCAAGCGATTCTCCTGCCTCAGCCTCCGGAGTAGCCGGGATTACAGACGTGTGCCATCACACCCGGCTAATTTTTGTATTTTTAGTAGAGACAGGGTTTCACCATGTTGGCCAGGCTAGTCTCGAACTCCTGACCTCAAGTGATCCACCCACCTCAGCCTCCCAAGGTGATGGGGATTACAGGAGTGAGCCACTTCGCCTGGCCTATTGTGTCTTAAGAAAAAGCATAAATGTAGTAGACAGCTACTCCTAGGCGGGTTGAATCCATGGCATAAAACCACAGCCACACCTACAGATTTTAAAGAAATACTTCATCTGCTTCAAGATGAGGCGTGGATGTTCTCCAGTTTAATACAATGTGGCTGGGTTTCCCATTTTGCAGAGATCACTTAAAATACATCCCAAAAGCATAAAAGAGAAAATGGGTATGGCATGCCCTAGTAAAGATAGTAACATGGAGTACTCTAAAAGAAGAATTATAGACACCATGAAAGGAATCTCAGTATTATAAGTGATGTGGCCTAAAATGTCTCGTCATCAAAAGCCCTTAGTTAACATGTGCATGACATACTTCAATCAAAATTAGGCAAATGATTATGACTTGCCAAGGAAACACAAACCACGCCAATTACCTGGTAATGCTTTAGGGTTCCGTTAATGAGGAGGGCGGACTGTTTCTCCACCCTCTCCGAGATGGCATGAGCCACGGTGTAGTAGGACTGGGAGCCCCTGGCACTGTACTGCATGCTGTATTCATCATCCACGTCTTGCTTAGCTGTCCTGGGAAAGGAAAAAGTGGAGAATCACACACAGACATGTGTGTGCATGTGTTGTTTTACTTCACTCAAAAAATGGTTTGAGAACCTAAAATAGCTGCAATAAGTGTGTTTTATTTATCAACCACTACTTGCCATGCAGTTAATATACACTATCTGTAATCCTCACAAAAAGCAAGCATAAAAGGCATGATGATGATCATCCCCATTTTATGCAGGTGGAGAACCTGAGGCTTACAGGGGTTACTTCATTTGTTTGAATCCCATAAAAGGTAGTGAAACCAGGATTCAAATGCAGGTCCCCTTGACCCAAAAGACAGATAGGAGCCAGAAACCTACACCTGCAGTTGAACATTTTGCTGATGAAGCCGTCCTAGACTGTTAAATACAAAGATAAATCCTGTTCACAGAACACTGGCTAAAGCTGGGAGGGCAGGGGGAGAGGGCAACCCAACATTAAAGGGGTAGGAAGGAGGAAAGGCAGGCTTCTATCTTCTGTGCCTTGTTCATGAGCTAGTCTGTTATTCGATAGGCAATGAGGAATCACTGAGGGGGATTCTTAATGCCTTCAGTGAAGGATCAGGGCAGACTGGTAAGAGGAAGGGTCCCTGAAGTGGGGCACACAGCCAGCAAATAAAAGGGAGGAGTATGAGGATGTCTATTTCTGGTACTTAAAATACCTCATCTTTTAAAATTTTCTCTTTTGTATATTGTTTCACAACAGTTTTCTTTTAATAGTCGAGCTATACAAGCAAAGAAATGTGCAAACCCTTGATGTAGAGGGCCCACAGGAATGGATGAGACACAGAGCCAGGACACTCGGAAGGTTGGAGAGGGTTCAGGGACTGGGTGGGAGTGGGTGGTCAACTTGGCAATGGCAGCAGGAGGAAGACAGGAATGGTGTCTCTCACTTGGGTTTCAGGGAGAGTGCCGATGTCATTAAGGGAGGCAGGAAAGGGAGTGAAGCAGCCAGTTAGGGAGGTAAGTCTCATTAGTTCAGTCTCGGATTGAAGTGCAGACGACAGGTGTGACGCTCAGGAGTGAGCCTGAGCTGGAGGAGGGGATTAAGGAGAGAGAAGAGGAAGGAAATGAGGAAGAAAGGGAAGGAAGGAAGGGAGGAAGGGAGGGAAGGAGGGAGAATCAACATGAAACCCCGAGACCTGGGAACCCAGAACTCAGTGGTGACCTCTAAGAGCAGTTTCAAGCAGAGTGTAGGCGTGAAGTTAGTTGCCTCCCTTAAACAAAATTTCCTAAAAGAAAATTCATGAAGCATCATCCTCAGGCAATGCATTTCCAAGGGAAAAACTCAATACACACTCAATGATCTGCTTAGCATCCTTCTCAGAAACTTCTTCGCTATTTGGATCCAGGAGTATTTTCTCTTCGGTTTCCTGCCTACTGGACTCTTCTTCCTCATCCTGGAGAAGGAACAAAGATTGGGAGGAAATTACATTTTAACAAGGAAATCTCTATGATTGACATTTTCTGAAAAGACATGAACTAGTATTCAACTTCACAAATGAAGTAAGATCATAAAATTCAGGGAGGAAGTAAATTTAACATCTACTTAAGTAGTGAGGCAATACCCCCATTCCATTGCTGTTGAAATCATGAATGAGAGAATGAAGGAAACTCTCTGAGAATCCCCTAGAACCCTTGCCCCCAAGAATGAGTATGTAAACATCATGCCAGAAACATAAATATTTATCATTATTTGGTTATCAGAGTCCTGTAGAGCATGTCTGCTCTCACTCAGTAGCATTCTCTCTAAAGCCATATTGTAGAGATATTAGGATCGTCCTTCTCATACAAACACTCTCACTGATGGCTGGGCGCAGCGGCTCATGCCTGAAATCCCAGCTACTCGGGAGGCTGAGGCAGGAGAATCGCTTGAACCCAGGAGGCAGAGGTTGCAGTGAGCCAAGATCACGCCACTGCACTCCAGCCTGGGCAACAAGAGTGAAACTCTGTCTCCAAACAAAACAAAACATAAAACAAAACAAAAAAATCCACTCTCTCTGATAACGCCCATGGGACTTGGATGGCCCCATACACATCCACTGTAGAGGACCTGGATCTTGCAAGCACACCGCTTTCTGTGGCTGATTCACATCACACATCACAGAGTACTGAGATTAAAAACTCTCAATAACTTGGCAAAGGATTCAATACCTCTCCCTTCTCAACTGAGTACTACATCCAGCTGACCCATTTGAAAACATCGCTAAATAAATGTCCTTTCTGTCTACTACTAACCTGGTGTAGAAGGCTAAATCTTTCCAGACAATCCAGTAGAATTTCCTTGAAAAGCGGGTTTAAAGAGAACCATGCTTTTCCATAAATCTTAAATGACAAAGTATGAACTGACATACTATCAAGGAGAAAAATCAAACCTTACGATAGCAGTTTAGAAGCAGGGAGTAAGCTAACGCATTGGCACAACTCCTTCATCTTCCAGGCCAGGAAATAAAATGCTGAGAGGGGACATGACTCTCCACATGTCACTCAGGCTCACCTGCAGCAGACCCATGCGATGGGCCCAGGGACAAGGGCTGTCTGTGCCCGTCATTCTCAGGTTGGCACCTGCTGGCTAGGCGGCCTACTTTATCTTATCTCTGCCCTCTCTGGCTCTCTTAACTCGAAGAGAAGTTTCTTTCAGTAGGTCATTTATAAGCCCATTCATCCAAGTAAACAAACCACCTTTAAATATCTTAGAGATAGAGTAGCTGGGGGAAAAAATAGCATCCCCCAAAAAGTATTTGCTTTTTAAAAAAAAAAAAAAAAACAGGATCTTGCTCTGTCACCCAGGCTGGAGTGCAGTTGCGTGACCTCAGCTCACTGCAGCCTCTGCCCAGGGCTCAAGCCATCCTCCTACCTCAGCCTCCTGAGTAGCTGGAACTGCAGGCATGCATCACCACACCCTGCTGATTTTTGTTTTTTTTGTAGAAACAGGGTTTCACCATGTTGCCCCAGCTGGTCTCGAACTCCCAGACTCAAGCAATTCTCCCACCTCAGCTTCCCAAAATGCTGGGATTACAGGCATGAGTCACCATGCCCAATCGTGTTTGCTTTTTAATGATCATACATTATATATGAATAATATATATATGAATATATATGCATCGTATATATTATATATGAATATAATGTAACTTTTATTATTCTTCCTTTTTACAAAAGCATTAAGTGCTCATGGAAGACTAATTTGGAAAACACAAGTCTACAAATAGAAGGAAAACAGCCATAGTCTTGAGATCCTGGTCAGCTATTACAGGTAAGGATGCTTTACCTGGTCCTTGGCACCTATACTACGGCACTCTCAAAAATATCGGATCTAATGACTTATTATATATTAACTAATATATATTAACAATGCCCTAATAAAGGAGATCAAAACTTCTTTTAATACTTCTATTTTTAATTATTACATTAAACATTTTGTAGCTGACTTAACGAATATTTTATTATTTCTCAATTTCTATTAGAAGTATCCAAGATTCCCATTTTAGGTCCTAGTTATACTAAGTATTCCTTCCAGGAGAACTGAGCGCTTCTCTTTGGGTAACAAGCATATTTAAGGAATTCAAACAAGAATCACATTTGGAGAGAAATCAAGAGGATCAATAAACTCATTAAACCAAGCCCATGTTGCCCTTTTTTGTCCAAGTTTCCAGACTCAGAATTGCAAATAGACTCTAAGGTCTGAAGGACTTCAGAACTTTTTGGCAGCTAATTCTCAGTGTGAACCACTTAGAGATATGGCATGGCCTTTCCCAAAGTAATCCATCTCCAATTCTCCCCCAAAAGACCACTTCACCATCTCCAAGTTAATGCCAGCTTCTCTTTCCTTGGTTACAAGTGAATTTAGAACGTGCCAAGTTTCCCCATTAGCCGGGGCCTCCCAAGAGATCACTGTACCTCTAGGCATACACCATCAAAGCATTTGTAAATCCTTAGCCCCAGCTGTCACCCAAAGGCCAATCCAGGAGGAAGAATTGATAGGAGGACACAAGGCCCGGGCTTACATGCAGGAAGAAGTTTCTTCCTCCGACAACTTTCAAACCAATAAACCCCAAACAGAGATACATACATACCTCCTCCTCGTAATCAGAATCACTCTCTTCACTGTCGGATCTAGGGGCAACTTCATAACTAAGGAAAAAGAGTGAGGAAGAGGAGGGGGCTTAGTTTTTTAAATTCTCAAACAATAAAGACACACATGACTTAATAGCACATTCTATGTGTAAAAGACAAATCCAAATAACAACTTCAACCATCTCAGCAAAGGCTGTGTAGTTTTAGTTTCGAGACTGTACAAGATTACCAAAATCTAAAAAGCTAAAAGAACACCGTGAATGCTGCTTTCATGCCTTACCCAGGATTCATTTCCAGCCAGGCGTCCAGCTGACTTGCTTTGGGTGCTTCTGGTCCAAACAGAACCTTGCCGGTTTCTGTGTGAGTCACTTTGACAGGGAGGTCACTCATCTGGCTGCTCTCATCTATGGGCTACAAAGGAGAGAAAATCATGTCATGGCTTGATGTTAAGACCTTCTCCCAGTTCTTTACTGGATGTGTCTCAGCATTTTTTGCTGCCCAGCATCTGAAACCTTATTCTGTGTTTGGAAATTTCACTACCTAATGAGTTTTGGTGGGAGGCGAGAGGCTACCTCCCACTAAAAAAACTGAAAATGCTGCCTCCCTGGCAGCTAAGATACAGGCACAAACCTCAGCTCCAGCAACCAGATACATCACCAAGGCTGTGAGTTAGGAGCTAGAAGTGCCAGGGTGTGGAAACCAACAGGTACACTGGTGCAGGGCAGACCACAGTAGCAACAATGCCAGGAAAGTGGTAATGGCTCTATCAAGCTTCTGCCCGCTCCCAACCACAGCCTGTCCTGACTGGACCAGTTGTAGAGCATAATATTGGGGATAGCCCTGAGTCAGGTTCTTCAGAAACCCTGGAGATCTGATGAGTTGCCCGGTATCCTATCAATATATTCCCTTTGTATTTAAATCAGGCAGAGTTGATTTCGGTCATTTGTAACTAACAACCCCCGATTCCTCAACTAATACTTTCCAGATAACAACTACTGCAAAGTCATGGTTTCACAGAGAATGAAAAACAGAAAAGGTATTATAACCCATGTCATCTCATGAGTGGCTGATTTGGTCTCTGCAGAACCGGTGTCCTTTTTCCAAAACTAACCCCCCAGGTATCTAACCCAACTATTGGTATCTTTGAGTGTGACAAAGAAAAAAGCTCTGCTCCTCTGAAATCTGGCAAATTGACCAAGATTAAGCTAAAGTTCATTACTAGACTACTATATCCAAGGAACACAAGAATCACACTTGAATATAATCAGTAGCGAATGACTGCTCCTGATTGCAGGGTGACCTGTACTTCTAGAAGCAGATCCCTAAGTAAAATGTTTATTTGGAAATGTTTGATTTGTGAGTGGTTCAAGTTATCTATCTCCTGAAAAGTAATAAAATTGAATTTTTAGACAATTCAAGAATTCCAAAATTTTTCCTAAATTCCTTTCAATTGGAATTAAGCAGAAATGATAGGATAACCTACAGTATGCTATAGTTTATCTTCCATATCTTATAGGAAATGACCAAAAAACAAAACAAAACAAAAAACACATAGCCAAAGGTTCTTTCCCCTTACACCCTCAACAAAGCACTGTCAGCATAAGAAACAATATATTAGCAATTATCCACAAAAATACCCTTAAAAAGAGAAAAGGCTTACTCTAGGTTGTCGTTTTTCTCTTTTGTGTGTGCTAAAGCAATGGTTTTGAACATCATTACTTTGCATGCCAACATGACACTTCTTCCTCATTAATGTAAAAGGTCATCTATATACTCAAGAGATAAAGAAGAAAATCTACAATTTGCTATCATTTCCCTTGGAAAAATCATATTCTGTTATCATGAACCATTATAATATAGCTTGTTTTTGTGCTAATGTCATGCCTCTAAGAAAACTGGAAATCACTGTAGATAGAATTAGAACCTTGGCAAAAGCACTGAATGAGAACAGAAGAGCATAATAATAAGAACATTATTTCTTTTTTTTTTTTTTTTTTTTGAGACGGGGTCTTGCTCTGTCACCCAGGCTGGAGTGCAGTGGCCGGATCTCAGCTCACTGCAAGCTCCGCCTCCCGGGTTCACGCCATTCTCCTGCCTCAGCCTCCCGAGTAGCTGGGACTACAGGCGCCCGCCACCTCGCCCGGCTAGTTTTTTATATTTTTTAGTAGAGACGGGGTTTCACCGGGTTAGCCAGGATGGTCTCGATCTCCTGACCTTGTGATCCACCCGTCTCGGCCTCCCAAAGTGCTGGGATTACAGGCTTGAGCCACCGCGCCCGGCCAGAACATTATTTCAAAACAGAGCAAGATGTCCACGTTGCAAGCCTTAGCAAACAGGACACATGTGTTAAGACTAAAAGAAAAAAAGATGTATGTCACAAGCCCAAGATCAGTAGCTAATTTTCCCAACAGACAGTAAGATGTAAGAACACTATTAAGCTAACATGTTAAATCTCTCCCTGTGTGCTTGTTAATTGTAGACCAATGGGAGGCATACTTAGGTAAGGCCAGGCTTTTGCAAATTAGAGTTGTTTCTAAGTGCTCTAATATACAGTATTCTTTTCCCATAACAGCCCACGGAGTTTCTTACATATCAGACATTTATCCTGATCCTTTCTTTCCTTGTGATTGATTATAGTGGTTAAGTAACATTTATTGTTCAAGAGGTTTCTGCATAGAATAGTGGTTCAATCTTTTTTTCTGCATCTCTGCTGTTTGAGTTCACAATACAACTGTGTGCAGAGCAATACCAGAATGGGAAGTGGCAACCTCCCACCCACTCCGATCTGCCAAGTAGGTTTATCAGAATTTATGAGACAAAATGAAGATCATTTGAAACAAACTCCCTTCCCATCCTGCTCTGGGAGTGTGCCTCCTCACTGTGAATCGCTTAAATTCTTCAGAAAAAAAATCCAATAAATAAATAGTATCCTCATAATTCAGGAGAATACTAGAACTACTAGGAAATGAATTTTAGGACTAGGCTGATGAATATACATATAGAAGCTATATGGCAAGCCTATTAAAAATGTCAAAAATAAGTTAACCAAATACGTGACTTCTTTAGTTTATATATTTTTATGATTTCAAACTAATAATAAACTAGAGAAACTGGGTCCTATGTTATGCTTCTGTATCATTTACTGGGCAAGATAATTAGAGAATCATTTAAGATTCTTACACACCCTATATATTTGTAAATATATGATTATATGTGCATAAAAAATTCTGAAACAGTATGCAATATATTTAATATCAGTTGATTGACAGTCTGACATGCAAGTAGATTATTTTTCACTGTATCCCTTTTGTACCATTCTAATGTTCTACTATGCTAATGTATTACTATTTTTACTTAAAATAAATAGCAGAGTAAGAAAAAATAGTATGTATCTGGCACGGACTCCGTTCAGCAGAACACAGTGGAAAGGATGACAATCCCTTACCTCTCCATCCGGTCCCAGGGCAGACTCCCCACCCTCTGCATTCTCTTCAGCCTTCTGCAAAACAACAAAAATGTTATATGTAACCAAGACGATGAGGTACAGGACTTCCTGGTAACTCTCTGGTATGTAATAGAATTTCATTGTTACCCCATTATTATCTAACAGAGCTTAAGTGTTAATGCCTTTTATGTTCATTTCTCTTTGCTGAGACAAAACATGAATTTTATGAGCAACTTGTAGAGAGTCACTTAAAGCCAGATATGATCTGAGACCAGCACGCTAGAGATTTGTAGATTGTGTCTTCAGGGACCCAAAGAACTTAAGATAGGGCAGCATCAAGACAGTGGTCAGAATCTGAAATGTTCTTCTCATGTTTGGGAGTGTGAAGACAAATCCTGACATAATTAGCTCAACTTTCCTATCCCCTAAGCAAGTTTTCTTCAGCAATGAAGAACAACATTCTAAAACTGTCCATCAAGAATAAGCTCTGATAGCAACAATAGACACTGGGGACTGCTAGAGGGGGGAAGGAGGGAGTGGGGCAAGAGTTGAAAAACTAATTATTGGGTACGATGATCTCTACCTGGGTGACAGGATCAACTGTAACACAAACCTCAGCATCACGCAATAGACCCAGGTAATAAACTTGCACATGTATCCCCTGAATCTAAAATAAAAGTTGAAATAATAAAAATAAAATAAAATAGGATTCTCAATAAAAAGAATAAGCTATGAACCACTCCATGGGCATAAAAACATAATATAAAACCTTATGAGTTCCCTGGATGTTTTTAATTCCACCTAAATTTCTTTCATAATATATAGTATTTCTACCATGTGTATATGGGAAAATTTGATGCAGATACTGTTGTCTCATGAAGAATTCTGTTATCTACCATTTCTTACATATCCCAATATCTTAGTCCATTAACTTCTATGTGCCTCAAAAACAACCTAAATGAAAAGTTAAGAATATGTCATATCAGCCAGGTACGGTGGCTCATGCCTGTAATCCCAGCACTTTGGGAGGCCAAGGTGGGCGGATTACAAGGTCAGGAGATCGAGACCATCCTGGTTAACACAGTGAAACCCCATCTCTACTAAAAATACAAAAAATCAGCTGGGCGTGGTAGCGGGTGCCTGTAGTCCTAGCTACTCAGGAGGCTGAGGCAGGAGAATGACATGAACCCAGGAGGCGGAGCTTGCAGTGAGCCAAGACCGCACCACTGCACTCCCACTGCACTCCAGTCTGGGTGACATAGTGAGACTCCGTCTCAAAAAAAAAAAAAAAAAAAAAGGAAAAAAAAAAAGATTATGTCATATCTTGTACATATCCAAGCAAGTCTCATCTGTAATATACGTAAAATAATGTAAAATTTCTTCCACTTATGATAACCTCTCTGACAAGTGAAATCTTTAAAATCACCTCTATAGAATCCCTATTTTAAAGTTACTGCTGGAAAGCTGTACTATTTCTGCATAGTATAACGAGAAAAAAAAAAACTTTAGTCATTTCCTTTGCCAAGATGCTTGAGAAAATGAGCTTTCCTCCCTTGGGCTCTTCAGTTAATTAAAAATAAAAAATGATGATACACAATCAATATGAACTCAACTTTGTTTACTTAAGATATCGATTATATAATACGTTTTTGCCTTCTAGAAAATAACTCAACTGTCTTTTGACAAAATAGCTTTTAAGAAAACACTTAAAGTTTAAAATCCACTTTTATTCATAGTGAAGAAAGGCAGTTCCATCAGCATTTGAAATTTCTGAAGTTCTTTTACAATGCAATTTTCTTACCAAAAATACATGTGTGTATGTATGCCAAAGCACAAGGCATTAAAAAAAATGCAGCTTCTACCAAACAGTAGGAAATAAAATACTCCCTTTGGTTATGATTTTCCAAGAAATTAAATTTCTATTTTTGTCACCCCAGAGCGAAAATACTTATAAGCTCAAAAGAAATGATCAGCTTCGAAGAGCATCAGGCTCTACATCTATGCTAGTGACACAGAGAACAATAACAGAACCCCTGTATTCAGAAAAGAAACCATCCCTGCTACCAGTCACTGAAGGTTCCATTTTTGAAATTCTCAGAATCTATACTCAGGGGACTATTTTAATTAATGGGGGAAAGTCAATTAATCCCACCATTCTTTCCATACAAATCAGAAATAAGCTACAAATTTGGCCAACAAAGAAAATCAAATGAGACAATGAATAAGCCAATTTCAAATATCTAGCAAGTGGAATTGGATCACCATTTCAATGAATAGTACATTAAAAAGCTTGAAGCATCATATATTAATATAATCAAAACTATTCTAAAGGATACTTTCCTATGAATATACTATAGACTAGCTAGATTGTTATCTAAAAACTGTCTCATAGTCAGGCCCTTCCATTACTTAAAATCCCCCAAACTATTTTTTAAAATTCTATTAGGTATCGAATCTGAGAGACGGAGTAATATTAGATTTAAGAGAGTTGAGTTCTGGAATTAGACAAACTGTGTTTGAATCTTAGCTCTCCGTAATTAAGTGCAAGAGACCTTAGTTGTATGATCTTCAGCAAATCATTTTCTCTTTGCGTCTTAGTTCCCTCTTGCATAAAACAGGAATGGTAACAAACAGTACCTATATCCTAGGGCTTCTGCAGGACTGGTCACTGTTTCAACATGTACAATCCAGTGTCACAATTAATATATATGCTGCCAGCCTCAATCTCCACATTGTACAAGGGTCAACGATAGTCCAAGGACTATTCTTTTATGTCTATAATTAAGACTGGCTGTAGCATTTCCTGAAAACTGCTTCATAAGCCTACGAGGTCAGGGATTTTTGTCTGTTTCGTTCACTGATGCATTCCCACACCTACAAGGGCATTTAAAAGGCACTAAATAAATATTTGGTGATTGAAGGAATGAATGAAAGCACAAAGAGCAATGCTTTCCACTTAGCATATGCTCATTAAATTATTATTACCATAAATAGGTGCCAATACATTTGCAAGTCATAAAATAGTTAAGAGCACGTACACAATTAGCCATTGAATTGGTGCTCTGTGTGACTTCCCTCGCAAGCATGCCCTGTCCTTGAACCCAATTCTGCCATGTTATTCTAAGAGATAGAGGCCAGGTGGCAGTCTACTCTATGGCAAAAGATGTCAATTTCTCCCATCATACTTTGGATTCCTTCAGTTTGATGACATTCCTGGTTGGTGCGCTTTCATAAGCCCATGTACTCACATCAACCTCATGCTGTGCCTCAAAACTTGAAAAAACAAAGCAAAACAAACACAACTGTCCCTTTTTTTGGTTCAAAATTAACACCCAAAAGCTTGTGATCGGTCTACTGTTTGAGCTGACTTCGGACAGTCTCTAAGCACCTGAGGAAATGTCCTGGTATGGATGCAGCAGCTGCTACAGTGTCTTCTGCCACCTGAGAAATTTTCATATGTAGTTATCTGCATGTGTAATTGCAAATGCATGCTATCAATATTAACGGTTGATGCCGGCACTTATTTCCATTGATTGAAAACAAAACAAAACACTGAACAAGAAACTTTGTACCGGCTTCTTCCTACATGCAAAAAGAGTTTAGAACTAATTATGCTTATGTAGGAAGGGAGGAGTATAATTAACCTAATCATGTAAGGGGACATGATAGGAATTATTCATAACTAAAGATTACTCATAACTAAAAATTACTCAAACTAAAGACAGTGTGTGTTCCCAATTTCCAAGGCCAATGTCAATTCGTATCTTCCATTTAGCAATGTTCACAAACAAAGGTATGTGCACGGCTACCCATCTTCCTTGCAGAAGGTATAAAAAGTAATCAACAACAGGGCTGAGGAAAGAAAGAAATCTCTAAACATGAAAATCCCGTGTAAGCTGAACTCAATAGAAGACTTCAGTAGGCCATTTTATTTAGATTACTATAACATAGGCTATAAACAGCCTCATTACATAAAGAAACAGTTTTAAATCAAATATTTTACAATCTCTATTATAAAATGAATGTACTTTATCCCCCAGTGGGTGTTATTATAATATACTGAAACAACATTCAAATGTGCTGGTATCTGAAGGACTCATTCTGTTTCGCTGGAAACCTAAGCTTTCCAAAACCACTTGAGTTATTTTTACTGTCATTTAAGCGGACCTTAAGATAGGTAATCGGTAATTTTTAAAAATGCCCAGGAATATCAAATTAACAGGCATTTGCAAATTACTTGGGTTGTTTCTTACAGAGAAAATTAATTCGAACATTTTGACTCAAGTAACTGGTCAATCCAGTTAAACAGGACTTTGCTCTAAACTTCTAGTCTCACCCATTTTGACACTGAACTAATCAAATAAATCTAATCACTGTGGCATTGTGTTCACTTATCCTTACAATAGTTCCTACACTTGAATGTCCAGAATTACATTAGAACCTTTCTTTCATCTATGAAAATCTTGTAGAGGAAAGCTGTAATAAAGTATATAATCTTTGGGGAAACTATAAGAGATAAAAAAAAAAACTGAGAAGAATCAGGGAGTAGCTTGAATTTAAAATAAATGTCTCAATAATATTACTGCTTTGCTTTTCAAGCTCTTTTTACTAAAAATTGTGCCAACAGCAGGCTATTCTGACATTCTGGTATCTAAACAGGATAAAAACACATTTCCTACCACTATATTGGCCAATACATTATGCCAGGAAGGTTCGACCTGCAAAATATCACAGTCCTGAGATTTACTTATAATAAGTGGTTGGTAAGGAAAAAGAGAGAGAGAGAGAGACAGGATAAAAGAACTTTTAGAAAGAAAATCGAACCCTCCAATGTAGACTATATCTGGCCTAGTGTTGCCTCAGAGATTCTGAGTATATGCCCATTAGTATCATATGTTTCCAAAAAACGTCACAAATAAATAACACAAGAATAGTTCTGCTGGTATACATCCCACTGAAAGATGTGGAAGGGAGAATTAAATATTTAGTTTTGGCTGATGTCAACAGCTCTGGAAACTGAACCCCTGAAATAGCTAGACTTTTTTTTTTTTTGAGACAAGAGTCTTGCTCTGTCGCCCAGGCTAGAGTGCAGTGGTGCCATCTCGGCTCACTGAAAGCTCTGCCTCTCGGGTTCACACCATTCTCCTACCTCAGCCTCCTGAGTAGATGGGACTACATGTGCCCGCCACCATGCCCAGCTAATTTTTTTATATTTTTGAATAGAGACAGGGTTTCACCGTGTTAGCCAGGATGGTCTCGATCTCCTGACCTCATGATCCACCCACCCCAGCCTCCCAAACTGCTGGGATTACAGGCGTGAGCCACCGCACCTGGCCGATGGCTAGACTTTTAAGCAACAGGCAGGGGTGCTCCTGGTATGGGCTCCTAACCACAGCTTAAGGAAAAATGTACCCTAAAGTACTGTGAGAGATGCCTCATAATCACCAGGAACCCTTGTAAATTTAGAGGCCATGTAATTAGAAAATTCTCTTTGTAGGAGTTGGGGGAACAGGGTGGTAGGCAGAAGTTATCACCTGTGATAAATCCTCATTTCTCTTCTGCATGCCTCAATATTTAAAGAATCTGCCATTGTCCCCAAAGATAACCTACACACTAATATTCAACTGATTTCCAACTAGACAAGAAGTGGTGACCAATTATTACTGATTCAACACCACAAAGAATATGCAGTAAAGGTTTAAAAAAAGATTTATTTTCAGAAAAACATAACCACATTATAATTATGATTCCACTTTCGTATCATAGAATTGCTTGATGAAATAATGTTTACTGAGCACTTACTATATGTTAGGGTATATTCTACATGCTTTAGATAAACTTTCCCATGTAATCCTCACTACATATCTATGGGGTAGATAATGTTCCTGTTGCCTTCTTACAGATCATGGGACGGAAGCACTATGGTAATAGAGCTTTTAATGAAACAGCCTACAAGAGAATAACAGCAAATTAGTATATATATTTTCTTATGTAGTTTTGATTTTAAAAGATTACCTGCTAACACGACTCAATTCACTAATTTAGCCATGTTCACGCCTAGTTTTACATGTCCTGGTGCCTTTATCTAGCCCCATTCTCTTTTGTACCCTGTAGGAAACCTCAAGGTCATGCAAAACGCACATTATAGCACATTCATCTTGAACACCAAAGAAATTAGTTTCATATAACTAGGTTTTCAATACTTTAAAAATTATTCCTCCTCTGACACTTAAGGAGATACATGTAGTTCACTTCTTTTTCTTCCATTTCAAGGGCTTTAATGGAAGACCAGGCTGAGAATGAGAAGTTTCAAAATGATGTATAAATGTGTACTTCAAAAAATGTCTGTAATGATGAGAAAATTAAACAAGGTCATAACGGGTTAAAGGAAACCTACCCTATTATTCACGAGCAACAAGTAAACACAATAAACTCCCAAAGAAAGACTGAGGCCTCTGTTCTTCTACGAAATTAAAAAAAAAAAAATTGTACACTAGTTTAATGCTGAAAATAAAAGGTAATCCTTTTCAGATTAAATTAAGTGAAAAAGTCAACCATATTCATGTTTAATAGCACATTTCTTAGAGTTATCTGTAGCTTAGTTGTCCTTCAAACTTAGTGCTATTAGCTATTAGCTCACTGAGTAAAGTACGTTTTCTCAAAACAAAGGTTTATGGAAGTATTTGTTAATTTAAAAAATATTGATAGGTACAGCATAATATTTAATACCATAGAAAAGTGCTAAAAAGGATAGCAGAGATTTTTATGCTCATGGACATAGAAGTTTTCCTCCACCACAGAGAAGCTAGAATAAGCAACTCCCAATCATTCACTCTAATGGAGGGAAGAAGAACTACAGATAATCCAAAACGTCAAATCAGCTTTTCAAAGTATCCCCTTCCTTTGCACTTGAATAAAGGTGCATCTGGAACTGGATAATTCACTCTGAATGAAGTCTTAAAGCCCTGCAAAAGAGACAGATACCAGGAAGGGCTAAGGGCCTCAGTTTCTTTTCTTTTCTTTCCCCCCTTTCTTTGTCCCACTTCTCCCAGTAAGATACCCTGGAAGGAAACAGAGCCCCTCCAACTTAGCCCTGCTGAGGGCAGGGAGTGCTCAAATGCTAGGCACCCAAGAGCATGCAAGGAAAGGCAGATGGCTGACCATAAAGTAAAAATTCTGCACATTGATCATGTGAGATAATCAATGGGAGATACTCAAAGATATCTGTAAGGTAGACAATAGTTGCTTTGACATCTATTACTCATTTGCCAAGAAATCAGGCCCCACTTCCAACTGGAAACAGTTTCCCTCCACAACATTCATCCCAGCTTATAATTGTATATTTGGGTGCATGTTGGATTAATATCTGTCTAGCCTCTCTTTCTCTCTCTGATTAGTATCTGTCTAGCCTCTCTTTTTCTCTCTCTGATTAAATTGTGAGAGAAGGCAGGATGTTTTCCTCATCATTGTACCCCCCTTCTCCCAGCATTCTAGCACATGACCTAGCTCATAGTAAGTGTTCAGTTAGCATATGTTGAGTGAAAGCGTAAGACACAAAGAATAAGTGCTATTACCAAATTGAAGGCAAGGGTTTGAAAGGGGCGTGCCAACTTACAGTTCATGCAGAGTAACACCTGAAAAATAATTGTGACAGGTCCCTGTTCTGTACAGATGGACACACAAATATAGGCATAATCATCAACACTCAATTGTGTATCTTTCTCTGCCTATGATGATGCAGCTATCTAACACCATGGCAGAAATATATTAATTGTTAAGCCATAATCTCAAATCTGGGTCATTAGCTTTTAATCATAAAGAAATGTAAAACACAAATTTTAATACTAGAAACACTAACAGTGATAACCTCTGCAGAACACACGGCTGAATCAGGAAAAACTAAAAACTGCCATTTAATGGGATCCACTTCCAGAATATTCCAGAATTCCATCTTTCTCTGCTATCAATATGTCAGTAATTTCTTTTTAATTTTTAAACATTTTTTATGGAAGTCAAATAGACATAAAAAATTTACCATCTTTATCATTCTTCAATCTACAGTTCAGTGGTAATAACTACATTTATATGATTTCTTTCCCCATCATTCTTCCCTCCCCCTTACCTATATGTTCCTCACTAATTCTGAAAACATCTTTTTAAGGTAGGAATTGGAGCTGGAGTTTTGCACAGTCTATAATGCTACACTGACAAGAAAATGAGGTATTCCTCACCAACAAAATGTCTAAACACAAGCCCTGAGTCATCTCTCGTTCATCTTCACAATGAGGTAAGCTATCTTATACTAAAGAAATCAGTGCAAGAAGGCACCTTCTTGATCACTTATTCCTCCTCCTTAATTATGAAACATAATTTTTCCTCAGGTATGAGGATTCAGGGGCCATGAAATTAATTATTTTTTGAAAAGCAATTTGTTCAGTTATTCAGTGTACAGAATGAATGATGAAATGCTACCAATCCTCAACCTTTACAATTGTGACTTCCTGTTGATGTTTGTACCTGGCCTAAACAGAATTTATCATGAAAACACAGTATCAACCAAGAACTAGATGACTGGACGATTTAGGCTTCAAAGAGGATCATATTCACAGTCCTGTCCTCAGCAGGTTACTCTTGAATTGAGATACAATATCTGTAGATATTCTAAATCTTACCCTTCATTTCTCATGATAATTAGGAAATATTTCACATAGGGACTCTTTTTTTATGTGATTACCTAAAACCCCAATGTGCACACTCACCTCACTGCGACACAGGGACAGAACTGAATGAAGAACTTTGGCACTGCCATCTGTCCAAGTAACTATCGCTTATGTCTTCCTCTGGCTTCTTCCAACCTGTACACTGCATTTTCTTCTTAAATTTCTTTCGTAATTGAGTAATCCCCTGTCATACTAGCATTAAACTTAAGCAAACACTTATTTGTATCTGTTTTTCCTTTCCCAATTAACTGTATGTACTTAATTTAAAATCTATTAAACAATGATTTATGAACACTGTTTTAGTTTAGTACATCCTATTATTACGCCCTTACCTCCAATAGTTGTCTAGTATACCTAATCAACACTTTCATGCCATACCCATTTACGCAATTTTCACAATTCAATCATCTAAACTTTCACCAGTTTAAGAAGTAGTACTTAAAGAGCAATACTCGCCTTAAACTTATCCCTGCCCATACACCCTGGACTCAGTTGCCACCACTAGGATACGCACCTTCTTCCTCCTCCTTCTCTTCTTCTTCTCTTTGGCTGCTTGGGCTTGCTTGTGCTCCCAAACCAGGTTGGTCAGATTGGCTACATACTCATCAGTCTGCTGCAAAAGGTAAGCTAAACGCCTGTCTTTCTTTTGATCAATCAGTTTTCTATAGCCTTCCTCATCTTCAGCCTATTAAGGAAAGAAGAGTACGATGAGAGCATAAAATAAGCATGCAGACAACTCCACTCTCCACTCTGTCCTCCCCTTGACTGTCTGCACTTTGACTGGTAGGAGTGTAGCAAACTGGATGAGTTGGGCTGTTCAAGCCATTGCACAGAGTTTGAAGCAGGGCAAACACACAGAAGTGTGACGCCTACATCCCAGGACACTGGAGTTTACAGCAAAGTCCGGCACAAAGCCACGCTGTTCGTGTGGTGTGATTAAGCACTCTGAGCCAGCTCTTTGTTTTCTGTGTTGCTTTAACTGTACAAAACGATTTTAGAATTTGATGACTCATGATCTAAAGTTTATCTTTAACTCTACATTTCAGAAATTTTCAAATATAATCAAAAGCAGAGAGAATAGTATAATTTCTCCTATAACCAACTCCAAACAACAAAAAGTAACTTGTGGTGATTCCTGTTTCATTGCTACTCTTCCCCTAAACCCAAACTGAATTGTCTTGAAGCAAATTCCAGACATAATATCCTTTCATTCATAAATATTTCAATAAGTACTACTAAAGGCAATGAATCAAATGGGCTTTTAACAAATAATGTCTTGTATTTAAAAAAGTCTTTCTTTTTGGCCTTACAAACTTTGTGGTTGATAGGAAAGATCAAATTTGGGGGATTTTTTTTTTTTCCCCCACAGATCTGCACTGAGTAATGGGCCCAGGTGACTGGAGACAAGTCACTTAGCACCTGAAGTCTGGTACTGCTGAGCAATAAAACAGATACAGTAATTTCCACTTCCACCTCCCATTAAGCAACATGATGAGGTTAAACGGAATAAAATTCTGATGTACTCTGAGCCATTCTGAGAGAAATGTCTTTGTGTATCCCAATAAAAGGACACTCCAAATTATTTTTATCATGTAATGCCACGATAAAAGGAACAAGCTGCAAAATCTTTAAGCGGCAACCCCATTGCAAAAACAAAAACAAAAACTTGGGATCTTCTGTCCAGGGGTGTCACTCTAGCATCTGCCTGAGTGACAGCAGCTTCATCGCTCAGTCTAGCTGCCGTCTGCCCTGTGGATGAGCAAGAGCCTCAAATGCTATTATAACTCTAATTGCTTTTGGTTATGGTTGAACTCACTTGAAGAAAGAGTGATAAAAAACTTCAGTTTCTCTATTATCTGTATATTCCATCATTTAATTGCAAAAATTAATGATTTGCAAATGCCTAATCATTAGTGTCAAACCAATCTGTTACTGAAGTTCTAATATAGTTTCACTTCAGTTGAGTCAGACAAATTTGACTGCTTAGTGATCAAATTACTATAAAAATGGTCTAGTCAGAAACCTCTTGGACAGTCCCCTCTCTCCCCAGCATGGAGAGGGAGGCAGGATAGGGTAGTAAGATGTGGTAGTACCTGGACACAGAGGCTTTTAAAACATGGTGTTTACTCTCTGGAATTCAAAAAATGAAAAAAATGCAAACTGCAATACCAGCAAGGAAGACAGTGTCACTTAGAATTTTTCAGGAACATAATTATGGGCTAAGACTAATGACCTTATCTTCATCTACGCAGGCATTATGTCCTAGATAGAACCTGAAGGTCTCCTATAATAATAACATCAACACACGTTTTTCTAAAATCCACAGTGTGCTCTGAGGTCCAATTCCAAAAATAAATGGTCAATAAAAACAAATATTCAGGCCAATGATATAAACCTATCTCTTCCGTGCTTATATTTATATACCCATTAAAAAATAATAGTGCAAATGTAATGATCCATGAATAGCCTTTGACCATAACATGGCTATCACAAAAAAGGCAACATTTCAAAATCAACTTAAAAATCACTTATTACACTGTTACAGAATAATTTCTCCCATTAATAAAGAAAGATAAGCACCAGAGGCTTCAAAATACAGACCTTCTTAGATTTGAAGACACGACTTAATGTGTTATTCATTCCAAAAAACATGGTCATTCATCTCAAAGAGGCCATATTTTTTAAAGAACTGCATTTGCCATCCATCCAGATTTGGTTATCAAACTCAGGCAAAATATAGTACCTGCTTTTATGAGAGAAGCTGTAATCTGTACTGCAATGCCACCCCAGGACACAGAAATACTATACTCATCAGTCATCCCCCTAGATTTTTGGCATATGCTGTCCAGGAAAGAGAAAAAGTTTTTACTTCATCTCCCTAAGGTTCAAATAAATTTATTAAAATTTTTGATAAGCAGTTTTCACTTTTTCCTTCTACTACCACCATATTTAATGGTCTCATTGCAGACGGATGTGGGTTGAGTGGTTTCCCGGGCTCCTGCAGGGAGTTCCTTACCATCAGTCGCCGCATTCTCTCCTTTTCAATCCGCTCTGTCTCCTTCTTCTGCTCTCTTTCAGTGTTGGCATGCCAAGTTGCCACTGCTTTGGAGAGCTTCTGGATCTTTCCGGCCACAGACCGATGATATTCCTTAAAATCTTTTGCATGTTGCAAAATACTGTTCAAGTATTCCTAGAGGATCCAAAACGGGAAGAAAAGGATACTTAAAATCCATTGCCCAATGTCCTCTGAGCTATCAATGTGTCCAAGAAAACTCTTAGTGTGTGTTTAACAGCTTGGGAAGACTAGAATCTGTTTGGGGATAGGTGCCCTAGTATGTCTCTGCAGTTGATGTGTGGGCCATGGGCCTGGTGGGAAAGATGGCCTCTTTAGGTTCCTTTTGTTGCAAGCTTTTGCAAGAGAAGCCTCCTCAGCCTTGAGGGTGTGGCCACATGAGAAGGGAAAGATCAAAGACTGAAAGAGACCTACAAAATGGCAATGATAAAATGTGCAGCAAACCACTCATTCACTCCAAAATAAACCTGAGGAACATGGGCAGTTCCAGCAAAAAGTATGTCATAAAAGTAATGTTTTTCTGCTCTAATTTAACTACCCTAGATTATGACCCAAAGTAAGCTGATACAAAGTTAAAATTGCCATGCAGAATTTGTATCCACTTTTTAAATATATCTCTATTTACACTAAAATCCCACATTTTTTTCAAAAGGAAACTAAGCTAAGCACTAAATTAAGCACAGGAAAACAAATACAATTTATAGGACTATGACAGGAAATCAAATCCTACATCAAAATATTTCCAAACCCCCAGAAAGGAATGTTTTTAAATATTTGCCTCTGTGAAATATTCAACTAGTCCCTTCAAAGAGGCCAGGATACTATTATATTTGTTATGAAAATAACTTTTTGCTCTCTACTTTCCTTTTCCAAGTTCCTGCTCCCAGAATTTTACACTAGGAAACCCACCTATGCCCACCCATTCAAAAACCTTCCATGGGATTATGAACATGACACCTGTTATGGACTGAATGTTTGTGTCCTCCCAAAATGTATATATTGAAATACTAACTCCCAATGTAATGGTATTAGGAGGTGGGGCCTTTGGGAGGTGATAAGGTCATGAGGGTGGAGCCCTTATGAATGGGATTAGTCCCCTTATAAAGGAACCCCAGAGAACTTTCTTGGTCTGCTTCCACTACATAAGAAAACAAGAAGTTAGCAGTTTGCAACCCAGCAGAAGACCCTCACCAGACCCCGGCCATGCTAGTACCCTGATCTTGGGCTTCCAGTCTCCAGAACGGTGAAAAATAAATTTCTGTTGCTCATCAACCATCCAGTTTATGCTATTTTTTTTTATAGCAGCCCAAACAGACTAAGACAGTAATAAACCTCATTCTGCTGCTGAGCAATTGTATGACCTTGAGCAGGTCATTTATATGTCCTGGCCTAAGCGTCCTTGCCTATAAAATGATGTGGCTGGATTATGTAAATGTCAAGGAACCGTTCTGTTCTGAGATGTCCCTACCACCTACAAGGGTCCATTTTTCAGTCATTCTGACCCCATTCAATGACTTCATTGGACAGCTCTGTCTAAGTGAGGGTGAGCAAAGCCCAGGGTCTAAGAACCTGGTGTTTCTGACGGCGTTTCCTCTCCTGCTCAATCTTCTGCTGCTTCTCCAGCTTCTCAGTCATGCGAGCTTCTCTCAGAGTCTGGCGCTTGCTCCGTTTGTATGCTTTGGAGTTGAGAGCCGTCTCCAGGGTTGTGTCCCTGCGCATGCAGGCCACCACCTCCTGTCTCAGCTGTCAAGAGGAGAGCAGTTAGAGAGCCTTCCCAAACAGAAGCTAGGTTCCCGAACCCTGGCCTTCTCTAGGTTGCACTTAATGGAACAGAGTGGGGCAGGGAATCTCTACAAGCTTCTCAATCATCTTTGGTTTGTATTAAATGAAGGAACTGAAATCACGCCAAATGTATGCAATATTTTCAAGGATGGTACAAGATTTTTTCCCCCAAATAATTCAAATCAAAAGCAATTATAGTACTGTAACAGTAAAAGAAAGAAAAGATGTTGTCTTGCCTTTTAAATAACTTCATTTTATCTAATTATTCTAATGATACTAATTAGCTAATAAGCTTTTTAAATTTTTCACTTTGTTTTAAATGTCATGTTAACATTCTCTTTGTGTTTAAAGATTAATTTTAATGATGCTCCAAAAAAAGAATAAAAGAATTACTTTCACGTATGGTAGCAGCAGGTACTCCACCAACGTTAATTCATAGTCTCATACAAAGGATGGGAAATAAGAGTTTTGGCTTCTTCCCACTCCAATAATAATATTCTTTCCAAGAGAGCTACATTTTGTATTATATCATGAACTTATTTTAGATCATCACAAATGTAATACTTTTATCTGTATTGCATGCTATGTGGTGGTAGGGGGTAGGGAGTGGAGAATACACATTAAATAATCATTCCACTGAATCTGAAATCATCATTAGTTACAGTTAATTTAATTGGGAAGCTTCATAAATAACAGATTTTTAAAATAATATCAAACAAAAATCAGAAACCAATAAGAATCCAGCACAGCAATGCTAATTTGAACATAAACTTATTCCTGAAAATATACTTGGTTAATATTCATTTAGTGAGATTTTATCCAGCACTTTATTAATTCATCTTGTGAGGTCACCAATAAGAAAGAAGTAAACAGAACTCAGAGAATTTTCCCTCTTCTTTTTAAAATTTAAGCTGAAATCTACTCTCACAAACCAAGGGCCAAGTAGCACCTACTCACCACTAATGTCCATCTGTGATATTATAGCCAGTAAGGCAAATATACACCCAAATTCCTACAATAGCAAGGGGAGTGGCCTGTGATTTTACTCGCATCCTCCAACAGACCAAGTCAATACTTCCAAACTACTTTTACTCATTAATCATTCATTTTGCATGTTCCAGGCTTTAACAAAACAAACCCATCTGACTAACAATGAAAGGCTCCTTCTCCCCTTTGGCTTAGTGAGGCAATCTGTGGACTAGCAAACTTGAACATTCTGAGTCCACAAGGCAAAACTCACCAAAGTGAAAAGTAGCTCTAATTCATTCCACTAGTCTCTTACTAATTTAGAAATCAGAAAATAGGTCATTATACTGGCTTTTAATAACTACTGTAATGACAAGATAATTTACAGATTAGTCACTGTATGAGCCTGATGTGATTAAACACTCCAAACTCAGATATTGGTGAATAAATAAGCTGTAAGACACTGTTTTATGTATTTCTATAAATGATGAACTAATTCTGTAGAGTGGCTATCATATTTGTTAAAATTCTTTTCACAGTCGTGGCTAGCACTTAACATCTGTGCTTACGAAGAAGCTCCACTCTACTACCTTCTGGTTTTTCCTTGGAGTCATAAAGGCAAACATGAGCTACCCCACTTGTTCCCAAGGTTTTTCATCCATGGTAACAAAATGCCATAACTCTTGACTTTGTAAACCATAGTACAGGAGGAAAAACTCTTTCCCATATACAGAAGAGAAAACCAGAATAATAAGCAGTTCATCTTCATTATTTTTAGTTGTAAGCTGTTGGTCTAAAAGATTCACTATTTTACTATGTTTCTCTCTTTATATCTTTATAACAATATCGAATAGACTAAAGGCAACACAGATAACACTTTAGGAACAATTACATTTATTTCCTACATCTCAGATTCACTGGGGAAAAGGTATTACCTGACGCTGGAAATTGAGTAACCGAAGTGCTTTTAGTTCCACGGTTGCTTTGGTTCGTAAATCTGGTGGCAAAGAGCCAGGCAGATTTTCCAGTTCTTGTATCCTATGAGCTATGCGGGCCTGAAGTCTGAAGGAAACAATAAAACGGGGAAAAGGGGGCAGTGGAAAAACACATTACAATTTAATGTTACATGATAAACAATGACATCAGGTTTAAGTTCAGGGCAAAACATATTCCAGATACTGATAGTTGATTTCTGACACCCAACTAGAATTTTTGATGTTAAGCAGAGAAAAGCTACCTTTGTATTAATGCAGACAGGTATATGTTAACTTAACAATGTGGCTTCCTCCATAACCCCTATCTAACACCAGGGAAAGAGGGTTCACCCTGTATCTAGTGGGGAAGTCAAATGTCCTTGCTCGCTCTTAGCAGAGAGAGAAATGAGAGACAGAAACAATTGACTCGCTTCCTAACTCCCAGCCGGACAGAATGCAGAGCTGAGAGGACACACTTTTTTCTAACTTCTAGTTCTGTCCTAAGGCAACCGGACCATTTGTCTTCTTTGCCAAGATGCCGATGACGAACAGCCATTAAAGCGGAGAGAGCAAGAACGGTTTTAGGTGCTGATGCCACAGAAATCAGCCAACCCTAAACATTCAGAAAGCACTCTGCCAGCCACAGCCACTTCCTCCGTGAGCAGAGCTTGCTTGAGAAAAGAAAATACAAATGAGGCTGTTTTTAAAAAATCAGGGCCAGCAGTAAATAGTACTCAAAAACCAAGAGTTTCTAGAAAAGGATGTTGAGGATTCTCGTTTTACACACCATCAAAAATATAACTGCATGTACTTCCGCATAATAAAGGCAGAGTAGAAAATAAAAGACCTCTCACTTTAGCCATTCACTTGGGATACTATTACTGTTAGATATATAAACTGCTGGTTTTAGAGTTCACCTGAATCCTATTCTGACAAATAATTATATGCCATTTAAGCCTGTTTTTAGAACTACATCCCCTAAATTTGAGGCAAACTGTACTGAACTAGATTTCAACAAAGAAAGAATAATGATAAAATGAGTAATAAGTTAAACTAGGTTAATATTAACAGAACTAAGTGCCTTTAATGCATAATTTTATTTAATTGTCTCTCTCTTACACACACAGACACGCTTCTCTCTATAAGGTAAATGTTATAATGGTCCCATGTTACTGATGAGGAAAACTGAAGACACCTGGAGATACCACAGAGCTAGTAAAGAAGGGGGCCAAGACTGGAACCTCAATTTGCCTGATACCAAAACCACTGCAATGAAACGGTAGATAATTAAAATATACTTTCTGAGAACCTTCCTGGACCTCAACTATAAAAGTTGAAAATTAAGAATTCTGTTTAAAATTATGCACAGCCATTAAAAAAAAAAAAACAACCAAATCATGTCCTTTGCAGCAACATGGATGCAGCTGGAGGCCATTATCCTAAGCAAATTAATGCAGGAACAGAAAACCAAATACCGCATGTTCTCACTTTTAAGTGGCAGCTAAACATTGGGTATTCATGGACATAAAGATGGCAACAATACACACTGGCGACTACTAAACGGGGGAGGGAGGGAGGGCAGCAAGGGTTGAAAAACTTTTAGGTACTATGCTCATTAGCTGAATGATGGGATCCATTGCACCCCAAACCTCAGCATTATGCAATACACCCATGTTAAGAAACCTATTCATGCATCCCCTGAATCTCAAATAAAAGTCGAAATTATCTTAAAAAATGAATATTACAGTGTTTTCCAAACATGATGGTGTTGCCAGACTACAGAGCTGAGAGGACAGACTTTTTTTCTTTCTAACTTCTAGTTCTGTCCTAAGGCAACCAGGCCATTTGTCTTCCTTGCCAAGATGCTGATGATGACAGGCATCATTTTCATTAACATGAAAAAGTAAAACCTCCTGGTACTAAATGCTGTAGAAGATCTAATACTTCATATAGCCAAATATCAAAATGAGTGATTTTTTGTAAAAACCTACAGTTGCTTAGTTTGGAAGGGAAATAAAATGTCATCATTTTTAAAAATTTTAAAATGGTGGTAAGGAAAACTATTTTTCAGGGACTTCACTAAAAATAATATCTACGACTGATTCTTATTTTATTTGCTAGATACATGTTATTCATTCTAATTTATTAAATGATTTGTCATCATAATGTGTTAATATTATCACTGCTACCATGCTATTGTTATTTTTTGTTTATTTGTTTGTTTGAGAGGGAGTCTCACTCTGTCGGCCAGGCTGGAGTGCAGTGGCACTAGCTCGGCTCACTGCAATCTCCGCCTCCTGGGTTCAAGCAATTCTCCTGCCTCAGCCTCCCATGTAGCTGGGGCTACAGGCACGTGCCACCACGCCTGGCTACTTTTTGTATTTTTAGTAGAGATGGGGTTTTGCCATGTTGGCCAGGCTGGTCTCAAATTCCTCACCTCAGGTGATCCGCAGGCATCAGCCTCCCAAAGTGCTGGGATTACAGGCGTGGCATGCCTGGCCCATGCTGTTGTTTTAACTGTGCATACCAACACAAACAACAGCATTTTAAAATGGTTTAATCATTCAAAAGACTGAAAGTTTTATATTTCATGCACAATAATAAATTCATCATTTTACTCTTTTGGCAAAATTGTTCAAATTCTCCCAACTTTCTTCCGCATTCCTTTTACTAGTGATACGCATGAGATTATTACTTTTCACTATATGAAACAGACATCTACTTCATTTACTCATTTTCTAAAACATCTACATAGCCCCCAAATATCTGGATACAGCAACAGATGTTGCATCTTAACAATTAAGATGTAAAGAAAAAAATCCGCTACTGATTTTTTTGAAATATAGAATTTAAAGGGAAAAAATAAAACTGAGACAACTTTGCTTTTACAGGTTAAGGTCATACCAAAGGAAAGTTAAATATTATAGTGGCGTGAGATCATGGCCAATGATTTGGTTATTCCAGTTCCTTGGTTCTAGATTCCTTGCAGATCTTTCTTATTTGAATATCCTAGAACTCAAACTATCCCTTGGTATTCTGATTTACTCTCTTTGACAAAGTGGGTCAGATGCTAAATTAGAGGAATTCCTACTTAATCTTCCAAACAACCATGGAACTAGGACTAAATAAATAATCGTAGGACAACTGGGTTGATAGGGTAGAGATTACATCACACTGAACTGGACGGTGGAAAGTAGGGAAGTGTAGGGAAAATGAGGAGGTGGGGAGTGGGAACCCGGGGTAGATGGGGCACTGTGTGACTAAGGCACTGGAGAGACAGGGTAGGAGCAAGGGGGCTGCACTTCTCCCTGAAATGACTACTTCTCCAAGGAGCCTAGTATTTGTCAGTGAATCTGATTCCCTGGCACAAAAGAATCCCTCTTCCATGGAGAGGAGGCAAGAAGTACAAAGTGCAAACTCTAGGAGAAGAGGAAAGGGAGATTCCATAGTAAAATTATATGCATTTGATTCAGCACATGGGGGGGGTGAGTAGCAAAGGTATAGGAGGGGCTTCTTTAACACAGAAGATTGTATCTTTGTTGTTGTTGTTGTTGTTAATAGAAATCGTCATTTTAAATAATGCTCCTCTCCAGACAATTTCATCTCCCCATCAGTGAGATTCAGCAGGTAGTCCGATAAAGAGATTCAGGATTCTAAACTTCCCGAAACAACAACAAGATGTAATACTGCATAACTGCAGGAGACTCATTTAGTGTCCTCACGAGTACAGAAAATTGATGCAGAATTAGGTCACACAGGTTTTTCATACAGATTGAACAGTAAATCAAGAGGGGTTACTGTTCTGGCAAGAAAAAGAGTTCCATTAAAGGCAACAGATATTTGTTCAGGTCCAGAGGAGAAGTTTATGATTCCTGTAGGAGAGTTATTTGAACAGAAAATGACACTGGTACATTTTGTTCCTTCAAGGAACTGAGTGACACTTTAAAAAGAGAGCGTGTGTGACTTTTTGTAACTCTGCAAGTAAAGCAGCTATTCGTAATTTTTGAGAAGGAATTTTCAGGATTGCAATGGCGACAAGGGCAGGACAAAAAAAAAAAAAAAATCACAGGTAAGCAGCCTATGTCTGCTTCCTGACACAAGCAGGATATACCGCTCTTTTCATACTAAATGCTGACTTTATTCCGAAGAGGGCTGATGTAATTCAGAGATGTTCTTCCCAAATAAACTCCTTCAAGTGTGAAATACATCTTCCATGCAAACATCTGCGGAATTAGTTTACATGCCAATGTGATGATTCCTGAGGTACTTTTGACCAGACATCTAATTCTAAATAGAAGAAAGCGAAGTTAGGCACAATGAGAAGCCAACAAAAGTGTGCCAAAAAGAAAAAAAGAGAAAAAAGCAGTCCAGGGAAATATCTCTCTGACACTTACTATGGAAGTAATAAAGTTCCATTACAAGAGAAAGATGGGCAAAAAGAAAGGATCCAATTTAAGCGGGAAAAATGTTTCAACTAGAGAGTTCGTACAAAGCTGCAGCAAAGTGCTCATAGGCAGACATCTATTTATGCTATGAATGAAAAGGAAGGTCAATTTGTCAACGTTCTGCTTTTATGATGAACAAGGAAAAGCAGCCAACTGACTTAAATGTTAAAAAAATTTAAGATTCTGAAAATTTCCTGTCAAATTTCATAGACAAGGTAAATGATATTACAAGACCCAAAGAAATTAACATCTGTTCAAGAATTTGACACATGATTTTTGCTCAAACTAAGTTTATCAAATTGTAAAAGAGGTTTTTTAGACCTTTCTCTAATCTTTGATCAGATGATAAAGATGCACTGGATCCTAACAGTTACCAATGCTAAAGGCTGGTAAGCCATTCTATCACAAAGGGTCAAAAGAAAAAAAAAATAGTTTATTTGTTGTCCTTTGCAAGTGCCTAAGGGACCTAATTTAGCCCTTTTAAGGGATAAATGTAATCTCTGCAGTTGAACAACTTATCTTCATATAGGCAGAAGACAGTTACTGCTCTGTAACCAAAGAATACAAAACATGCCCCATAATGTTGTCACTACAAAACGATGCTTCTTCTCCAGGTGGCCATGGGAAAATTCAGGCCAAAGGACCCACAACCTTTCCGGATTCAGGGTTGTCCAGATCAGTCATTTCAAAAGCCACAAGGCTTTACAAAGGAGTAGGCATTTATAAAGCAATAATAATACTATGAAAAATAGCCATTCTCCACATTTTGCAATGCACATAAGTTAAAAGATACTGACAGCATTTTTTATTGACATAGGAGTGCAGAACAAAATCTTTTTATACATTGGAAATAGTACTACTTAATACTGTGTACTTTGGAAGACCATTCATTAAGGTAATCTCCAAAAAAAGTTTCTAAAATAAACTTATTACAAGAAAGTCCTGCAATGAAAATTCCAGAAAAAATGATCAAGAACATTTAGGAGCTAGCAAAATAAAAAGTGAAAACACACTTGTGCACACACACATACCAGGCTGAAAAAGGCAAAAAGTCTAGACATATGTAAAAATTTCTAGCTATAGAAAGCATCTCTCTTCTAAGGGTAGTTCACATAGTTTAACAAAGGTACTGGTAATTCAAATGGGAAAAAAATGTTTTAACTAGGGAGCTTGTACAGAGCTTTTTCCTTTACTAGGGTAGGAAAAAAAATATTAGCTCTTAGGAAGTCAGAATTTTAGAGCATCCACATTGTATTTCTCCATTCTATTACTGATTTTTTCCAATACTTTTAGTTTTTTAAAAATTCAACAGCAACATACAGAATGTACTGCACATTAGTCTACTGCACATGAACAGAGGAATATGCTAGCATTTGACTTTATAACACACCACAATTATTCACCCAGCAGAATCTGCCTATCAGCACTGAAATATCAATTGACAATGAGTATCTAGTTCTCTGGGAATACATGAAATGTTGGAAATAGCAAGATAAAATATCTTAACAGATGATTATTAATAGTAATGAGAGTAAAGTTACACTCTTCATCCAAAAAAATAAACACATCTAATGGCAAGTAATCCTGATTTCTTTCAGAGTACCTCTCAAAGCTGGTAACTTAGTATTTTAGTCTAACAACAAATGAGTGATGTGCTTTTCAATAAAGATTAAGGTAATGTTTTAAAAGGGAGCCTAGACATGGTTTACCAACATTCTCTATAATTTTTAAACTCTAATTTTCCTTAAAATTAAGAAGTATTTGGGAAATAATAATAGCTATTATTTATTGAATGTTTCAGTATCATTTTATCTTCCCAACACTATGAGAGGTACCTTCTTTTAGCCTAGGAGGAAACTGAGTCACAGAAAAGAGACATAACTTGACCATGGTAAGAAGTTACTAATGACACAGTATGCTTTCTGGCAGACTCCAGAATCCACAATCTTAGCTTTATTTTATCTTGACTTAATACTTGCTGGACTCCCTTTTGGGTTGACATTAACCACTTACATCAGGGGTCTTCTAACTACAGCCTGCAGGCCAAATCCTGCCTCCAGCCTGTTTTTGTAAAGTTTACTGAAAGGCAGCCAGCCCATTATTGTCCACGGCTGTTTTCCTGTTTTCGCACTACAAGGGTAGAGGTGAGTTGTGACAGAGATCATATGGCCCCACAATGCATAAAACATTGACTATCTGGCTCTTTACAGAAAGGGTTTGCCAGCCCCTGATTCTGATAAATGGGCTGAATCAGGTAAAAATTAAGTTCCTGGACTAATAATTTAAATAAGGACCTTGTATAGAGACACTTGCACAGGGTATACCCATAAGGCTGGATCACACCATAGACACACGTGAATTAAAACAAAGTTTATACAAAGCTACCAAAGTATGCTTGAGTAGAAATGTACAACTAACATGAAAGTCAGGCCAGCACAACACACTCAACATCCCACCACCTCAGTCATTATTCAACGACACAAGTATAAACAATGACAATGTATTCCATAATCGAAGTGTGAGATGATCACTTTCTTGGGTCTACAGGAAGTCCCCGGCGGCTTTTGATCTTCAAAACCCCAGTGCCTACCTCGGCACCTGGCAGGCCACAGGGGTGGATAAGTTTTCTGACTGAATAGGTGAAAATCACAGTTTGGCCAACCAATGGGCAGGCACCTCACCCCCCTAGGCTTGGTGGCACTTGCTAGAACACACAGCCGGTGAGCCCCTTTCTGGTGGGGTGCATTACCTGTATTCCCGCTCCTGCAGAATTTCCACGGGGTCCAGGCCTTGCGGTTTCTGGATGGGACTGATACGGCTCTGCTTCTGTTGCAGCTGAAGGATGGGCGAGGGCTGCCCCGGGGCCGGCTGCGGCACCGAGGGCCCGGGCACTGCGGCCGCGGGCGGCTGCGCGGCTGCGGGGGGCGCGGGCGAGGGCCGGCCGCTGGGCGCGGGCACCGGCAGCTTCTGCGGGGTGCTCGGGCCGCTCAGCTCCGGCCCCGGGCCTGCGGGACAAGAGCGACATGGGCAGCTCGGGCGGGACGGCGCCCCGCGGGCCACACCCGGCCTGCCCGCCGCCCCCCGGGGCCCAGTGCTGGGGACCATTAAGTGTCTTAAACACCTAAGGGAAGAGAAGAAAAAAAAAAAAGAGGGCAAGAAGGAAGAGGAGGAGGGAGGGAGAGGAGGGCAAGGCAGGGAATGGGGTAAAAGGAAAAAGAAAACGGAGAAGGAAAAAGACACAGAAAGAAAAAAGAATCTGGCATCTATCCCCATAGGGAAATGGCATTCACTAAGGAACATGGGTGCAAATGATCCGAAAATGACTGCGACTTAATACAATTGATTAAGGAAACTACCGCCAGCTTTCAATGTAACTCTACAATGGGTTGCTTGCTTTCTCTTTTTTTTCTTTCTTTCTTTCCTTCTTTTCCTTTCTTTTTTTAATTACAGGTGCATGCAGAGTTCAAAAAAGAAAGGGAGTCACCCAACAGTCAGATGCAATTTCGGTATGGTCCTAAAATCACATCTTGCAAATTGTACCTCAAGCCCTTTTAGGACAGACCTCTATCCCAGTCTGGAATAGCCCTGCTGTTAGAACCTATGCTTTACAAACAGAGCAACGAGTTTATCAGTCTTCTGATGTGAACTACAAGCTGCACACACTTTTTCTTTTAAGGCCTATAAAGCATATTTCAGGTTTAATCAGTGAATTTTGGGAACTTAAATTTTTTCTTACTACATATTAGAAAACATTTCTTAAAACATTCATTGTTAGCCAAAAAAAAAAAAAAAAAAATCTGCTCATTCCACCTAATAAAAATTAGCAAATATTAGGATTCAAGGGATCATTATCCCATGTTATCAGAATAAAATATTATGTAATCTGCAAGCTTGTCAAAGTGCATTGAATAAGTTAATTTAAAATAATTTTCCACATTGAACTTCAGGAGTTTAAGTTAATTACTAGGTACACACTTAAATTTTTCAACGTTCCACTTCTCCTCCTAGATGAATTTTTAGTTGCCTTATTATTATAAATAATTTTAGTGATGATACCAGATGAGTTAGTAAATTTTTTTAAAAGAATCTTAGTAAGCAGATGTTAAAGTCCAGAGCATTCTTCCAATTTTTTCTATACCCTTTCTAAGAAAAAATAGCTATTAAATGGTAACAAAAATAATAGTCTATATACTTCAGAGCGATTTAATAATTAACCATACAACGACATACATTATGAAAAATTGAACACATTTATTCAATTTCCAACAATCACCAATTAGAAATGGGCTTAAATGACAATACAAAGAAAGTTATAAGCAAACATTTTGACAGGGGGAATGTGAAGAATTAGAACAAACTGCTTAGGAAACTACAGTGTGTGTCTGTGTTCGTGTCATGTGTGTGTGTGTGTGTGTGTGTGTGTGTGTGTGTGTGTGTGTGTATGTGATGTTACTGTTCTTTTCCCCTCTTTCTAAAATTAGGTAAAACATTTCCAAAAGATACAGAGCTAGGTAAGATTTCTCATGAGGTAATTTCCAGCAGTGGTTCTAGGGGTTGATGAAAAAATCTTAGGTGGAAAATGCACTTCATTTTATTTTTAATTTTAGGTATTGTACCTCCATAATTAAGAAGTTTTTTCATCTAAGTACTTTTTTTTTCCTGTATAAAAGGTCTTTTATGTAATGTATACCTTCTTAGAGTTCCTTTCATCCATATATAAGAAACCAATTTCTAAATATTAAGTCTCAGGGTTACTATGCATTGGAATAAATTATTGGGGGAAGTTTTAGAATATTTTTCCCTGGAGATCTTTAAAACAGGGCACATTTTCATTTGGGTTGCTCTAGATATGATCCAGTCAAGTGAGAAGAGATACAGATTTCTAACATTTATTTTAATTCCCTATGATTCTATGACTCTCCTTAAGAAGCTCAAGAAGCTGATAGAATTAAACATATTTGAAGACTTGGTACAAGCATGCTAAATCAGGAATTTAATACATTTAGGTCCTCTAAAAGCAACTACCTTTAGGTCTTACTGATAATATCGGAAGAATTACTTTAAATTTAGTTCTCAAAGTGTTTTTCTTCCCAGTTCAAATAATTCATCAACAAAAGCCATAACACTGCAATCATGTTATAATTTCACTTGTACTGGCACTCTCCTCTTTAGCATTATTGTCTAGAAATACCCATGCAGAAGACTATGAAGACTCCCTGAGATATAGTCAAGTCATTATTTTTAAAACTACATTTAATCAAAGAAAGGTACCCAAAGCTTATGTGTCTTCTCTGGTCCAGAATCTAGTCTGTGACTCCAAACTAGACCTGATACATGCATGGACAGCCTTCTTCAGTCACTAAATAGAAAGACATTCTAATTTTGTTGATTCACCCGTAACTCTGAGAGACACAGAGAGATTCAAACATCTACTTATATATTCCAGTCTCCAATTTAAAAGTACTACAACTTGCTGTGCACTAAACAGGTACATTTAAACACCCTGAATCTTTCCAGAAAAAATGCTCTTTCACCTCAGCTGTATCACCTGCCAGTTGTGTGAGCCTGAGCAAGTTACTCAACCAATCTGTGGTTCAGCGTGCTCATCTATAGAATGCGGAGAGTAACAATAGCCACCTCATAGGGCAGTGGTAAACATCCAATGAGATAATAGCGTCTACATGCTCAACCCTCAATCCTCAGCTCTTGTCGTTTTATTGCCACCAAGGATAAGGAGGTAAAGAAGCCTAATTGACTCAGCTTTATAGAAAAACCACACGGCAAAAGAAAGGTCTTTCAGGAAATTCGATACCGTATTAGCTGGCAACTTTGGGAGTACTCTTTTTCTAAAGCAATTTCAAAGTGTTGCAACAGTTTAATACAACTCCTCAGCACAGATACTCAGCTGAGTCCGCCTGCCATGTGCTCCCTGGAGTCTGCTACCAGAGCGACTTAGAGCAAACTCCACTTCCTAGCTAAACACCACAAGTCCATTTACTGTGTGGGTCTATTTTCTCCTCCCTCTGACAGATTGTATAAAAACGACTACTTACAGAGGCTGGGGAACTAACACAGCTTGCTGCAATTAGCCTTGCCCAAAGTCTAACTACCTATTCATTAGGTTGTATGCCTGTCTGTCCCTCAGGCGGCTTACGGGTTCGTTTGCCTGGCTGGCTTTGCTCTCTATCCACAGAAATTATCTCCTCTACACCAGACACTGGTGGTCTGCTACTTGACAAGACTTTTCCCTGGTATCTTCAAATGGAAGACAAATCACATTCTTTGGTTTATCTCTTGCTCCCTCTCCAACATAAACAATTTAGGCTTCATTGTCACAAGTACAAAATGCCATCTGCTTTCCCTTCAGTCCTCACTTTAGGAGTCAAAATAGAAACAAAGTAGAAACTCTGGCCCTCCAGAAGGGAGTCCCGGGGCAGCTAAGCAGGGAGGGAGACAGTCTTTACTGAATGCATCCCTATGCCTAATTTGAAGCAATAGGGCAACAAATGTATTAAAATACCCAAGTCTCACAGGCACAGAACTTCTAAGCATTCAGAGCTCCCACTTAGTTTCCAGCATACAGGACATTCATGCAAATAAAAGATCTATGCATTCAATAGGAATTTAAGTGGTTTCCACAGGTTGGAAAAAACAAATGCAATAAAACATATTTAAATTGAGCATATAAAATTTCAGATATCAAAACAAAACACTTTATTTTCTGCCAGAAGGTCTCTCCCTCACCCCTCAAAAACACCAAATTTTTTCAGTTCCCATTTTTCTTTTCACTTGAATCTCTGAAAGGAAAAGTGAATCAAAATGAAAAGAAAAATGATGGGTTAGATTTGAGTGGTGCCCACAGCAGGCAAGGGCACATTCCATCATAAGAGTGGCTGACATTTCGTAGGAGAAACCACTGCAGAGTTATGTGTTCCATGTGCAATGCCTCAACTCCAACCATAATTCTTTGGTGTTGGCTAGGATGATGTCACTTTTGGTGAATTATAACTTTGGAGTAGATTTGAGGCAGACCACCCCGGCCAAAAAGATTCTCTTCACACATGAATAACACTAGGAAATGGAACAGAAGCAAAATAGGAACACAACTACCTCTACGTAAGTGAATAACATCCTGAAATATTAGCAGGGGTGTTTAAAAGTAATTATTTTATAAAAAGGAGATAAACAATAAATAGACTAATATTAACTTTAAAAAGAAAGTCATGCCTTATTTTTACTTTTCTAAAAGCCAATCTAAAAAAACAATTATTTTTTGCAAGTAAGGTTATCTGTTTCCCTCATGAAACCTGTGATGTGGGGACAAGTTCAGCAATGCTGTCAAATGGAAGTGCCCTCTCAGTGACAGAATGGGCTCATTCTATTTGAAGGAGATATCTTCTTTCCTCCTTCATTCACGTCTCCTTTCCACTCTTCCATAAAACCCTACCTGCCCAAATATTGTCATTTTTAACGAAGCTCCGACTGTTGACAATTTAAAAAGACATGAGCAGTGAGTAATAAAATGAATTCCCTTTAATGACAGGCACCTGATGACGGAAGACGTAGGTTCTGGAGCCAGGTTAAAAAAAAATAATAATTAAAAAAAAAAAAAAAAAGGAATAGAGCCCTCTCTTCTGAAAATGATCCAGAAAATGAACTCAGGATTGGGTTTATTAGGACACGAAGCATTTATTGTGTATAAGTATCCAGATAAATGGAACTTCATCCTTTAAATTTTACTACTTTGTTCAGTCATATTATTTTAACCTTGGATTAAAAAGGTTTCCCAAACAAATCATTCTGCTTCCTATATTCTTTTTTTTTTTTTTTTTGAGACAGAGTCTTGCTCTGTCACCCAGGCTGTAGTGCAGTGGCAAGATCTCGGCTCACTGCAAGTTCCACCTCCCAGGTTCACACCATTCTCCTGCCTCAGCCTCCCGAGTAGCTGGGACTACAGGCATCCGCCAACACGCCCGGCTAATTTTTTTGTATTTTTAGTAGAAATGGGGTTTCACCGTGTTAGCCAGGATGGTCTCGATCTCCTGACCTCGGGATCCGCCCACCTCAGCCTCCCAAAGTGCTGGGATTACAGGCAGGAGCCACTGTTCCCAGCCTGCTTCCTACATTCTTAAATAGTATCTTGGAATCTTTTACTACTGAGTCTAGATCATTCTTTAAAATACCAGTGCTTGGGCCGGTAAAAGATTACAAATTTTGTTGATACTGTGTCCCAGAGTAAGAGGGAAAAGGCTCACAGGCTCGAAGTAAGGTGTACAGATACTGTCTCTTTACACACAGAAGTAAAATGCTTGCATCTTGGTACCCAGACTTTGTGATAGGTTTTTTCCCTTGTCATGAGCCTTTTTGCCACGAAGGAGCCAATATGGGAAAGTGGTTAAGAATATTAGTTCTCAAGTCAAATTGCTGGGGTCTGAATCCCGACTCTCCATCATTAGTTGTGTGACACATGCAAAGGACTTATCACTGAGAATGGCACGAGTAGGCCAGCAGGCACTCAGTGAGGATAAGCCACACACACACATACACATATGTGCTTTTTTCTTCTATCTGGCTGCATTCTCAAGAGCTGGAGCTTTGCAGTTTTAAAACCTCTAAATACTTTTAGGGTTCAAACTGCCCTTTTCTGCAATTTCCTGTATAACTTTTCCAGTTCCCAAAGCTCAGTCCTCTATGATCCTCCACCTACCAAATGCCTCCATGGTAGCCACACAGAAATCTGGAGATGAAATATTTTCTTGCCCTTTTAAAACCCACTGCCATGGTCTGAAAGTTTATGGTCCCCTCAAAATTCATATGTTAAAATCCTAATTCCCAGGGAGATGATATTAGAAGGTGAGGCCTTTGGGAGGTGAGTACTTGATGAGGGAAGAGTCCTCATAATTGGGATTCGTGCCCTTATAAAAGAGGCTCCAGAGAGCTGCCTTGTCTCTTCCGCCATGTGAGGACACAGTGAGAAGGAAGCCATCTATAAATCAGGAAGCAGGCCCTCACCAGACACTGAATCTGCTGGTGTTTTGAAGTTGGAATTCCCAGCATTCAGAACTGTGAGAAACAAATTCACTGTTTATAAGCCACCCAGTTGATGACCTTTCATTACAGTAGCTCAGACTTACTAAGACATCCATTCTTAAGCTATAACAATGAATAAGATGAGTTTATCTCTTAGGTAGGCCTACTCTTGGAGCTGCCTCTACCAGAAAACAAACATATACAAACTCAATAGGCAGAATATTAATAAAAAAATACTAATCTGAACTCTCTCCCATGGTATAAGGCCCAAAACCCAGGAAGAGTACCAATATCCCAAACTAATTGTTTGCAACAACCTGCGTGTCAGAACTTGCCTAAATGAATGGAAACCACTCAGAGGAAATGGTATCAATGTCAAGGAAGTACCTCATTCCCTAGAATCCAAAGCTTTCATTAGAATCGACCCATAAACTCTCTGCTTTTCCAGTTCTTTAACAAAACGCTTCCTAGAGAAAACAACCTTCATGGAAGATTACTCCACAGTCCACAGTCCCCTGCACCTCTGAAGTCTATCAATGGGATCAAGACTGAGGACCAAGAGGCCATGCAAAGGATTATATCATTTCTACCCATTGTATAATGTCATAGCTTCAGATTTCATCCCAAGGTGTATAAGAAATAGGCCATGTTGAATCTGTTAGTCTGTTATGAACAAATGCTATTGATGTTTCTATCATGCAGTGCCTCTTACAATAATGATTATGATAATAATTTAAAAAATAATCCCATGTGGGAAATCAACTCTATACTCTCATGCTAAAAATGGCTTTTTCTGAGAAATTGGTAAGAACTTCCTTCCAAATGGCGAGACTTAGATACAGGACTTTGTCTCCTTTTGGCTCCGATTGTCAAGAAACTCAAGTCATCTTTGAAGCAAATATAGCAACTATGAGAGCTTTTACAGCCCTACTTGCTTACCTCCATTTCTTACTTTTTTTTCTATTTTCCCTTGTTTCTGATTTTTCTACTCATAATTATTTTACAACAGGCATGCTTCTTGTAAGCCTCTCCAGATGTTCTTCATAACAAAAAGGGATAGAAATAAACAAATCAACAAATTATAAAATGGCTCTAGTGGGACTGATTTGAGCAGTGAGTTTTGGGGATGAAAGGCACTAAGTCCAGAGGTTCTTAACCTTGGGTGTGTGGATGCGCTTCCAAGAAACCTTGAACCTCTTGAAAGAGAATGCAAAATCACGGGTGCTTTTTCCCTGGGTCTCCAGCTTGCACAAGCACCTCTTAAGGTTAAGAAACACTGCCCTAGGTCTCAACAGCAGAGGAAGACCAAGAATCTTGGCCGTCTGAGTGGAGCAAGGATAGAGAGCCAGTGGGGTATAACAAAAGGTTATGTCAGCCCTGGGCTTGTACCAACCCAGTGTTTTGGTGTGTGAGCAGTCTTTCTTATCCGAGTTGGACCATGGCATTATTCATTTGGTTGCGTATTAACCTACCAGATGGTCTGTTGTAGTTAACAAGGGCCGGCTGCTGTTGTTGCTGCGTCTGTGGTTGCGGTGGCTGCTGCTGCGGCTGCTGTTGCTGCTGCTGCTGCTGCTGCGGCTGCTGTTGCTGCTGCTGTTGTTGCTGCATGCCAGGCAACGTCCTTTTCCCCTGGACTGCAAGCTGCAGCGTTTCAGGGAGGGGCTGGCCCCGGGCCAGCATTTTATAAGCTAAAATCTGAGCTCGAAGCTGATGCAGCTGGACGGGACTGAAAGGTGAGGGACCTCTGTTGGGCTGGCTCATGGCCTGCGGATCACCTGGGATGAGGGCCCCTGGCTGGCTTGGTGGCATCTGAGGTGGAGTTGGGCCTCCTCCAGACATAGGGCTGGAGACGTGCTCTGGGGCTCCTAATGGAGATGGGTGCGGTGACATATAACCTAAAAGAAAGCACAAAAGAAAATCACAGGCTGCCCCTGACAACCCTGAAAGAGAGATATCCCTGAATACTCTAATAATTGTCTGCAGCAACTGTCTGATAGAAATTTAAATGACATATCATTTATTAATTATATGTAGTTTAAGATTTTAATATAGTAATATGTGCTTTATATATATGTAAAATTTAAAATTTTCTGGTAGCCACTTTAAAAATGTTAAAAAAAAAAAAAGCAGGTGAAGTTAATTTAAATGTATTTTATTTAAACCAACATATCCAAAACATCATTTTAAAACATAAAAATTGTTAGTGAGATATTCTACGTTCTTTTTTTTCATACTAAGACTTTGAAATCTGCTAAATATTTTACACTTAAAGCACATCTCAATTTGAACTAACCACACTTCAAGTGATCAACAGCCACATCAATAGTCCTAGAAGGTAAACTGTTAGTGGTTGTTGTTCACCTAAAGGAAAGGCACCAAGGGACAGTACTGAATGGTAAAAGTAGCTCCAACTGCGAGAACAAAACCTGATGGCACCTGATATATCTCAATGGGGAATAAAGAATGTCTCAGGTGGAGAGCGAACACTTGGTTTATTGTTATGCATGTTATGAATAACTTGCAATTATTGAGTGCCTACATGTTGTGGGTACTATGCAAGGAGTTGACTTGCACTCAACTATCACAGTTGGGTTCTCCCTAGTAGCAGAGCCTTATTTAAGGATTGAGTACTGGCAATTTACTGGGAAGGTGCGTGGACACTAATAGGGGTATGAAAAGGTAATATAAGGAAGGGAAGGCAGCCAATAAGGGGGGGTATTATCAAACCAGCTGCTGCAGTGGGTATCTGAAGATTAATTCAGTGCAGAAACTTTAGAATATATGGTAAATAACTTGCCTCCAAATTATTCCAGGAAAGGGGTAAAGAAGCTGAGGTATTTACACTCCTGCAATCAGCAGTCACTGGTTAAGTCACTGGTTATGACTAATGCTCTAAAGATTATTGTTCTCCAGGGACTTTGCCATATGTGGGAAAGGCAGATGGAAGTGAACCAAGACAGTGATTCTGGGCACAGGAAATCAGGCTGGTGGGGGTATAGAAATGGTAATGGGAATCAAGAAGATATGGGTAGAACATACATTATTTCTTCAACCCTTACAACAACCCTAAAAGATATATACTGTTACCACATTTTTTAAAATGAGGAAAATAAGGCTCAGAGAGTAAACCAGTTACCCAAAGTCACACAATTAACTCTTGGCAGCTTCAAGATTTAAACCAAGGTATGCCCTTTCCATGATCTCATATAAATTTGGTTATATGAAAATAAGTGAGGGACTTGAAAGTTTCAAAAACCTTCTAGAACCACTTGTGATATAACATAAAAATGAGAGTAAACTGTTTGGTTTCTAAGAGATCTAAATGGGAAATTTAAGAACACTTTTCTGGGGAAGAAAAATCAAAATGCACAAAAAAACCTCAAGGGACTTATTTCAGGAGATGATCTGCATAGCTTAGCCATAGAATTCCTAGAAAAGCATGACTGAACATTGCTGGAGGGAGATCCAAGATGAAGGAGAGAACAAAGTGGCCTAAAGCAATCCAAAAGGTGTCCTTGAGCTGAAACAAAGTGCCAATTAATCAAGTCAAAGGTGTCCCAGAACACAGCATTACATACATAGATGGATGAAAAGTCTCTGCCCTTTAATAAATGTAATCATGTCACAGTTCTCACAAAGGTCATCACATAAGCGTTTATTAAATTCCTGCTGCATGCTCAAACCTAAGAAAAGTTTGAACTGAAAGAGCTCTGTGCATCTGCAGAATCACAGAGGCCCGAGAATATATGACTGCCCCCAACTGGGGATTCACCCTCATAATTCACAAGCCCAAAGAAAATAACAGATTCAGTTACTTTTATCTCCAACTGTCATTTGGAGAGGGAGGCAAATTTAGCGTGATCCCCTAAACCAAGAATGGGTTTTACTCCACCATTTGATGAGAAGTAGAACTCTATTCAGGGAAATCCCGCCCTAAAGGTAAATAGAAGAATTGCTAAATTTCATTCCACAAATCCCTACTCCGTGAGGAAGCACACACACCATGCAGTTTAGGGTTTGAGTTGGTTATATAAAATAGCCAAGAAAATTCCCTTGAAAGCCTGCAAGACTAGCGGAAATTTAAATCCCAACATGTTGTTATTACAACAATAAACACTTAGAGAATATCAATAACAGACACTTAACTTCAGCATTAACATGCTTCTTTAAGAAGGCTTACATTAGCCCCTTAATTGTAATGCTAGTACAAACTGGTAGTCTATTCATTATGACGTCTTTCTGGCCAGCCCTGAGTTTACCACAGGAGGAAAATCTTCCCACCAAACCTGCTACCATTTTCACAGTAGAAGAGACATGACCAGGGCTTAAAATTAGTCATACATTTCCTGATTTCCGGTCTTTCCTATTTCCTAGGGTCATCAATTAGAATCTCACTCATGGCAAATCATAGGATGCCTAATACAATGAACCAAAATATTAGGCAATCTAGTCTAAATTCATGTGTAACACTATGTCTTACATCACTCTTTGAAACTATGAACAAGGCAACATTATGAAGGTGAGACAGTTACATTAAGCATAACAATTTAAACTCTGAAAAAAAGAACCTGGTCACTGGCAAATCAATACCAAAAAAAAAACTTACCTCAAATTTGATCCAAAAAATTGAGAGTGAAATAAAAATCATTTTTGAGTTAGTCAGTACAACAAAATTTCACCTCAAATTTGATCAGAAGAAAACAGAAGTGAGAATTATTTCCCAGAATTTGTAGGGGATGTGAATAGAATCATTCTGTCACAGTATGTTATTAAAAATAGAGATTTTTATTTCTACAGAAATAGCATCCCATAAAACTTGAAGAAAAACAGAATCTAAGTGATACAACAACATCACATATTTTGGTAATTATCTTTAGTTGAGAAAACAGAGTGAAGAAATTGCCCGAGAGTGAATATACATTTGTCGGTAGGATGACAGTGTTGATGCAGATTCTGCTCTTTTTGGAATCCTGTATGATTTGCTCGTTCGAAAGAAGTCAAAAGTGGCAGTTTTCTTTCCCTAGTTTTCAAGGGCTATTATCTCCCGAGTTTCACCTTGCCTCAGAGAGATGCAATAACCTTTTTCCTATTAATGATATGGAACTTCTAAGTGCCAATATTATATGAATTTTCTCTACACACACACACACACACACACACACACACACACACACACACACACACAAAACTTAAATATATACCTGCCTTTGAAGGGTTTCTATCCAATGGACTAAAAATAAACAATGTTATCATTGGGACCATAAGGTACACAATTCGGTATTTATTGAAGGAAATGGCTTTGCTTCTTGACCAACACCCTAAAATAACCTAATAGGTTGCTAGGTAGTTAAAGCTCGCAGCCTTCCAATCAATACCACATCTCTCTGTTCCTGTGTTTTTATATTAATAAATGGCTTTTCACAATGAGTTTTTTAAAGACACGTGCTATTACCAAGTCTAAATTCTTTTTAGATCATTATATAAAATAGGACTGCATTATACTAATACTGCTTTATTCAAAAATACACCCTAAAATAACTCATTCCTCAGCCTACAATGCACTTTACTATTTTAGAGAATATTACATGTTAATTCTGATTCCCTTTAATGCAGACCTTTGCATTTAAAGTTATTATACTTCATTGAAATTACATAAAAGTTGAGATCATTTTAAACTGTTGACTCTTTAATACACAAACTTCCACACCTAATTGAACAAAATTTACTAATATCTATATAGCCAAGTGCTAGATATCATGTCAAGTGTTGTGGATTCCAAGATAAATAAGACATCATTCTTATGTTGAAGAGAGGAGCCAAGTGATCACAGAAATAAAAGTAAAAATGCTCTCAATTACGATTTGTGCATTTGAAGTGGTTTTAGTTTTCAGATTTTCCTAGGACTCCACTATTAGAGTTACTGCAATGACTGGAGCAGAAAAAGTAAGCACCTGGCTTTAAGAATCACTAAATATCACTCATCTATACCTCCCAGGTATTAAAAATAAAGGTTTAAGTCCAGGCATGGTGGCTCATGCTTGTAATCCCAGCACTTTGGGAGGCTGAGAAGGGTGGATCACCTGAGGTCAGGAGTTCAAGACCAGCCTGGGCAACATGGTGAAACCCTATCTCTATTAAAAATACAAAAATTAGCTGGGTGTGGTGGCACACGCCTATAGTCCCAGCTACTCAGGAGGCTGAGGCAGAAGAATCGCTTGAACCTGGGAGGCAGAGGTTGCAGTGAGCTGAGATCACGCCACTGCACTGCAGCCTGGGCAACAGAGGGAGACTGTGCCTCAAAAAAAAAAAAAAAAAAAAAAAAAAAAAATATATATATATATATATATATATATAGGTTTATATTAGCTCCATGAATATACTTGGCCCCTTCAAATTTAAATGATAAGCCTGGAAATACTGTCTTACTTCACTCATAACAGTGAATGAGTCAAATTTTTTCTTCTTGTACAGCAAAAAGTCCCAGAGCTTTAGGCTGCTCTTCTGACATGGTCAAGATTCTATGAGTTATCTGCAACAATTATGCCTGCCTGCCACTAAAATTCAGATAAGAGTCTGGGATGTTCAAAAGCCTGTTCAAATATTAGTGGGGAGGCACTCCTATGCCTCCACGACTTGCTTATTTATATTTCAAAAGGAAACAACTGTGCTTAGACTTCTCTAAATCCTCACAGCCAAAAGTCTTCCCTCGGGTAGATGGATATCTGATCATGGATGGAGGAAACACACACATTAATTACACAAGATTATATATAGCAACACATAAACCATAAACCTTGAATTAGCATATCTACATATTAATGTCAATTAGTGCTAGATTAACTCATGCCCGTCACATGTTGAAATGACCACATAATGACTCTGAAATCAGGCTACATTATATTAAAAGGCTTTGAGGTACCTGAATAGTTTTCAACAGTGAGGAAAAGAAAGAGGACTTGTTACGTATGAAGAAGAAAAGAAATATGCCGTATTTCTTTTAGCCATTGTTGTGAGTTGAATTGAATTGTGTTCCAAATATGTTGAAGTCCTAACCCCTAGTACCTGGGAATGTGCCTTACTTTGAAAGAGTATTTTGTTTTTTGTTTTTTGTTTTTTTTTGAGACGGAGTCTTGCTCTGTCGCCAGGCTGGAGTGCAATGGTGCAATATCGGCTCACTGCAACCTCTGCCCCCGGGTTCAAGCGATTCTCGTGCCTCAGCCTCCCGAGTAGCTGAGATTACAGGCATGCGCCACCACGCCCAGCTAATTTTTGTATGTTTAGTAGAGACAGGGTTTCACCATGTTGACCAGGATGGTCTCAATCTCTTGATCTCATGATCCGCCCACCTCAGCCTCCTAAAGCGCTGGGATTACAAGCTTGAGCCACCAGGCCCGGCCTGAAACAGTATTTTTGTAGCTGTAATCATGTTAGGATGAGGCCATACTGCATTAGGGAAGGCCCTAATCCAATGAATAGTCCCCATAAAAAGAAGAAAATCTGGGTTGGGCACGGTGGTTCACACCTATAATCCCAGCACTTTGGGAGGCCGAGGCAGGCAGATGAAGAGGTCAGGAGATCGAGACCATCCTGGCTAACATGGTGAAACCCCCTCTCTACTAAAAAAAATACAAAAAATTAGCCAAGCGTGGTGGTGGGCGCCTGTAGTCCCAGCTACATGGGAGGGCTGAGGCAGGAGAAGCCGAGCATGGTGGCGGGCACCAGTAGTCCCAGCTACATGGGAGGTTGAGGCAGGAGAATGGCGTGAACCCGGGAGGCGGAGCTTGCAGTGAGCAGAGATGCGCCACTGTACTCCAGCCTGGGCGACAGAGCGAGACTCCGGCTCAAAAAAAAGAAGAAAATCTGGACACAGACAGACAGACAAGAAAAAAAATCATGTGGATACTAAGGCAGAGATTGCAGTGATGCATCTGCAAGTCCAGGAATGCCAAGGATTGTTGGCAACCACCAGAAACCAGGAAGAAGCAAGGAAGGATTCTTCTCCAAAGCCTTCAGAGAGAGCATGGCCCTGCTGATGCCTTGATTTCAGACTTAGCCTCCAGAATTATATAAGAAAATACATTTCTGTTTGTGGTAATTTGCTATGACAGGCCTAGCCACCCACCAGAAATGACATGTAATTTCACTGCCAGATAAAGCTGCCTTATAGACAATGGATAAGCATGCAATTTAAGGGACACAGGTGGTTCACCTTACCTTCACATCTACACTGTTGCTGGGAAGCAGGCCTAGATTCTCTTTCTGGCCCTCTCACCGATTGGACATGTAAACTTAGCAAAACAAAGTAAACTGTCCAGCTTTATCTTCTCCATCTATAAAACTGGGATAACATAATTCACCTTAAAAGATTACGATAAAGATTCTGGATAAAGTACACAGAGCACTTTGCAGACTGCTTGCACACATGATGGCTAGTAAAATTACTAGGACTTCAGAAATAAAATTTCCCATACAAATCATCAGATTGTATTGGTGAGGATGGAGGTAGATTTCTGTAAGGAAAAGAAACCCTGCTGGATTTGATCTTCCTTAGACACATTCTTTGGAAGTCATAATTAAAACATCCAACAGGAAAGACTGAAAGACTATGCTGGGGAACCAGTATCAGGTGTGTAGCTGACACAAACCTTGGCTGTGTTGATCCATTGGACTCTGGGGAGGGCCCATGCCTGGGTGAGGTGGTCGCATACCAGTGCCCTTCATGGATCCACAATGGATGTCTTCTACAATCCCCTTGTCATGTATCCCATCGATGGGCTGAAACATTTAAAGGACATCAGTTAGACACCTCTATAAGGGAAAACATTTCTATTTGGAGTTTTCAGACCCCTTCCTAAGTTCTTCAAAAGTGTGGCACAATCATTTACTACCCGTTCTAGAGTTAAAAAAAAGGAGACTAGACCAAAATGATCAGCAAACTATCTGTAAGTCAAATGTTAAGTCTTTAAACAGAGGATTTTTCTTTTTTCTTTTTTTTTTTTTTTTTTGGTAATATCGAAACGGGCAATGAAAATGAAGCCCTGGTCACAAGGTAGACAAATATAGGCTATTTTTCCATACCCTGGTAAGTAATCTTGAAACCTGTTATATGTTGAAGTTAGTCTGAAGTCGGAAGGAAGGCTGTTGGACACATCTGTGATGATCCAGTTTTTGGTAATTTTTCTCCATTGGAAGGAAAGGAATGATGGAAAGTGTAAAAGTTGAAACCACAGGGTTCCATGGCAGTTGGAAAGAGAGGAACAGACAAGACAGAGCCGTGAACGGGGGTGAACACTGAAAGGGAAAGAGTGTGCAACAGATAAAGCTATACTACAGAGGGAAGAGGAATGGAAAAGGTTAAAGGCACGGTTTGGAAATAAATAATGAACACAGGGGCTGGACCCAAAACTTGAGGCATAATATGTGACAGACATGCAATAAACAGCTATTGAATCGACATTAATCCAATCCAGAATTGGGCAATGGAGCATGTGTTTGAAAAAGGAAAAGTCTATTCCTCCCCAAACTGTAATAGCAATTTTCAAAACAGCCTGAAAGAAATATTTCCAGGAGTTTATAGAAACCAAATGACTTCAAGCAAGAAAGTATGAGTGTTTGCAGTTTTGGAGAAAAGAAAGTTAATTTCTGCAGAGTCAAAAGTATGCACTTGAAAAGAAGAAAAATGTATCATAAAGAGGATGTTCAGAAGGAAAATGGGAAGAATCTAGTATAAAGAGTGTCACTGAGTCTGTTAAATAGTAATAATAGAGAGGAAATCAAAGCAACACAGCAGATGTATTTAGGCCACTTGTTTATTTATTTCCAGTAATGTTGAAAAGCAAAAAGCTGAAGCCTCAGAGGGAGAAGGAAGAATAAGAGAAGAAATAAAGCTGCCTATAAAAAGAATGGAAAAAAGTGAAGGCATCTGGTCAGCAGGTGTGAGCTCTAAACCCTCACCCAGATCCTCATGCAGGGAACTATCTGAGGGGCTGGGGCTAAGAAGCAGGATGGCAAAAAATGCAAACCTCACAGAATGCGAGCAAAGCAATACAAAAAAAGGGAGTATTTAAGAGGGTAGAGAGAATATGAGAAAGTGTAATAAAAATGCTAGGACATAAAATGAAGGGATCAAAAGAGATAACAATAAAAACAATCCAGGAGAGGCTGGGCGCGGTGGCTCACGCCTGTAATCCCAGCACTTTGGGAGGCCGAGGCCGGCGGATCACGAGGTCAGGAGCTCGAGACCATCCGGGCTAATATGGTGAAACCCCGTCTCTACTAAAAATGCAAAAAATTAGCCGGGTGCTGTGGCGGGCACCTGTAGTCCCAGCTCCTCCACAGGCTGAGGCAGAAGAATGGCGTGAACCTGGGAGACGGAGCGTGCAGTGAGCTGAGATCACTCCACTGCACTCCAGCCTGAGAGACAGAGCAAGACTCCGTCTCAAAAATAAATAAATAAATAAATACAAACGATCCAGGAGAAAAACACAAAACTGACCCAACACTCACACAATGAATTTTTAAGTGCTAAAGAACAATAAAGTTCAGCTAAGTATTTCCCTCACATTTTATCTTTCATTTTGAAGGTGAGATATCTTCAAATTATTCTGAAATTACGTAAGCCACTTAGAGGAAGGTTTACAAGTCATTGATCAGATCTAGAATATAGCTCCCAAATTAATTTAATCTCAACACAAAACAATTTCAGGACTTGCATATGTCAATACGTTCAATAGGTTCCCTGAAAAATATGACACGGAAAACAAGCAGCTTTATTTCTCTAGAGCTCTGACGAGCTAACAAATTTATCTGTTAAAAAAGGAGACAGAAACTAGGGAATGTTATAGGGATACCCATAATACATTGTTAAATGACAAAAAGGAAGTTTCAGAGTAAGTAACATTGACAATATGATTCTATAATAGTAAAAGTAACAAAAAAATTACACCAATATATACGTATCTGTGCTTATACAGTATTTTTAATGAACATACAGAAAAGTAAGATAGAAAAAGCATGTACAACAAGCTGTTACTTGGAGTAAAGGTAGGATTATCTGTTTATGTCAGTATTGTTTTCCTTTTCAAAATAATCATATATTACTTTCCTGATTTGAAAAATCATCAAATTACAACATATTTAACAAAAGGATCTTCCCTTTTGGGCTCTGATGCCCTACCCTAAAACTGACCTGAAGTCCTACGTAACTAGAGGAAAGACTTGCTCTTTTCTGTGGTAATCTTTTTCTTTTAAGCCAGGATCTTCCACAGCTTGTCTACTGTAATGGTTCATTTTATGTGTCAACTTGACTGGGCCTCAGGTGCCTAGATATTCGATTAAACATTATTTCTGGGTATGTCTCTCAGGGTATTCCTGGATGAGATTATCATTTGAATTCTTAGACTGAATAAATCAGATTGCCTCCAGCAATGTCATGGGCCTCATCCAAAATCCATGGAGGGCCTGAATAGGAAAAAAAAAAAAAAAGCTAGAGGAAAGGAGAAGCTTTCTCTCTGCCTGACTGCTTAAGCTGGGTCTTCTCCTGCCCTCAGACTTGAACTTACTACATTGACTTTTTGGGCTCTTTGGACTCAGACTGGAATGCACATCATCAGTTCTCCTGGTTCTTAGGCCTGTACACTCAGACTGGAACTATACCACAGGTTCTGCTGGGTCTCCGGCTTGGTGACAGCAGATAATAGACTCTCGGCTTCCATAATTGTGTAAGCCAATGCCTCATAATAAGTCTCTTGTTACATATATCTCTATCTCCTATTGGTTCTGTTTCTCTGGAGAATCCTAATGAATACACCTACTTAATGTCAAGAAGCAGCCCTGCCACCCTATCCACCTGTGATATCATCCCAAGGAGTGTAAAACCTCTATGTGTCTCATTAGGCAAAACGTTCAGGTAGTATGTAATGTCCTCAGATTTTTCCTGGCTATTGCTTACTTTCAAAGCAAACTGTCACAGAGGATCTTGTTTACTTTCTCAAAAGGCTGTTCTCTCTTCTTTGCATCTCCTGTGAAGGCATAATGCCAAATGGTACAGATATGATCATCCCCACAGCAACAATCCAAGCCTCATAAATAAAGGATAATTATAACCTTAGTCCAGAAACAAACAGCTGGACGTGAGCTCTGCAAAAATCAGAACCTTCTTCCAAAACCAGAATAAAACTGCTTCCCAGAGAGACAGCAATGTGCATTTTAAGGATTCCCTAGAAACTATTTAATTTCAATAAAGTCCTTTTCCAAAAATCCTTTAGATAAAGACTTTTTCCTTTTACTCTTTGGGATCTAATTTTTGTTAATAAATGTCAACCTTTTTAGGAAAGAATAATTTTCAGTATGTTCATTAGTGGATAAGTTACTTAACACAGATAGGAAAAAATAAGACTTATAGACTAATACACTAATTCGCCAAGACAAAAATACCTTCAACCCACAAATCACAGGATCTACTTGTCAGAACTGCACAGTCTATCTCAGTATTTTAAAAAGTCAACATCTGATCTTCGTAACTGGTGCAACATCTGTAGCAACAAAAGTACCTCACAATATGCGTTTTTAATAATATATGAGATACATAAGAAAAAGATCTTGCTTGATTTTCTTGTCAACAACAGTAGAAAGGGGGATGGGGTTATCAGAAATATTAGCCATCCACTTATCAGAAGTCGAGTTTGAATGGGAGAACAAACTCTTACCTTATGCATTTGATGCATGCTTTCCTGTGGGAAGTCTGTGGACCCCATCGTCGGCATAGGATGGGAGACACTCGGAGGTCCAGGACTTGGCCCCATCATGCTGTGGACGGAACCTGGGGAAGGTCCGGGTCCTGGACTGGGCCCAAGAATTGGCCCAGGGGAAGGCCCAGGCCCTGGCGAAGGCCCTGGGTGGGGCATCGCACCAGGGTCTGTGGGCGTGGACATCTACTTCTCCTGTCTCTGCCAGTCAGTAGAGTAATGCTAAGTTGAAAAGCAGAAAAAAGGAAGGCATGTTTTAAACATGATGTTAAGATCAGAATAAAACAGTTGTTAGCATTTGATGGTGCCATTTCTGTAACAAACATCAAACAGAGCTGCCCTGTCTATTCCAGATGTTTGAGTGAGTGTGATATACATCCATCTGCCCTAGTCTTTATGAAGACCACTTGTTTAAAAAAACACACATACTAAATGATTCCCCAGAAAAATATAAATCATCTAAGATACAAAAAGACTCACTGGAGAAACTCAAATTTAACACATAAGCAGAATTCTAAACAAGTTTGAAATTTATTACTTAAGTCAACAGATGCTCTCCATTACTTACTGCCTTGGACACCTTACAAGTCATTAACCCCCACAAACCCATTAAAATACAGAACCCTTTCAAAAGTATCCAACCAAGACTCATTTTCATAAGTGAGTGGGCATTCAAAACTTCAAGATAGTTAAACGGGGAAAAATACAATCTTCTAATCTGAGAATGAAAGAGAAGTCCCAATCATGAAAAAAGCAAAAGCTACAGGAATCAGACAAATATGGGTTCAAATACTCATATATGTAACTACTAGCTACTTTATTTAATGGTTCTTCTTTTGATATTTCAATGCAATGACACGTGTGAAAAACCCAGCTGTAGTCTCACCACAACAAATGGCCACCCTTACTTAGCACTGCTTTCCCCACCAACTCCACTCTACCAGAAGTGATCAGGAGGGACAGTTTAAGATGTGATCCTCTTGCCAGCTAATTAATTGAAGCAGAGACCCCTAGGACAGTTAAAACCAGGGATTTGGCTGGGTGTAGTGGCTCACACCTGTAATCCCAGCACTTTGGGAGGCTGAGGCAGGTGGATCACGAGGTCAGGAGATCGAGATCAACCTGGCTAACATGGTGAAACCCCGTCTCTACTAAAAATACAAAAAAATTAGCCAGGAGTGGTGGCGGGCGCCTGTAGTCCCAGTTACTCGGGAGGCTGAGGCAGGAGAATGGCGAGAACGCAGTGAGCTGAGATCACACCACTGCACTCCAGCCTGGGCAACAGAGTGAGACTCCATTTCAAAAACAAAAAAGCAACAACAACAAAAAAAAACAGGGATTTGTCCCAGACCTGGCCCTGGTCAAGAATCTTGAGAGAAGTCATCCATGACTACTGGATCAGAGCTCACCACAGACAAGGTGTGGAAATTCTGGTTCTACAATTTCAGCAAAACTATATTCCACCACCCACACTCTTAAGGCTTCTTGGCATCCCCATTGGAAATGCCTCATAGAGTGGGTACAACTGCATCTTGGATATGAGCCAGAATGAGTAAATAAGCTGTTTTTCACATTCTGATAGAGATCAATGATGCCAGCAAGATAGCTGAATACCACTAGCAACAGTAATTGCTCTATATTATGATGTTACCTTGGAGGCACACACCTGTACATGGAGAAAGTTCTTGCTGTCAACCTTACAAAGTACAGAATGACATACCCTAAGTGATTTGCTTACCCATTATTTAGTGGCAGAGATGGAATGAGACTGTGGTGGCCTAGTCACCATAGCAGGGCTCTTTACCCACAGGGGAATGACGGGCTGGAAGGGCAGTACAAAAAACACATTCTTTCCATTCCTAGCGACCCATCGCTCGCACTGAATCTCTAGAGTATGAGGGCCATGAAGGCAGGGCATGCTCGGTTTCCCTTCCACGTTCCCAGCACCTCAACCAGCATATAGTCATAGCTCAAAAATTATCTGATGAATCCACTGCAGAGGAAATTTCAAGGGCCAACTATTAATAAAATCAACTATTTAATTTTAACTTTAATTTTTCATATTTTTAGAGACAGGGCTTCTCTCTATTGCCCAGGCTGGAGGACAGTGGAGAGCTCATGGCTCACTGCAGCCTCAAAACTCCTAGGTTCAAGTGATCCTCCCCCACCAGCCTCCCAAGTAGCTAGGACCACAGGCGGCACCACATGCCAAGCTAATTTTTTTTTTATCTTTTGTAAAGACAGAGTCTCACTATATTGCCCAGGCTGGTCTTGAACTCCTGGCCTCAAGTGATCCTCCCACCTTGGCCTTCCAAACCACTGGGATTACAGGTGTGAGCCACTGCAGCCGGCTTCAGTTAATTTTATAAATAAAAACCACAGAGCGGTCAGTGTTTGGGTTGTGTTCCCATAAAGATATCCTTAAAGTGTAGGCAAGAATTTAGGCCATTTTGACAAATAAATTAGAGCTAAAACGCAAAGCAGTCAAAGGCTACTTCAGAGTGATCATAAGCAGGGGATCAAAACAGGACGAAGGGAACCCAGTACAAGTGGCTTCTAAACAACAGAGGAGCCTCAACAGTGAATTACAGCCTTGAATTCACTAGAGAGCCCAATGTTATTATTTATTCTTTGTGATGAACAAAGCAGACGGAAGTAACTTTTTTTTTTTTTTTTGCTTTCCACCACCTCACACAGGTTCAGTCAGCATTTTAAATTTAGGAAGCTGACGTCAATTCAGTGCTACTACAAGATATAATGTTCTTTCATGTATATCAGCACGCTAATACACCCTTTTATTTTTTAGTGAATAAAAGGAAATTGCTTACTTCCTGTTACGGTTTACACTGAAATCAGCTTCAATAGGTATTACAGTAATATAACACGAGTTTGAACAATGAAGATACAAATACTGAAGTTAGTTAGGCTGATATTCCTACTTTTAATATAATTGATGCATATTAAATATGAAATTCTAATATATATTAGCCCATAACGCTACTTTCCGCTTGCATTATCATTTCCACCTGGGAATCTCAGAGAATGTTGTAATTACTCATATATAGTCCCATAAAAATGCTTCTCATTTTTTTGTTGAAGGAAACTATTAAAAATGTCTTAGAGGGAAAACAAGTTACAAGGGAAGTGGAAAATTACGGGCATATAATCGGAATGTTAATATAGGAACATGTTATATAGGAAACTAATAAGAAGAGAACCTCAGATGCCTGGACTTCAATGAATGTGTGTGGCTCAGACTAACAGTAAAGTTTAACAAATGAAGAAACTTAGCCTATGCCATATAACTAATGAATGGCAGAGATCTGGACTCTCATAGAACTTGATGTGATATTCACTGATGTCCCACTGGGAGCTGAGAGACCTGGGTTCTGGTCTCAGGGTCACCACCAACTCTGGGGCCCTGGGAAAAGTGCCTTTCCTCTGGAGTCTTGACTTCCTCCAGGCTCAGGATAGGAGTATCTCAAAGGACCCTTCCAGCTGTCCATCTATGACGTGATGCCTGCTGCCTCCAGAGCATCTTGAAGACTTCATCCAAACCTGTGTGTTGGAAAGTCCATTAATGGACTCCCAAGGCAAAATCAGGGCTGCCCTAGGATCTGCTGTGGCTACCATCACCCAAGTATACCCAAGGGGAGGACTCTCAAAGATGAGGTCTATAATCCTGGCCTCTTATTCTTCCTCTTCATTTCGGGTGGCAACTTTATTTTACAGTTCAGGTATATAATTAAACTTTCCCACAGTATGAAGAAACCTGGGGAAATAAATTAGAAAGAGGTGCTAGTCTCAAGCAGCACATCATTACTAAGTTAGTATGATTAAGGTTTAAAGTCCAGTATTGGTCAACTCCGCTTCTCCCTCACCAGCCCTGCTGGTATCCCCTGGACTCTCTGCCCCTTTCTTCTCCAAAGCACTAATGAGACAATAGAGATAGGGTGGTGATGAGAGCAGTAAGCATAGTAGGGTAGGCTGGAGGAGAGGGCCCAGATGGACTTCACAGGGCAGTGGTAGGTCTGCTCACATAATAACACACAAAATCTATTTTTATTTTGTGTTGGGAGAAGGAGGGAGTTTCACATTGTCACAGAAAAGAACAACCTGCTCCACAAGTATCTGTATGTGGCTAACAACATAATGACAAAAATGTATCTGGGGAGAGGGGGACACAGCAACCTCCCCATACACATGCATTGCTGGTCCCCATCTTCCCCTAGACCAGGACTCCCCGAGGGCCAAACCACTATGTTCTTAGGCAAGAATTTCTCAGCAGTATACTCTGTCTTGATTTCATCCTTACTTCCCACTTTCCCACATTCACAACTAGAGACTGTGTGTTTTTAAAAAGAAGAGGCCCCAGAGGAACTTTCCAGAGCTCCAAACACCACAGTCATCCTCCCTCGGCCAAATCTCCATCCTCTGCCCTTAGCTGAAAGGCTCAGCACAGCCATCCGCGTATTAAAAGTTCGACTTCACGGAATTTTAAGGGTCACCACTCCAAAACTTGTGTCTTACAGTCTAATTGTAATCAACAGAAACACCAAAGACCCCCACATGTAGAGTAATATTTGAACACACCTATGTGTGTTTCCTATTAATTCTGGTGACTTGAAGAGACATTTCTCCACACCCCCATTGAAAAGATGACAGCAGTTAAGGCAGAAAGGGAAAACATAGCTTCCCCAAAGTAACATCTGCAACAGGAGAGAAACCCCAGGCAGAACCTTTTATCTCTTGACTCCCAGTCCAACACTGAGCTACTACACGGATGAAGCAAGAAATGTTTCCACCAGAGTTTTCACCAGGCCAGAGCGATGTGCAGGGTTAGAAAGTCGAAGACAAAGAAAAAAATGTCAGAAACAATGGGAGGGATATCTTGCAAGGACTAGGCTTTGGCTGTGATCATATATTAACTTATCACAGGCTAGAGAAGTAAAGAGAAGCCCTGAAATGTGAAATGAAGACAATGTCATAAACTGAAAAGGTCGATGATGTTTTAGTTACTTATTCCCTACTATACCGAGTATCTACCAGGTACAAGGCATGCAGCGGGTACAAAAATGAAGAGAAGGCTTACCCCACAACTCTGGAAGTCGGACAGGGAAATGAGACTTGTGTATAAGTAGCAACAAGAGAAAAATATTGAAAGATCCTATAGGACACGGAGGGGTACAGCTAATCTATCCAACACAGCCATAGAGTGGGAG